TATTAAAGCTCCTCAGGAACTCTGTATTTGAATAGAAATTATAGGGTGAATGATATACAATTTACTTAAAAGAAAGAAAGAAAGGCTCTTTACTTTGTTTGTGGAAATTGAATATAGCTGAGCTTTTTAGACATTCCACTGAGCACATCACACTAAAAAGAACAAAAATATATGGTCTCTTTTTTTGTTTTTTTTTTGGGCTTTTTTTTTCTTTCTTTCTTTTTTTTTTTTTTTTTTTTTTTTTTTTGTTGGTCAATTTTGCACTAGAAATATTAAGATATAAGTCAGGGTCAGTTACCTCAACCCTAAACCTTCACCTTATTTATTTTTTTTGGGTACAAAAAGGGCCAAAGGCTAAACCCCACATTTTTTGGTCGAAAATACCATATTTTCTTTTTTGATAGAAAATAACCTGTCATTCATTTCACACACCCCTGTCCATAGAAAACATAAAAGAGATGTATTAGATGAATTTTATGGGGTAAAACTCATTATGTCCTCTTGATTAGGGTATATTTTTTATGATCAATGAAATTCACTCGTATTGTAGAGTTTTCTATCTTCTTAATAGGTTTGTGCGTAATGTAAATTTAGCCACCCCAATATGAAATCCTGGGTCTGTCCCTGCTAGAGGATTGATGGTGGGAAGTGAATGTGGCAGAATATGGCGGTCCTTCAGAAGATGGGGAAGTACACGGGGATAAATGCAAAGTGTGATGTCCCAACGGAGAGGACGAGTTCTACGTCCATTCAATCTCGAGCACTAGTATTAGTAAAAATTGTGATTGGAACCCCTGGTACAATTAGGAAATTTATGTCTGTACTTGTTTAAATAAATATGTATAGCGCGGCTGGTTTTGTTTTTTTTTTTTTTTAGCCGCGCGGCTATACTCGGTTTTTTAATTGTTTTAAGAAATAGTATAGCCGGCTATACCCGGTTTTTAATTGTTTTAAGAAATAGTATCGCCGTGCGGCTATACTCGGATTTTCCCAATTTTTTTTCAAAAATAGTATTAACTAATGCAAACTAGAAGGGTCCTTTTTTCATAATTTTTTTAATTAAATATTATAGCCGAGCGGTTATACCATTTAAATAGAATGTATTTAAAAAGAAAAAGAAAGAACAAGATTTATACATACATATATTGGAAAAGTTGTGAATCTACTTCTTACTCAAAAACATAGAGGCAGCACTTGGTTCTTATGTAAATCATAAAACAGTGTAAATAACAATAATTTGCCCAACAACTGCAAATTCGTCAAATATTAATCATCGATATTTAGGCACCCAATATGATGTTATTTTTCTCTAGAGTTATATATATAATGATGTATAGACACCAAAAATTGCTAAATTATAAATTTAACTTTTGACGCTCATTAGATAAATATTTCGGACTTAATCAAATGAAATCAAAAGAGAGACACCTTCAATTATGCTCAAAATGATAGTCCTGCATGCATCGCTTCAATATATGCTGCATTATAGCTCATGTAATTAGCTACAATCATGCTTAGAACCCGGGTTTGTACCACCCCCGGCTGATTTTCTAGTAACACCAGAGACGGAGCATGTTGATGATGAGGATCATGAGCATACTTCATTAGGATAGTAGTATAACTTCATTAGGATATGTTTCGCCTGGCATATAACTTCATTAGGACAGTAGTATTTTGATATGTTTCACCTGGCATATTTGCTACTCATATATCGTGTTGAGAGCTTTAGACACTTGGTATCTTGGTAGACATGTTTTGTTTTGTTTAGTATTATGTTAGGTACTCTACTACATTTCTCAAGAGTATTTTGGTATATCATGTATGCAAAATTATGAACTTGGAAAACAAAGATCTTGAAGTAATGAGAAAAAGTTATTACTTTGTTGGGGACCTGATGAACACGGCATGATCGATTAAGCCTTCATGGAGTGAATGGCAGGGCAATTCTCCTTTGGCAAAGCAGAAAGCATGTGTCATATATTCTATGTGCATGCAATGCAATGTTTCTCCTTGCCATAGGAGGACTGCACTGTTATTCAACAACTATGCGCCCAATGCAAACTATCTGCTCCCCTCCTGATCCACGTATGTCGATGATGTTGGATTGATCAGTTCATGCTGTCCTTTTATAGGCACAAGATTTGCACCTGCTTCTGAATATGCCATGGTAGAAGCTAATGGATATGCCCCATACAATTCTTGCTGGGAGTTTCTCTATCTCTTTCATGCTTTCCTGGTCCCCAATTCCCTTTCACAATCATGCCTTTGCTAATCAACACAACACACAAGGACTTGTCCCCAATTCCCAGTTCCCCTATTTTTATATGTATATTTTGTAGAATATGTACAATTCAAACCACACACATATATTTAACGACAAAAAAATACATATCATAAGTAGTTATAAATTACAATTGCCCATGAGTACTAGTTAATTATAAATATACTTGATGATCACGAACCTTTTGATTGCTCCTGATCAAATTTCCTGGGGAGAAAAAGAGCTGTTGTGACAAACTTATAATAAGTTGGATTGGTGACAGACCAATTTTGCGCATTACTCATATGGCAGCAATCATACATGTGTGTTGGATCAATTGACAATTGGCAATGGTAGCGTTCCCACTCCCTCACATCTGAGTTTGAATTGCAATCTCAGTATAGCCGTGCTGCTATACTACGTCTTTCCCAAAAAAAAATTACAAAATCCGAGTATAGCCGGGCGGCAATACACCTTTTTTTTAAAAAAATTTGGTAAAATAGTATCGCGGCACGCCTTGACTCGGCTCTTTTTTTTAATTTTTCTTAACAAATAGTATAGCCGTGCGGCTGTACTCGTTTTCGCTAATTTTTTTAAAAATAAATAGTATAGCCGCCCGTACTTGGTTAATTTTTTGTAAATAGAAATCGTATAGCCGGCCGGCGATTCACCATTTTTAATTGTTTTAAAAAAGTATAGCCGCCCGGCGTTTTATATTTTTTTTATTAATAAATAGTATAGCCGCTCAGCTATACCACCCTCCCCCACCCAGAAATAGTATAAAAGAGAGGAATTATTCAACATTTACAAGGGACGAATTTCAGGAACAGCATGAAACATAGAAGACTTGGGTCATCAAGAAATCAATCATCTTCATTCACGCAAAGCACTAAGAAGGATACATGAGGATCTCACCGGAATATCATGCCAAATACAACCAAACTGAATGGAAACTTAGACGAAGATTGACATTAAAGTCCTAAATCAATATGGTCTATGTGTCACAGCTAATTTGCCTTATAATTATGAATCGAACACAGGAAGAAAAGCCTGAAAATGTAAAGACTTAAACCTCTGCAAAAGTTTAAACATATTCCAAATACGGGTCATCGGGAAATCGTTAAATTTATGTTTTCCTAGCTGCAATACCGGTGCTTGTATTATTTTTTGATATTCTTCTTTTATGATACAATGATGCCATACTTCACCTCATAGTAGTCAAGAAAACCATTTGAGACAAATTAGATACCAACCTTGCATTTTTCTTCCAACAAGTAAGAAATAATCTTAGCCTCTCAATTCTTTCATAGTTATTCCAACAAGTAAGAAATAATCTTAGCCTCTCAATTCTTTCATAGTTAGTAAAATACGGAAGGGAAAAATATGAATAAAATACATACGTGTTTTATTCGGCAAAATTTTGGCAAATTTGCTCCATCGTGTATACTTAAAAATTGCTAAAATATCGTTTTCACAAGACAAATGATTTAATCAAGGGAACAGTAAATCTGGAAGAAACCCAAGAATAAAGAAATTGATGAAATGATAGAACAAAATTTGTGCATTCTTTAAGGGAGCATTTTTGCTCACCACCCTAACTAGAGGTGTACCTTCACCACCACCTCCAAAGAGTGACACGTGTCCTATTATTAACCTTAGTTAACTTTTTTGTGGAAATCTGAAAAAATAAATAAACAAGGGGCCCACAGCCTTCTCTCCCCTTCCTTTTTTTCTCTTTTCTTTCTTTTAGCCTCTCCCGACCCATTCTCTCTTCCTCATTCTATATCTCTCCCTCTCCCGACGCCGTACCCGATCCCAAACCATCCCTTCCACTCCATTGTCTCGCTACGGAAGCTCAGGCGCTTCAGCTACCTCTTCCTCGTCTTCCGAATCGCCTCCTTTAGCTTCTCTCTCGCTTCCTTCATCTTCATGCTCTTCACTTCGCGGCTCCAACTCCCCTCACCATCAGTTTTCTGTCTTTTTTTTAATCTCTCACTCTGTTGGGCCCCTTGTTTATTTATTTTTTTAGATTTCCACATAAAAGTTAACTAGGATTAATAATAGGACACGTGTCATCCTTTGAAGATGGTGGTGAGGATACACCTTTAGTTAAGGGTGGTGAGCAAAAATGCTCCCTTCTAAGCATGATTGTATTGTAGCTAATTGAAGCGATGTATGCCACAATTTTCGCCATCAATGGAAATCCCAATAACTCCTATGCACGATTGTAGCTAACGTGAGCAACCATCGAGCATAAATTTAAGTGATATATGCTGATCAGTTGATTAAATAATAATAAAAGAATTTTGTTATTTGATTTCATCAATTCCTTTTTCTTTTTTTCTTGCAGATTTAGTGTTCCTTTGATTCAATCTTTTGTTCGGTGAAAATTGATATTTAGCAATTTGCAGTGTACATGATGGAACATTCTGGTTACAATTTACATTTGAATGACAATTAACAGTATATCATTTGCACTTTAGTTTAAATATTGCTAGTCTCACCCTTTATTTTATTTTTCTTGCCAACCTTAATTTTTTTACTACTATTAAATTTTTGAACGTTATGTTGTAGGCCTAATATCATTTTATAGGGAAGTGCAAATTTTTATCTCCACTTTCATTCTCACTTCCATTCTCCCTCTTTTTCCTCTACACTCTAACACAAAAAATAAAAACTAAAAACTAAAATTGAAATGATTTGGGCCCATAAAGCAATATAAGTAGTACTTGCGTAAATCTTATTCCGAAGGCCTATGTTTGCATCTGATCATGCACATGCCAAGGCATATTGGGTTCATCAGGCACTTTGTCGCACATTTTAAACCACAAGAGATAATATGGCCATTTGGAACCACTTGATTTGTATTAGAGCGAGGATCGACATCATCAACTTGATCGAGAGGATTGTCATTTGGAACCGCATTGGTATAGGAAGGATTAATATCAGCTTGAGCTATTGAAAGCACAAGCATGCTCATCAAAACCACAGCCCTCAACACACTAGCATCCATTTCTCCTCACTTTCTTTGTTTTTTTTTCTTGAACTCTCTTTGATTCTCCAAGTTTGTTGGTGGTGGAAGTGGAAGCTAAAGCCACAATTTATAAGGAGACCCTTTTGCCATCTATGGAAACCCCAATAATTCCTAAGCAAGATTGTAGCAAACGTGAGCAAAAATGGAGCAAAAATTGAAGTGATATACGATACTTTGGAGCATAACTATAGGTGTAGTAATAAGCCAGTTTTATGTTCTTTAGATATATGCTGATCAGTTTATTAAAGAATGCACGAGTTTTGTTCTATCATTTCATCAATTTCTTTATTCTTGGGTTTCTTCCAGATTTACTGTTCCCTTGATTAAATCTTCTGACTTGTGAAAATGATATTTTATCAATTTTTAAGTTTACGTGATGGAGCAAATTTGCCAAAATTTTGCCAAATAAAACACGAATGTATTTTATTCGTATTTTTCCCTTCCGTATTTTACTAATTATGAAAGAATTGAGAAGGCTAAGATTATTTCTTAGTTGTTGGAAGAAAAATGCAAGATTGGTATCTAATTTGTCATGATATGGTTCTCTTGACTACTATGAGGTGAAGTATGGCATCATTGTATCATAAAAGAAGAATATCAAAAAATAATAAGCACTGGTATTGCAGCTAGGAAAACATAAATTTAACAATTTCCCAGCCAGTATTTGGAATATGTTTAAACTTTTGCAGATGTTCAAGTCTTTACATTTTCAGGCTTTTCTTCCTGTGTTCGATTCATAATTATGAGGCAAATTAGTTGTGACACATAGACCATTGATTTCGGACTTTAATATCAATCTTCGTCTAAGTTTCCATTCAGTTTGGTTGTATTTGGCATGATATTCCGGTGAGATCCTCATGTATCCTTCTTAGTGCTTTGCGTGAATGAAGATGATTGATTTCTTGATGACCCAAGTCTTCTATGTTTCCTGCTGTTCCTGAAATTCATCCCCTGTAGTTGTTGAATAATTCCTCTCTTTTATACTATTTCTTGGGTAAAAAAAAAATTGTATAGCCGATTGGCTATACTATTTATTAATAAAAAAAAATATACACAGCCGAGTAAAGCCGGGCGGCTGTACTTTTGATAAAAAATAGCAGAAGGAGAATAGCCGCCCGGCTATACCGGTTTTTATTTTTTTAAAAAAAATAGCAGAAGGAGAGTAGCCCCTGTGATCTGAACCGGTTTGGATATCGACGTCGTCCCAAGTGAAGTCATCATCGGAGGCTGAGACTGATGCAGTACGAAAAGTGACAACTTTGTGAAAAGCTTGCTGGTTGGAACGAACTGGGAACGACGTTGTAAGTGCCTTGGGGAAAGTGCGAAAAGCTTTGGCGGTAAAACGGAAGGCCAGAGAGTCGACAAGTCTGTGAGAGCTGAGGAATGCCGCTGCTGTAGCCCATGAGAGTGGGTTCGAAAAAAAAATTGGAAAAAATCGGCCTAGGCGGGCTAGGCGGTTCCTGGTTTTTTTTAAAATTATATATTTATTATTTATTATATAATAATTTTTAAATTCTTTTTTTTTCCTGACTTTAAAGAAAACCTGAGTTTTAAAGTCTTTATTCGCTGCGATATTATTGTGAGTACTGTGGCATCTGCATGTCCAATTATGAATTTATGAAGCTGGGTTTTGTATTTTAAACAAAATCTGAAGCTGGGTTGTCTTCAGATTGATTATACCTCAGGCGACACATGCAAAGCCATTCCCTTGAGGTATTGCTTGTATAGCTTCGGTAATGCCAAGACAACCACGCACAGGATCATTTTTCCTCGCATTCCCTTCGTGAGAATGCTTCAGCAGCTGCCTGTCTTTGATCAGGTGCAGCCATGGCCATGATCTTTTGGATGTTGCTCACACCAAAGATCTTATGAGCATTTTGGAACTCACTGTACCTGCTGGCTGGAAAGTATGGGGCCATTTCACAGGTCTCATCACATTTTCTCCTCTGCTGCTTGCAGGAAGCACAAGCGCTGCACCCTGATCCCTATTTTCTATGATTGCTTTTTCTCACTGAAAATGAACCAAACAGAAGCAATTGAGGGTGAGGAAAAGCAAAGAAATTGGGATTTAATTGAGAGTTAAAGAGGGATATAAAGTTGGCTCAAGCTTTTGGTTAATGAGTTGGATAGCATCAGATTTTGTGAAATATATTTTGGCATCACCTCTTATTTCCTTATGATTACTCTGTTTTGTTTTCTTCACTTGCTATATTTAATAAATTTGTCATTTTTTTTGTTAATAATTTAATTCTTGTTTTTATTTTGGGCAGAGGCTAATGCGAAGGAAGCTGATAAAGTAGCCAACCAGTTGCAGTCTACTGGTATATCTTCTGGTGGAGATGGAGCCGCGCGACTATACTGATATGTAGCAGTGTATATTTGTATTTCATTACAATGATTTAAACTTGGTATTGGCTTACTATTTAACGGTATAGCCGCGCGGCTATACGTATTCTTTAAAAAAATTGGCGTATAGCCGCGCGGCTGTACTTAAAATCAAAAACAGAGTATATTCGCTCGGCTATACTATTTGAAAAAATTAGAAAAATCACCCGTTCGGCTATACCATATATGAAAAAGTAAAAATAATAAAAGAGCCGAGTTGTTATTTTAACAGTATAGCCGCACGGCTATACACTATAAATGTGTAAATCATAGCTCTCCAAACTCAATCATGTAACCTGATCTTCTTTTGGTAAGAAAATGAAAATTTATTAAAGAAAGAAAAAAAAACAATTACAAAAACAAATGGACAATAGATCCTTCGGAAACAAATTTAAGCTAATAACATCCCAAGAGAAACAAGAAAACAGGCACAAGAAGCCTACAAGGCCAAACATAACCACACCCTTAAATACCACTTTATACAATGTGAATTTGCTATTAAGCAATTCAAGCGAATGAAAGGTTAGGGAATTTTTGTTGAAAAGCAAAAGACTGTTTCCTGAAATCAGCTACACAAAGGTCCTACGAAAATAATCAGAGAAATTCATAGGTCTCACCAGATTAGGTTTTCGCAACAGAGGGAGAAAGAGAGTGGTGGTGGTCGATGGAGAGAAAGTGCTGAGAGAGGAAGAGAGAACCGTGAGAGAGAGAGAGAGAGAGAGAGAGAGAGAGAAGTCAGAAGTGTTAGGGTTGATACATCTGCTTTTATTTGGAAGGCACTTTGGTCATTTCACGTCCCCAAGTGATTATATTATAACACAATTTGTAGCCTGATCATTTCAGCACACTATTTCTGAAACCTGATTACACCAGCTTATTTCCCATTTCTTTTCTTGCTTTTCCTCCTGACGAAATAAACAAAAGAAGTTTTGCCGGCTTACGTGTTTCTATATGGATCAAAGTTGTGGCGGCAAAACTAATTTTCGGAGCTCACTGGCAGACCTACGTAGAGACAAGTGTAGGCTCACACTTGACTGTTTTCCTTCAATCATGTAGGCTACAATAAATAGAACATTTTGGTAATATTTTGCATGTTCAGTCCAATATTTTGCGTGAATAGCCCCCTGTTGGCTCACTATCAAGGCCCAAAATATCAGATCAGTTTAATAAATGACTTAGTTTGTCTCCCATTCCACGTGTATTTTGTGTGATATTTTATAAAATAATAATCTAGTTGTATAAATATATAATATTACTACTTAAAAATATTTCCACCACCTATTACTAATTAATTTTGGATTGAATGATTTGACATTCTTTTTTATTGTAAATGAAGCTTCATTCAGAAAATTGACCCAAGACTCTTTAATTTTAGCTTTAAATGGTGTACTGTCATGTCAATTGGATTAAGATTTAAATCAAGTCTTTGGTGGTTACGCTTAAGCTTCTAATTAGTGTTTGCAAGAAAATCACATATAAAGTGAATGGTTTTTCCAAGCTAGTATAGGCGGAGCTAGAATTGTAGTGAGTGATACGTTGTCTAACAAAACCAATATTCCCTCGTATATAATTCCCACTTTTGGTTAATTAGCATAACCAAAACATATAATTAATTTATAGCTTTTCCAGGTGTGGGAATCTTATGTAGAACTTGAAAGGGAAGTGTCAACCTACTGAGCAGAAATTAAAGGTATTAATTCATACTGAAATATGCCTCATTTTACGAATAAGAAAAAGGTTAACAAAGAAAACTCAAAAAGACATTGAAGATCCAATGGAATGTTCCTCTCTCACCCTTATGGGAAATCTCATCCAAATGTACACATCATGCATGCATGCATCCACGTATGTATACATATGTACGTAATGCTTCTGTATTGGAAGCCATACATATGTATATGTATAGGTACGTAGACTTTGTACGTAATGTAATATATGGACTAAACTTCAAATCAAAGTGCAATAGAGATGGCCGAAATATCGAGATGGACGCGACAGGAGAGGGGAGGAAATTAATTTTGGACCACGATCACATGATGGAGAAAGGGAACCTATATATATAGCTAGCGCCATGAGGAATATCTAGACCCAGCATATGCTGTTGCTGCCTTCAGCATATCCAATAACCTTTTATTTCTATCTATTTCTAGTTTTCTTCATGTTCTTTTCTGTTATTGTCTGAGAATTTAGACAAGGTTAATCATTACGTACGATAGGCGTCAAGCGGAAGTGCAGAGATGTTTGCAGTAACACAATTTTGTTAATAATTAAATATTTACCAGTGCTAAATGTATTAATTAAGTTGCTGGCTTCGCATGAAAAACTTATTATATTAATATAATTACCTTTAATTCACCAAGAGTTTGAGTTTGAATTAATAATTAAGGTAATTATATTAGGAAATCTAGGTCTTCTCTTTCGCCATGAAAGTTTGACCCACATATCATGCTATAAATATGTCTAGCTTGATGGAGTTGTTGCAATTAGCTCCATTCTCTTGAGCCTTGTACGTGGTTGACAGGAAGAAAGGATGAGAGATGGAAAGAGAGGGAGGAAAAAGGGAAATTATTGTATAATACTATGTGCTATGTGGTTTTATGAATTCGCTCAAATTATATAAGAGATCCGTGTATGGATGGATCTCACGTTTAGTAGAAGAGAAATTATAGTATAATACTGATCTAATTATAGTTGATATATGGCTATGTTTACATCGTGTAATCTTTGTAGAAGTAAGATTAGACAATTAATCAGGATTTTTTTTTGTCTCCAAGAAACATGATAATATAAATTTGAATTAACAAGTGGTTTCGACCTAGCTAGCATTCAAGAATATATGAACATTAAAAAGACTCTGGTATTACGAATCCGCCCAAATTATACACTTCAATACAATCTTTAACACCTAAACCATAAATTGTATTAATAATTATACATGTATATTTTTGGTTGGATCCATACAGCAGTTTGGCATGTTAATTTTTAGCTATATGTGGTCGTCTTGAAAGGGAGAGATTATAGAACAAATTATATAAAATTGGCTTTTCATATCTTTTTCGAGTGGAGCGTCACACGGGCGGCCTGCCTTTGCCTGCTGAAGATTGTGAGATGACGAAAACAGAAACCTGAAGAGGATAATGGGAGATCATGATAGCTAGAACAGCTGATGATATTAATATATCAGTAATTTATATAATATGTAGCCATTTCTCTCTATGTGGATATTGCTTTGTGTAAGTTAACCATGTCCTAATTATAGTCTGAGTATTAATTTGTAAAGGGAAAGGGGGAGGGGACCATGAGGGCAATAAAAACAGCTAGCAGAGAATAGATCAGGAGAGAATGATGCCTGGCATATACCGATAGGCCTCAATGGAATATCCATATCTGATGTGCGAATCACACCCACAGATAAAAACCCTGGCATGCAATTCAACTTCCTGCAAGCAACGCAAATTCATCAAGTAGTATGCATGCATGGTGGCTAGTACTTATAGGTAGAGATGAATAACAGGGCAATTTTCCTTTGGCAGAAATAATTATATATATATATATATATATTTGGTGCGTTTACTCTCAATCTCAAGTACCGGCACCGAATGCTTTCTGCCAAAGGAGAATTGCCCTGCCATTCGACTACTCTACCAATGATCCATCCGAAGCAAACCACCACTTGGAATTCATGCACTTCGATCAGTTTCATCTGTATATCTATCTAGTAAGCATCTTTGCATTTTTATTTTCTCTCTATTTGTTGCTGCTGTTAATTGATCTTTTTTTTTTTTATTGCTTTCTCTGGGCAGCGATGTGTTTTTTTTAACAAGCACTTGAATCTCATAGGGGGTGCAACTGTGCAAGGACAGGTTCTTAATGTCTCATATGGAGATTAGATTGTGTTCAAGTCTTGCGGGTGATGATGTGATACATTTCTGCAACTTCAACTTAAGAAGGTCTACTGAAGCTCGATAATTGCAACAATGCTAGATGAAATCCTGAAATATTGATCGATAATTGCAATCGAATTTCTACTGAAGCTCTGCGCATGCAGCTCAAGAACCCTAACTAGTCTTGGTCTGAAAGCTATATCGATTTCAACAAAAGAAGAACAAATATTTTGTATGATCTTTGAACAAATTAGGGTTGAAATCAGGAAGGCTCCAGCCTTTTGGTTTTTCAGCCAAAACCCAAGGGGTAAAGAGAGGGAGTGACACTTATAACAATAATTAAGTTTTGATCATTTTTAGTAATTCTATAAATGGATGTATCTGCTTGAAAGCCAGAAATTAAAAAAGGAATTCTTTTGTTACAATACATGAAACTTCACTCGAGAAATTGTGCACTTTTTTTTTTCAGAGGATTTCCTTTCAACTTTGAAATTCTCTGACGCTTCTTTTCCTTCTCCATCTATTTTTCCCTCAAGTTTGTTACCGTGATACAGTAACTAAAAAAGTTCCTAAATGGACTACTAATTAATCTACATTGCTTAATGTTTTTGTTTAATTAAATTACGACTAATTGTGTGCCTAATATGCCCCAAAATTGCAATGGCATGACTGGCATCAAAGTATAAACACCCCCCCCCCCCCCCCCCCCCCCCCCCGGGCATGCGTGTGTGTGTGTATTTTCCCCCTTCTAAATAATAGAAAAATGCTTACTTTATTCTCAGATTTTCTTACTCCATGATGTATAAGTTTCAATAGCATGTCACTAGCTAATATCTTTTATATTAATTCATGATCCTGTGATATATATCCACACACAGAGATATATATATATATATATATAGCTAACATGGATATACATGTCTAAAGAAAACACTTAAGTGACCATGCCATTTGAGCTTGTGACAACACATAGATAGACCAGCTATGAAACTCTTGTTAAACAATAAATTTGAACGGCTAATGAAGAAGAAATATCTACTCAAAATCAAATTGATAACATGTACAGCATTTTCATCTGTGAAGCAAAGCTGCAGGAGAATTGCGGGGCAAATCTCCTTTGGCAGGATACAAGGAATGCATGGTGCCCAACACATGCATCTCATAATTGCTGCCTGCCAATAGGGAATTGCCCTGTAATGCAACTGCAGCAGCCAGCTTCTAAGTCACTTCTGAGTGATGCCATGGTGGAGGCCAGTTCTATTTATACTGTCCAAGATGAGCATATACAATGGAACAATGCTCTTGACTCTTGAGTGATTCAGAGGCACGCTTTTAATTGCTTTATATCAGAACCACTAATTCCTCCTAATTACAAAAGTTCTATATGCTAAAAGGATTATGTTCCACCATTTGCTATGTATTAGAGGTTAGTAATTCAGAATTTAGATTAATTACTATAGGGTTGGTGTTGCTTCGTGCCATAAACCATGGGATATATCATGATTTTTTTTTTATTCCTTTTGGAGTATAATCTTGATTTAGCCTATTCAAAGTATGATTAGGAGGGTTTTAATCTTTTATTTAAGTGCCTAAGTATTATGTCCCTACCTCAACCTGTAAGGTCATATATATAAAGGGTAGCTTTCACACATAGAGCATCAAATTTGAAGTTTTCTGCCTCCAATATAACAATGCTTTGATAAGGTTATCGACAAAATAGAGAAAAGATGGAAAAAGAGAAAGAGAGACAGATTTTGATGGATGCTTTAATATGGAAGATCCATATTCCATAAGCATCTTCTCCAAATCTTTTATCTCTTATGTACGTGTCAAGTTGCACTCTCCATTTCTCATGGCTGTCATCAACAGCCAGCAGATGGTCCCGAAACGAAAGTTAATTTTTGTGTGCAGAAACTCGAGGAAGCACACACATATGATCATATATGATCACATACGGTCACATATATATAAAATTGATATTGACCACTCAAGCACTCACATGTATGATGTATGTACTAAGATGTTACCCCTCCATCTGTAACATTTACAAATATGATTTCTGTACATGAAACCCAACATGTGCATGATGGTCCGAACTCTTGGTGCAGAGCAAGACAAAACAGAGGAACCATAGAAGAACAAGTTGAAAAGTTTGCAGCCGTACTGACAAAACTCAACTTAAATTAACATTAGAAACTAAACCTAGAAGTTAAACGAGTTTAAAGGGTGCTGTCAGCAGTAGTAGCATTGTAGCATGGTGCTTGATTTTTTTTTGTTTAACAGCTTTGAATTGAACTCCAAAAGAGTTTATTTACAATTTACATGTCTTGAGTATGGTGGTATCATAAATTTTCTTCTATCATATTTCTAATTTTACTATAGTAAGACGGTACGAGTTTATATCTTATTTGGAGAACAAACATTGATATCCATTGAAGCACAGAAAAGTCCTTTGAGCTGCATTTCTGTGTTTAAATATAGATACAAACATTGATATAATTTGTTCTCTCTAAATTTTCTCCAGTCTAAATGTGTTTTAATATATATATACAAGCTTCTTTACATAAATTCAAAATGCTACTCCAGTAGCATAACTAGGCCATGTGCGCTTTGCTACTCAACATGAGCCACCAGCCACCCCGAAGATCCTGATGTCCAATAATCACAGCTTCACCTTCAAGAGCCAAAGCTGCAATGATCCAGTAACCTGTGGCAAATACCTGTAATCATATGTACCAGCCGTTAGCATATATATATCCTAAAGAATAGCCCAAAAATTTCCAATAAACTGATTCCTTTTGGAGGATCTAAACAAGGTGCCCTGTCTGTCTGTCTGCCAAAATATCTGCAAAGTTGTACTTTCAAGAAATATTACATACTAGAAGAAATGAAAGTGTCTTGGTTGGAAATTAAGCAGAGATGAATTTGACAGTATAGCATTCAGAATCAAAAGTGAGGAATCTATACTAAAGAAACCACATGCAATTAACAACGAGTTCAAACTGAAGTAAAAGAACTGGCAATGTGTGAGCTGGTTTCTATTCTTGTTTGAGTAAGAATTTACGAGCATTAGGAGCTGTACGGTAAATGCGTGCGAATAGAAACTGCGGTAGAATTGCTGAGCAGATCTCCTTTGGCAGACTGCTAGCCTTCCTCTCATTAGATTAGGCCACAGTGAATGCATGTAGATAGATACACAGTTTGCCAAGAGGAGGCTGCTCGGTAATTCTCCTGCAGTGCATCAGAGCTATGGTGTTATAATGACCAGAGGCCATGGTATTTATACATAGAAATTCATGTAAGGCAGTACATCAAGCGGGCAGGTATGCTCAAAGAACAATACCTTCAAGGCGCGCACCAACTTTATTCCCTTATCCGCAATGCATATGTACTAATCATATCATCATGAGCAGAAATTAGATTTAATGTATTCATTTATCTACCATAATATTATATATAATCTGGTTCTAAGATAGTGGTCCAAATTATATATTTGGCCATTCTTTGAAAAACACATCAACAGAACGCATCGATACGAATATATATATATATATGGGGGACAAATCCGTGGCACTATGTTTTTTACACAAGTTTTGACATAAATTTTCAACCTTTCGATTAGAAAGGATTGAATGGTTGAGATTATGTTTCATTAATTACTTAAATTAAATCTCTAATGCCAAGTAAATTTCATTTTTATTTATTAGTTATGATAATCTTGAAAATCACTCATTATCTTTCCCCCTTTTGTTTTCTTATAATTTTCTCTCTTTTCAATTAATATCTTGCGAAACCTCACCATTACCTTCCCCTTGCCATTGTCATCTACACCAACCGAGCATTCTCCCACGACATAGAAAATCTGCCTCAAGCTACCAATATTGAAGAGAAAATAGGATTTTAATATTTAAAAGAAAAAGCCCAGATTTGTTTCAATATTTCTTCTCTACGGTTTGGTTGCTCTCTCTCTCTCTCTCTCTCTCTCTCTCTCTCTCTCTCTATATATATATATATATATATATATGTGTGTGTGTGTTTTTTTTCCTAACATCTTAATGGCTTACAAGATTTAGCTTTTATTCATTATTATTAATGATAACATTAAAAATATATATGGCAAAAGACAGTTTGCTTGCAGTTCATTGTGTGTGTTTGGGTGGGGTGTTATCCCCAAGCCTTTTCTTTGAGAGTTATAATCCATGTATAACTGTAACAGCCCAAAAAAAAAAAAAAAAAAATGGAGAAGAAAAAGAATCAGAAACCAAAGCTTTAGAAGAAAGAGGAGGAGGATGGGAGAGTCATTAACTGAAGAATTCTAGAGGATAGAGAACGACGAAATAGGAAAATTACTCTTTGATAAAACATTGATTGAGGATAGAGAAATAAGAAAGAGAAAGTCAATTAATAATTATTTTCAATATTTTTTTTTCTTAAAAAATATATAATTAGTTTAGTTAATCTTAGCCATTCAATCCATCTCAATCTAATGGTAGAAAACTTTTGTCAAAAATATAGTGCCACAGATATGTGTGTGTGTGGTCATTCTATTAACGTACTTGTCCATTCTTTGAAAAAACTCATCAACAGAACACATCGATCCAAATATATATGTGGTCATTCTATTAACATCAGAAATGGTTTTCTTTTGCCTAAAGAAAATCACAAATAGAATGTGGATAAAAGAAGATAATGTACGTACAATAATACAGCTCAAAAAGGAATATATCCATCCTATTTTCCCATGGTGGGGAATGGCTCAGCTCCTATAGACGACATGCGGGTAGTGTTCTTTACTTAACTACAATATAAGGACTCAGAAATTCATATGGAAAAAAAAAATAGCATAAAATGAAAATTGGTGAAGAAAAAAAAATGTACCCTTATATCATCTAGACCTCACAAACTGGACAGACAGCAGGCAATATGTACTGTCAAATGTGGACTGTTTCGTATACTCACACATGCATGCAGTGCAGATTATAGGATGAACCATGCATTGATGGATTCAAAGGACATGAGCTTATACATAGAATATTTCTTTTAAAAGAATCAAAAGGCACTAACCTGTGATCATATATATAGTTTCCAGAAAATATCTCTATTAATTATGAGTTACTCAATGGAAGGCTTCAACTATACTGTTGACATTTCAAGATTTTGCTAATAAAAAAAAAGTTAATCTGTTGGAGAATCTTGAAAACTTGAGAAAGAAAATCATGCATAATACACCGGTAGAACTAATATGAAGGCACAGAGCTATGCATTATGCCCGCATTAGCCATGCTTGGATTGGATCATGCAAGTGGTAACAAAGCCAAAATTAAGACTGTAGATGTCATTTACGCTAACCCTAACATATATATGTATATATACCAACTGCCAACTCCAATGGAAAAATGAAATCTGACATAATACTGGATTTAAAAGAAGAAGAAAAAAAAGAATAACTAAAATTGACCAATTGTGATTGCACTGGCACCGCCTTGTTCCCCAAGCAAGCAAAAGACCAGTGCAGAAGAATTGCCGAGCAAATCTCCTTTGGCATAAAGCACACTACAAGAATAATGCAAGGCTTTGCTCACTGAGGCTCAGCCGGAAGCATTTATAATTATAAGTGGCCACATGCCAGAGGAGACTTTGCCCTGTAATTGATCTAACTGCACAACCGAAGTTGAAAGTTGCAGAGAGATGCACCGGAGAGACCCTTATTTATGCTAACCCAGAGGAAGCATATCCCAAGGATCCTAAGGAAAAATGCTTTCGTTTGTGTGTTGAAAAATTACAACTTTATTCATAAATCCCGTCCCACTTTTTCATGGTAAAAAAACTTTAGCCGTACAGACTTCCTCATGAAGATGATTTTAAAAAAATGTGACTGTAATTTAATCAACTTCTCAGTGCTAATCAGTACCATAAATGAGAAATTAATTCTCTAATTCGTTGTTGACTCGGGTTCTTGCTTAATTACATCAACTAATGAGTCACTCTGGTTTAACAAACATGCAGTTTTACTATAGCTTGCTAGGACGTGAAACAATATAAGCCAGTCATTGTTGAAAATCTTGAAAAGAAAATATGGAAAACATTCTAAATATATAAGAAGGAAGATTCAGAGCATGTTCTCAATCTATCTTTTTCTTCTACTTGGTAATGTCACCTTCATTGCTTTCAGGACCAGCCAAATGGACCTAAGAAAAGTTGATTTTGTTCGAGAGAAAACTCGAGGCTGTATTCATGAATTAAACTCATGTGATGGATACACACACACACACATATATATATACATATAGTTCTATTATTTATTTGCAGCAACATACTGATTCTTTTATTTTTATTTTCCATAAAATTATATTATGATCACCAAGATCACACTCTTGGGAATTCAGACGACTACCCTAAAACCTTTATTTTGAGAGTGGCATCTAAATTTCAGGACAAATCTATTAGCTAGGAAGTTTAGACTCCTCAACATGTATGACTTTTTAGGGCTATTCTACCGCAAGGGTTTAGCCCAGGCAAGAGGGGGCCCTAGGCCCAGAAGGAAGCTCCAACACGGAAGACCTATCCCAGGCAAGGCATGGGACCCATGAGTTTGGGCAAGCCCACGGGGAGTTCCCGTGGTGTGTTTCTTGTCAAAAATAATGGCACTATTACGTCCTCCGAAGGAAAATACTCTCTTACATTGTGATCCGATGGAGCCGTCTCTATCAATGATTGAGTTGTCCTTGTACACGATTATGTCAGAGTATGAGGACCGGGAGTATTTCAATTGTATGATGAGTGAGTAGGTATTTCAATTGTATGATGAGTGAGATGTGAATTTTATAATAAATATGGACATGTGGCAACCGAAAATTTTATCTGAAATTTTAGATGTGAATTTTATAATAAATATGGACACGTGGCAACCAAAAATTTAATCCTAAAATTTTATTCAAAAATTTTATCTGAAAATTTTATCTGAACTTTGAGATCAGAATTTTATAATAAATAGTGACACGTGTCAACCAAAAATCTTATCAAAATTAATCATTTAAATATAAAAAATAGAAAATAAATTAAAGTAAATAGTAATTGCCATTGCCATTGCCATTGCCCATAGAGGTGGAAACAAAATTGTAAGGGCTTGCCACTATTTACGTGAATAGTGAGAGCCTTTGCCTTGCCCTTGCCTTGCCCTTGCCCATAGGGGTGGAAGTGCTCTTAAGGTTATATAGTTTTGGCAAAAAAAGTCATGATTTTAGAAAGCTGCAGCAGGATATGCCCCAGAACTCAAGTATATCCTTGAAGACAAGACAATACCTTATGAACTGGAGTAAGATGAAAGCTAAAGGAGCATATATATGTTAATGCTCTCAGTGTTAATATATTCTTAATGTTTTTTTATTTTTTCAACTCTCACAATATTCTATTTGAAATAGGGGCGAATCCACATAGGGGTAAGAGTGGTCAATTGACCTCTGCAAGCCCGGAATCCACCATTGGAGGCAAAGATGTTGACTCCTTCAAATTGCCCACAAACTGTTTGATGGAATATTCCAAAGGGCACAGCACACCAGCACAATAGGTAAATTACCTTACTTCCACTTTCAACATTTAAGTAAATGTCTTTGTCCTTTTACTTTCATTTATTTTTATATTACTCAATTTACTTAAGTTTACAATGTAAATGAAGAAATACCCCCTATTTGGATTCAAATAAAAATACTAAAAAATCAAATTCCCACCAAATCAAAATATGAAAAATTGATTTTAGTGCAAAATACTATTTAGGCTAAAAATGATGGTTCATTAAGTCAATATATACTTCATACTAAAATCCCATAAAATCAAGTTTTTTTATTTGATGTGTAAGGAATAAAAGCTGCCAAAAATTATCTTGAAAAAATTATTATTCGGAAAAACCATTTTTCATACTTAGCCAATATTTTTACACAATACAATTTTTCATGTATGATATAAATGCAAGAAGGGACCTAAGGTCAATCTAAGTAAAATGCCTTATATGTTCAATCCACAAAGAGTTTTACAAAAATAACCTAACTCTTACGTATTGAAGAAATATTTGCTTGAATAAGCTCCCCCTAAGACAGTACTAATAAAGGTCCAAATTTTGAGAGCTAGAACACAAAAGAAATGCAAATAATGCCCAAAATCAAAACAATGATAGACCTCAAAAATGATGTAAATGCCCTAAAATAAGCAGGATTGTGCTAATGTATGCCAGTTCTTATGTCAAATAGGACGAGGCACCTTAGGAGGCGAAGAGGATTGTGCTAATTTTTTGGTTTATTATCACATTCTTAGATATATTTCTGGTGTATTGCAATGTGTGTCTATTTTTTTGAAGTTTATGCAGTTCTCTTTGATAATGAACATGAGTATTTTGTATGGTTTTATCTATTAACTATGAATTAGAGTATTATCGTTTCATTTCGATAGGTCTATTTTGTATATAAATTTTTTTAACCTTTTACACGTTAACCCCTGAAATGAAAATTTCTAAATCCGCCACTTATTTGAAACCCAATAGCTGTTAGCTGAGCTTCTTTTCTCGGGAAAGAAATTAAGTAGAGGGGGATCTACAAAAGTAGAAAATGATATCATATTATATGCGGAAGTTTGACACTGTCATTGACAATTGTTTTGTTCTTTTTGCATCCCATTATTTCAACATAATGCTTTTTCGTTGTTGCTGAATAGTACTTATTAGATGCAAATAAAATAACTCAATAACCTGATTAATGCCATTAATCCAATCTTCAGCTTGTTGGACGGTCCCAGGCAAATATTGAGTGGGCCTTTGATTGAGCTCTGCACTTTGAATTACCCAATTGCCACAAGTCCAATGGACTGTTAACAAAGTTGGCCCAAATAGAAAAACTCAAGCTCTCAACTTCCCTAAAGCCCAAATATGAATAAATTGTTTAACGGAGGCTCTGTATGGGCTAATGTTCTTAGATGAGGCCTCATCTCTTAACCGTTTGATTAAATTGGTTAATTTTGATCCAACAGTTCATATATGGGATGGAGTCAGAACTCGAACTTTCACTTATATGTCTGTAGAATTTCAGTCAATAAAGAAAATTTTGAACACTAAGCAGTGCTCTATTGTTCATACCATAAGCCAGGCTAGCTTTTCAAGTACAATGCAACCGACCTGATACTTCCCACAAATTAATCAACATCTTAATTCACGTGACATAGAGTTATATACTTTATTATAATCCGTTTGGAAGAAACAGACACCAAATAAGACCATGTTTTGAGACATGATTATCAATAAACAAATCTAATAGAGTCTCATATGTATAAAAGTGTAAAAGAAAAGACCTAGCTACCAACTTGCAGAAATTGGATGCGCTTTTGGTCATCATGTGAGTCTGGATTCCATGGACGAACAGGTAGAAAGCAAAATGCTTCACAAGAAAGCTTAGAAAATGAAAAGATAATAATGCATGAGCCATTGAGCCTCCCTCTACCGTATACCAGTTGAGAGTTGAGAGAGATATGTCAAGAAGAAAGGGACAAAGTAAATATAGATGTGGGATATGGGAAGCCGAGCTCAAAGCTCAACACATGGACAAACAAATATCACAAAAATAAGGAGACAGCCAGACAGACAGAGATAAGGGACCTGAAGAACAGAGCAGAGCAGATGTCGCTAGCTCATACAACAAACAAATTAAGATAGCCGATAGAAAATATCAGCCAATAGGAATGCATATATTAAGAGGGTGATTCAGAGTAGTTATACATTATTTGCAGCTGCATGCATGGCATGGTAAATCCAAAGTGTCTCTTTGCCTTTTCGTTTGGTGAAGCTTTGCTTTGCCTAGTGTGTTGTGTTGTACACATGCACTCTACATTAGATCTTATGAAGAATGAGAAATTTAATATGTTGAGAGGTCGATGGACATGTCTTTTCACAGTATATGCTTGGAGTTTACTAGCATGCATTGCATGCACAAAAGAATGAGATATATCAGTGCACTGTTTACAAGAAACGGCTTTGAATGAAAATGGAACCCAAAAAAATTATATGTTCTTCTTTCCTTTTGTGTATTGATTGAGGGAAGTTTACGCAGCTCACTTCTCTTCTTTTTCAGATATGAAGTATTAGGATTTGGTTTTTCTTTTTTTAAAGTATTAGGATAAATTTTGAATACTTGCAACTAGTATTTGTGAATCTTACACTTGGGTGGTCAATTTAAGTTTCTACTATTATTCGTTTGTGAGATTTCTCATTTAAAAAGTTTGAGTTTACACTTGTCTCATGCTTATTTTCTCTTGTAGTAATAAATTATTTTTCATGTGTTAAAAACGATATATGTATTTAAAAACATATTGATATATACATGTTGAAGAATGTAAAGTCTCACATCATAAACTTAACAAAATAAAGTACAACATGTATAATGGGTGGGTGGTTCAACTACTAATAGCACCAATACATTTTGTATAAAATCTCACACATGTCGGACTATATAGATGACAATATCGATATTTACAAGAGTGGTGAGTCCATCCCTCTAAAACCTTAACAACATATTTAAAATGAATGGGAAGTAGAGTTAAACTGAATTATAAAGGGAATTTGGTGACCCCTGCTAAAGGAGAAAGGACGATAAAGAATAAAACAGAATTAGAAGGTGTCAGAGCATGTGACTTAGGGCCAGTGGCAAAGCAATAGCCAACCAGCTGCAGCTGCCAGCAGCACAGCTCAATAATTATATATGGATGAGCAGCTAGCATACGCAGGGTATGGCCTTTAGAGAAGGCAGGGGAGACAAAACGAAACCAAACGAGAGGCCCGTGAACAAGTCTAGCTATAGTACTGTTGTTAATGCATGTCTTATGTCTCTAATCTCCTCCTCTTTCATTGTTGACTGCCTCACTGAGTGCCCTCATGATGCGTATCTATTTGTTCTGACAGATAAAATTAAAACCCACCCTCTCTATCTCTCTCTCTCTCAAAATGCAAATTTCATTAGGAGAAGTAGGTGAATGGGACAAGTACATACGTACCGTTCTCTTTTTTGTCTCAGTTTAAGTCCCCACCTGCCTTCTGTGCACCTCCCAACTCTTTCAATCCCAACAGTGGAGAATTTTTGTCTTAATCTTCATGTCTTGCACTCTTTGGCTTTTCCTTTTTTTTGGCTTTTCCTTCATTCCTTCCCACACCGTTCATTCATTTTTAAGTGTAAATTACTAGACACCCTATCCCATATAGCTTTACAATACTTCCATATTCCAATCCAATCCAATATTACTGAATGTTTATACCTCCTCATGTAATTCCAATTCAACTCTAAAGCTCTAAATAATATTTTTACACTTTAAAACATTCAATCATGTCAATAAATAGGATCAAAATTATAGAAAGTTAAGTGAAAATGAGATTCTCTAAAGCGTCTTGTCTAATATGTACTTTTGACATGATTGATGTGAGTGGATGGCCAACTACAAAGTCACATGCAAAACTAGAACTTGTTCTATTGATTTTGTATTTAGGATACTGTTTACCTCCTTTTCCGTAAGGAGATACTCTTCCTTCATGCGAATCACAATTAGACATATATGTCAAAATAATTCATCAGAAACATATAAATAAAAACTTATGCATACATGTCGCACTGTTATTGATAGGAATATAGGAGCTCCTACTTACATAATAAGAAATGAAGTATTTTCATTGTATTTATTACATCATTTATCTTTTTCTTTATTTTGAATATGGGTTATTCTTAATAAACCCTAATGTTTTTGGATTTATATCTAAATTTTTATTTGGATTTTTAGCCTTTTTGCCCCCTGAACTATTAGACAATTCGAATTTACCCCCTGAATTATTTTGTCTTTCGACGGTAATGTGGATGAAATTGTTAGAAAACTAACGACAAGTCCCATATGGGCTATTTTAAACAAATAGAAGGACTAAATCGGCAGACGAAATAATTCAAGGGGCAAAACCGCACTTTACCTTTTTTATTTTTTAAACTTTGGGTAAATATACAATTTGCGGTACTTTTGCCAAATCACACACGACAAGAGAAGAAAAGCTTGGAAATTCAAAACTCCAAGACATATACCCACTAATCAACTAAAGCTCTCCTTGCTCTTCGCAAGCTATAAAAGCCAGGGCAACCCATACAATATGCACACACCCTTCCCTGCACTATATATAAAGCCCCATGCAAACAAGCTTCAAAATCTATCTACTGTTCGTTTAAGAGTTAACACCTAAAGTGAGTGAGAGAGAGAGAGAGAGAGAGAGAGAGAGAGAGAGAGAGAGAGCTATGGTTTCCGGGCTTCAGAAGAGAGCACCATTGCGCCGAAAGCTTCAAAATCTAAGCAGCCTTACCAAGATGAAATCTGTAATATTACCAACCAAAAACAAAACCTGCTTTTTAGTTTCTTATAGCATTTATATGCTTTGTTTTCTTCTATTAGCTTGCCTTGACCTTTTTAAATTGGTGGTTGTATGATTTAAGGTCAAGAGGAGCTCCATTTTCATGGAGGCTTTGCTCCAGATTTACATGTTGAAACTCAAGCTTGAAGCAGTCCAAAGAGAGTACCTGCATCTCATGGCTCTTAAAACAGAATACTTAAAGCTAATCAAACATTCTCAGGTCCCCAAGGTCTCCCTCTCAACCATTTTCTTCTTTTTACTTATATATTTAGCCATTCTATCTTTTTTTTTCAGTATATAATTTAATGTATATGCATGGATTGACAGGAAGTGAAGGTAGAGAAGATTGAGGAAGGGTTTCTTGTAAGAGTGAAGTGCGAGAACGCAGGAGACACTCTGGTTTCAGTTTTGGAAGCTTTTGAAGAAATGGGTCTTACTGTTCTGCAAGCTAGAATTTCAAGCAACAATTATTTTTCCATGGAGGCCATCGCTGTAACTGAAAACCAAAACCAAGACCAGTTGGATGTTAGAGATATCACGCAAGCAATTACTAGGGCAACCGAGTTTAATGGTCATTGAAAAGAGATGCATATGATGCTTTGTGGTTCCTCAAGTTGATAACTCTTAATTAGTGCTGCTGATCAATTTAATTAAGATTATTAATTGATTGATGCGCATCTCAGTATGTAATATAACGTAATGTATTTGTGTCACTGACTTCCTTTTTGAATTGAAAATGGAAAGGTTGACCCAAAAAGAAAAGGAAGAAAAAAGGGCATTCAAATGTGGTATGTGAAAATGAGATCTCAGACTTTTCTTTTTTCTTTTTCTTTTTTCCAATTTGGAATTTCTTCTCCCTTTTTTTTCTTTTGTTTGTGTGTGTCTCATGATATGTGGCATGTGAAAACCCAACTAAATGACCAATTAACTGTTGATCCATGAGTATTTCTCTTCTCAATCGTAAAGAGATTCCAAGTTCGAATCTTTCCATTTTAAAAAAAACAACTAAATGCAAATAGTATACTCGCGAAAATAAAATGGGACTGAACAAATGAAGTACTTTAGAACTGCACTTTTTTTTATCCAAACAAAAACAAAAAGTACTTTTTGTTAATTAATTTTTTTTCCAGTCTGGGCACATTATTGATATGGAAATCTTCGGTAACCTCTGTTAAATCATGGTTTGCTTTTGGCACATTGATTCCAAAAAAGATTTGACTTTAAAATAGTAAAGAATAGAAGAATCTGATTGGGCCTGTTCAAAATTTAGGACTGACTTATAAGCTTGGGCCTTTGCTCGAAAAGAAGGCCGGAAGAAAGGCTTGCTGGCCTAAATAGAAGTGGTAGGTGGTGGTGGTTGCAGGTGGAGAGAATGTTCCATTGAAGGTGGTGTTTAAAGTTGATTTGGTTACATATAATTAGGGTTGGGCAAGCAAAGCAACTGAACTGGCTAGGTTGCAGAAAAATAGGTATGCAAAATAAATGGTTTGAATGGGACATGGAGGAGACGGAGGTGTTATAGGGTACTATGGTCCAGGCAGGGCTTATCTTTGGAGTTCATGTATAGGTGCTTTCTGAATTTAAGCTTGGTCCATATGATATTTGATAGGTTGGTAGGTACTACCAAGATTTAAGGTACGAACTTGTTGGCAAACTATAAATGAGTAATATCGGCCCACCCATAAAATAATTTATCACATATTTACTTATTGGGTAAATTACTCAAATGGTCCTCAAATTTATACCCGATTTACATTTTGGTTCCTCAATTAAATTATTCGTTCAAATGGTCCATCAACTCTATATTAATCGCTCCATTGATCCTATCATTACATTATGTTAATGTTACCGTCAAATGTAAGGGTAAAACCGTCCATAATCGTCCTATGTTCCCCAAATAGGTGATAAAGTTGTGATAAAATAGTGATACAGTGGTGATACATAAGTGATACAATGGTGATAAAGAGGTGATATATAGGTCAAAAGTCTTATATACCCCCACAAATGTAGTATGTGCTGCTCACATGACTAAACTTAACAAAAAATGTAACGATAGGACCAAAGCACCAATAAATAAAGAGTTGGTAGAACATTTGAAAGAATAATTTTGTTTATGGACCAAAATGTAAATCGAGTACAAATTTAAAGACCATTTGAATAATTTATCCATACTTATTAATAATGAGTATTGGTCATGTTTGATTCCGTCTCATGTAACCCTAGAAAATTGTCCAATTATCTGTCAAAGCCAAAGACTGAGTGAGCTATATACCCCAGCATCTATAAATAAATAAAAAGATATTTGTTGAAGACTTGTATTTCTTGTCTAGCCACCTGAGGTTTTGATTGTGTATTAAGATATGTCGTTTTGGCCTTTGGGGCATTCAAAGTAATACTAGCAAAGTGTCTTATATATTTACCATAGGCTCTAGGGGCAACTTAGAATTCTGAAAGGGTATAACTTTAGTAGTGCAAATGTATTTCTGGTGAGCCTTTGGTCTTGTGGCTACCTAATCTTCATTTATATTTGATAAGTCTTTTTTTTGTGTGGTTATTTTGGGAGAAAAGAAACCTTGGGTGTTAAGTAGGGGGAACGAGGAGAGCCACAACCACTATGATACACTACAAAATATAATGCCTTTAGCGAGGGCGGTTTGTGGTCGAAAAAGGCCTTTTGTCGTCGGAAATACCTTTTTCCGACGGCAATTTGCCGTCGAAAGCCGTCGGAAAAACGCCCGTTGGAAATACTTTTTTTCCGACCAGTCCGTCGGAAATAATTTATTTCCAACGCCCATGTTTCGTCGATATTGCTTATATTTCTGTCAGAAATGGATTTTCAAAACAACTATACGAATTCATTTCCAACCATAAATATGGTCGCAAATACATATGTGCTATATTTTCAACTAGTGACTATTGGTCGAAAATAGTATTTCTGACCATAGATTATTATTTGTGATAAATATAATTTGTCGGAATTGTGCATTTCCGACATGGAAGTGTGTCGAAAAAAATGTTTTTCCGACTACATTTATAGTGATTATCAAGAGTAAAAAGCCGTCGGAATGTACAAATATTTTGTAAAAGAAATATAAAAAATATTTCCAATGAGAAATTGTTGTCCAAAAAATAATATATATTATCATTAATAAAAGATCAATGTAACAAATTCCAAAAGAAACTCATTACAATCCTAAGATATATCCTATATCACTAGTCCTCAAAGCCCACTTCCAACCGAATGAGGTGTTTTCAGGTCTTCATGTGACTTGTATGTAAATACGGCTTCCTTGAAATGCAAAACCTTATCCCATGATTCAAGCACACCTACATACAAATAGTTATGATAACCACAAATTGATCTTTATGAGGTAAAGAAAAAGATTAAGAGTTTACTAACATACCTGAAACATGACAAAATGGATCAAATAAAGAACTAAGGCCAAAAATACTTGTCTAGACCTGCGCCAGAGGTATCCCTTGGAGTATAGCATGTCTTTCTTGGGTTCTAAGTGCCTTTGGAGATATAATTGCTTGCAGCTTTGTCTAAGATCTGCTCCCATCTTGAAACAAAAGAAACCAGTAACTAGATAAGTTTGTTATTTAGTGTTGAGGTATTGAAATTTCAAATAAAATGATAAAGTTTATTTTGCCACAGTTCTAAGTTGAACATGATAAGAAGTATGTCAATTATTCTGTCCTATATCACACTCATCAAATTTAATACAACATATTGACTATGGACTATGGAGCAAAAGGAGACAAACCATAACAGAGCAGTAGCTCACCTTTACTTGTTGCTGGTCCCAGAACCTATACCCACCAAACCAGAAACAGAGGATATAAAAACATTGCTCCAGATGTTTTCAAAAGAGGATCTGCAAATTGAAAGATGGTATGTAGATTCTATGTTAGTAGCCATGAGTGAAGAATATTCATTAGAGTGCACTCAGCAGTTGGGTTCCTGATATTTGTCTCAACATCATTTACCTAGTCCCACAATCAAATTCAATATAACCCTTATCAATTTGAGAATTGAAGTCATAACCACAACCCGTTTGTACTTAGTTAGACTATGAAATATTAAAAAGTTCTTTGTGACATTTATACAAGCAGCTGGAGAACGAAACAAATAGGGGGTTACTTACAAGTAAGTTGAGCTTGCCATTGAAAGAAGAAGCCACTTCCGGTTTTAGACGAGGCGTCACAGACATACCCAGTGACCAGAAAGCCCTTAGCCTCCTAAGCAATTGTAGAGTTCTGCTTGGTTCCAAGAACATGTGTATACAGCCGCTCCAAAACCAGCTAGCTGCTCCACCACGCCTTATCTGACATGAAAAGAGAGCGATAAATTAAAATCCATTTAATTAATTTAAACAAAAAAACTCAGTTTTAAAAGAAACCCATGAGAGTGCAAACGAGATAGAGAGAGGTGCTTACCCGCGACAAAGAGGATGAGTGTTGTTTTGTGCTCTGTTGGCCACAACAGGGAAGAGGAAGATTGATTTTAGGTTTCCTTATGGCTGCGGAAAGGAAGAGAGAATGGGTTAGGGCGTGTTGAATAGAGAATGGGGTTAGTGCGTGTAGTTAACCTAATTTTGTGCATCTAACTTCCTTTTTTCTCTCTCAGAGCGGGAGTTTCTGATTTTTTTTTATTTTTTTTTGGGGGGGTGGGGGGGAAGGCGGCAACAAATTTTTATTTTTAAATAAGTGTTTTTAAAAAATATTCATTTCTTAAATACTTTGTGAGTAAATTTTTGACTAACTCAAAATTACATTTATGAAAAAAAAAATCAACACACAACTACATTTTAAAGAAACAAATATATAAACCAACAGTATATATATATATTAAAATATGAATAATTATAAAAATAAATGGAGAATAGGAGCTAGTTCAATAGAGATTCTCCACATAAAATGATAGAACAAAAAATAAAAAAACAATAAGGAATTATATTGGCATGCTCTTGAGTGTGTGAAGATAGGCTAGTGGTAATGTAAATTCAAAGTGCCAACTAAAACTCAAATCAGTTTGTAAACAAACAAAACACTAGTTAATGTTCGATAACCTAACGCTCTTGCTTCTTTGATCCAATGATTACTATAAACTTAATTATGTGGAATCATGATTTTAGACCTCTAGAATCAAAAAATTTGTCGTAAGCTATATGTAGCTTTTTTTGGTATACTTTTCTAATTTTTATTTAATTTGTTATGAATTTGTTAAGATAAACAACAAAAAAGTCAAAAAAAATAGGTGGTGTTGTGGTATAAGGACATGCATCACTAACACAGAAAAAGCACTTGTAAGCAGCTGCCACTTGTCGATCAATTCAGTTTAAAATATATTTTATATGATTTCACTCCTAAAAATCAAAATAAATACATTAAAAATCATTCACCAAAAATTCCTACAAAATCCTAGTGACATTCTCTTTGTCCTAAAGCTTCAAAAATATTATTTTTACTTATGAAAATTCAAAGCGACAACAAAAACTCAAATTAGTTTGTAAACAAACAAAGCACTAGTTAATGTTTGATAACCTAACACTCTTGCTTCTTTGATCCCTCAATTATATGGAATCATGATTTTAGATCTCTAAAATCAATGGATTTGTTGTAAGGAATGCGTAGCTTTTTTCAGTGTATTTTTTTTAATTTAATTTATTATGAATATTTTAAGATAGTGATTTCCGATGACCACTAATTCCCCTTGTAAATAGAAAAATTATTACCAGCGACCATATGTTGCCCTTGTAACTAGGTTGTGATTTTCGACAACTGTGAATATGCCCTTGGAAACAAGCACAACTATTACTGAGAAGGATGAGTTTGGTCGTAAATATAAAGGCATTACCGAGCAGACATATTTCTCCTCGGAAATAGTCAAACAATTCCGACGGCATGAGAAGTCCCTCGGACATAATCATCTTATTTCCGACAAACAAATTTTTTGTCGTTAATAAAGTTGGCGCTAAGTTTTCCCGCCAAATAAATTGCATTTCCGACGGCCATAGAGGCTTTTTTCGACGGCCGTTTATTTGTCGGAAATAAATTACAGGCCCGTGACATATTTCCAACGGACAACATTTTTTCGTCAGAAAAAACACTTTTGCCGAGGGAATTTGGGGGCCCTCAGAAAAAGTTGGTCGGTAATGAACCTTTTTTTTGTAGTGATAACCCTGCTTGACATTTGATAAGTCTTTTTGATTTTCATGCTCAGATCTTTTCTTTTCTTGACACAATTGTGCAACCATGTCAATACAATGATTTTTTAAGATCGTGATGTCTTATTTGCTTATTAATCATTGTTTCTTGTAAATAATAATAATAATAATCTTACTAATTGGGCTATTAAATAATAATATTATAGATTTTGTTGGTGTTTATTTTTCTGTCAATTTAAAGTCTCACCTTTTTACCTGCAAAGGCTTATCAATTTTCAATAGATTTTTGTACTCTGATCCAAGCCGATCCAACTTTTTCACTAGAAACAGTTCCATATTAGCACATTCGCAATGTGCATGGTATCCATCAATAGAAGCTTCTTCTATAAATATATATAACTTTAACAAGTAAAGTACGCGGCTGTTGTAATTGCCGAAGCTTTGTACTTTTAAATTGCACCCCCCATTGATAATTACACAAGCAAGGCCTGCACCCTGCAGCCTGCAGCCTGCAGCTTCTTACTTACCATCATCAATTATTAGTTTAATTAGTTTTAGCACATTCACACTGATGCTGACCCGCTTGATGATGAAATCATAGATTTCTTCTTTACTGTTAGAAAGACAAGGAAGGTGCACTCTCATTGGAGCTCGAAAGGGAGAGAAACTTGCACACGGCGTAAGTTTTTTTCTTTCATATCACATATATACTCGTTACGTGTAAATTTTTTTTCGTTTACGGAGGGCCAATCGGTGAAATAGGATCATTTCTCAATTCTCATGAACACACAGTTCATGATCATACAGTAAAAATTAAATTAATGTGAGTTAAGCGGGATCTGTGAATAGTTCGAGAGACATTTTCTAACTACATGTGGTTGGTCGAAAAGAGCAACTTATATCACACCCCAAGAAAACCTAAAGTCAGAAACAAAGCTAAAGTCAACCGTTTAGATTGGGGTCCTTTCCGTGGTTTGAGGAAGTAGCTCCAATATTTTTTGTCCCACTAGAAGAATATAACTATTCTTATATATTTCGGTGCAACAAGATTAATTCGCATATCTTCAAGCAAATTCATGTCACATCTCACAATAAAACTATTTATAAGGGGAGTATTGATCATCTATCTAAATCAATGACTCATTTATGGAATTGTTGCAATTGACATATTTACTATTCACATTTCAAACTACATTTATCGATCTCAAACGTATAATGTATTTAAGATTTCCTTACATAAGTATTTAAACCCAAACATGAATTTTTATATCAATAAAAGTACGGGCACCAACTTGTTTATCAACTTTTGGATACCAACACATGTGGAACATGACATGGCAACCCATGTCATCTGCCATCTCATCTATTTTAATTACATAATTTATTATATAAATAAAAGAATTTCTCACTGAAAAAAGATATAATTAAATATAAAAAACTCATTTAATATTCAATAACACTACGGGCACCAATATTAAAATAGATGAGATGGCAGATGACATGGGTTATCATGTCATGTGTCACATGCGTTGGTATCCAAAAATTGGTGCCCGTAACGTTATTGATTTTTATATATACGAAAAATGTGATCAATAATGTAATCAAGAAAAAGCGACTGTTTCTGATTGCATGGGGAACAAATTAAAGAAGGTAAATCCACCTCGTACCCCACCCTAATTAGACAAAGTTATGATCTGACCCCAGACCCAGAGTGTTACACGGATCAGAACATGTGGGTTGCAATTCTATTGGTTGTGATCAGAAAAGCTTTAATGCGACATCTACTCGCCAGATATACCTCCAATTCTGATCACATCGTAGTCAGAAATATCAACACATATAAATACTATATTAATATTGAATATTTCATTTCATGTCGTGCTTAGAAAGCATATGTTTGGCTCCTAGGAAAATTAAAATAAAGAAATTCAAATGTGAAAGAGGAAGGGGAATGGGAAGTTTCCCTTCCTTGAATGTAAGCTGTGACATGTGTATGAGAGTGGGTGAAGGAAATACTAAAATAAATAATTATATTAATAGTATAATGATTGAATAATTAAAATCTCGAACATATACATTGCTTCACGGCATCCATGGGGCTCTAGAAGAAGACTTGTGTGTGTGTGTATATATATATATATATATATATATTTTTAGGGTTTTTGATATCTTTGATGTAACAAACAAACTGACTGACGAATTGGCATTTTCCATCCCTCTTCTTCCCTTGAGAGGGGGAAGACGGAGACTGCAGCAATAGTAATATAAACTGACTTGGTCAAATTCTGAGGCTAAAAACTTAGGGCCACGACAAATGTTTTAAATTTGGAACCATCCCAGATGCCATTAAATGTAAGTTATCGATCCAATTATCCAAATGTGAGAGATATTATTTTTGGCTTTGTCTTTAGTCATGCCCTTCAAAATAGTATTATCTTCCACCTTTTGGGATTACTCTATGTCTATCTATGGCACCCCAAAACAACTTCCCTTTAATTCCTTTTTAATAGTTTTGAGAATCATAAACATAATATTCAATATAAAAATTTCTCTAAAAACTGAGGTATAATATCGCACTCGAGTTTGAATCTCTCTCTCTCTATAGTTTAGATTATATTAGAGTAGAATACCTCTTGTATTAAAAAAAACCAACAACATGAGAACGTCATTGAGGGATTGGTTAAGCTAAGCTCATAGAAGTTTAACAAAGAATTTAGGTGTATTTGACTTTTCTCATTATTTAAGGGAAACTTGATTTCGATTAGATAGATAGGGGTAAGAGCCCTTGAGAAAAGGGTATGAAGACAAAATTGATGACATCATCCTGTTATAATTTGGATTAGAAAAATTAATCGAGCCGATTTTTTTTTTTCTAAAATTGAACCATACTTCTCCTTCTATCCTTGGTTGGGCTGAAAAGTCCGTGTGAACTAAATAAAAGTGGGTTCTCCAATGAATATGACGGGGGCAGAACGAATTTAATATACTTGTTTATCATTAATTACCAAAGGAGTAGGTTTTGGCATGCTTGCAAAATAATATAGACAACAATTTATTAGCAATGTGACTGAATATTAAGAATTAAATGAGCTCTATGGCTTCGCAGCCCCAAAATATGTATCACTATTAGGGCAAGGCTACTCAATATCTCTATTATTATGAAGCCATTCCAAATTTTGATTTGCCTAAATTAACTTTTTGTAATAAAAACTCTCGCCACGAAATTGCAATATAAATTTGTAAATTTATAGTAAGAAGTAGGTGAGCATATGGGTTACGGTAGTAAGTATATTGGATCCTTAATAATACTTATCGATTTTATAAAAAATAGACCCTTGCGAGAGACTAGTCAAATAAAAGATTATAGCCACGAAGTGTGGTTTCACAATAAACCCCATTTCAAATCAAATCAAAGAAACTTCATCTAGATCTATGGAAAAAAATAAAAAATAAAAAAGGTTGAAACATTCTTAATTCTTGATTTTGATAAACATACCCCCACGAACATTCATAAGATGGACTTTTCTTTTTGAGTGAGGGGAGTATGGGACAGTGAAATATGAGAATGCAGTCTGCTGAGGCTTACGTGAAGCAAAGGTTCAAAATTGGAAAAAAAGGAGAGAGGGGTCGCTCTCAGCTTGCAAAGTGATTAGTTTGGGCAAACAAAAGGGATAATAATTCATAAATCCATTATTGGGGGTCTAAATTAAAGAACACACATTTGGTTGCACGTCCTTTAAATAAATAAATAAATAAATCCAAAAGCCCATTTGTCAATGTGGCGGCCAATTTTTAAAGGACCCACCCTCCTCCTCTAATGCCTCCCCTCCCTCCCTCCCTCCCTCCCTTTGTTTGTTCTTCTTCTTCTTCTAAACCCATCAACCAAACCACTCTCCCCATCTCTCTCTCTCTCTCTCTCTCTCTTCCTCTCTGCGCTAAGCAGCCCACTTTGTGTTTTCTACAAATCACCATCAAATTCAGCAGTTCCAAATTCCAGCAATGGACTCTACATTCTTCAACAGCAGCAACAACAACAGCAACAGCAGAAGCAAACAGTTTATGAGCGATCAAGAAGAGAACGACAATACTACCAGCTCCACACCAGAAAATAGCTCAGGCTCTCCTCCTCCACACTCTACCAATTTCAGTGACTTCTCCAAGATCACTTCCACCTCCTCCCCCAAGAAAAGGTCTCAACTTTATCCTCAATTCACCAAATTAATTCGACCCAGTGTTCAATAATGGGAATTCATTATTTATTCAATTAATGTTTACGTTAATTCAATTGTTACAGTGCTCGGCGAGCCATACAGAAACGAGTGGTGTCGATACCCATCAAAGGAGACAACAGCAACACTCCGCCTCCGTCCGATTCTTGGGCTTGGAGAAAGTACGGCCAAAAACCCATCAAGGGGTCGCCTTACCCCAGGTAATTTGATCATCAAATCCATAACCCAATTTGAATTTCAACCCAAGCTCCAATTTTGCAGAGCTGGTGTCTGTGATCAGTGACTAATTTTGTGCTCTGTTTTTTGCCTTCCTTTTTTGTTTCTGGGAATTGGTTAATTTACCAAATTGGGCAGAGGATATTACAGGTGCAGTAGCTCAAAGGGCTGCCCGGCAAGGAAGCAAGTAGAGAGAAGCCGCGTGGACCCCTCCATGCTCGTCATCACCTACTCCTCCGAACACAACCACCCCTGGCCCGCTTCTCGCAACCACCACAACCATCACCAGAGCAACAGCTCGAGCTCCGCCGCAGCCGCCGCCACCACAACCAAACCCGGCTCCAACAAGACCGAAGCCCCGGAGGCCCAGCAACCCGAGCACCAAGACCACGACCCGACATTCGCGGATCTCAACAACGAGTCGCTCCTCACACACGACGAGTTCGGCTGGTTCGCCGACATGGAAACGACGTCGTCGACGGTGCTCGAGAGCCCAATTTTCGCCGAGAGCGGCTGCGCTGGTGGGGCCGACTCCGCTGACATGGCAGCGATGGTTTTCCCGATGGGGGAAGAGGACGAGTTGCTCTTCGCTGATCTGGGCGAGCTACCGGAGTGCTCTCTCGTTTTTCGGCACCGGGGGGTGGGACCACAAGTTCAGATCTGTTGACACGTGTCATCCTCTAGAAGGCCTCCATTTTTTTCTCTGTCCTTTTTTACACACTCTCTCTCTCCCTCCGTATATACAAGAGTTTTGTCATTTCTGTCATTCAAACGCGTATCGTGCGCCATAAGATACCCTAATTTTTTTTTTTTTTTTTTTTTTTTTTTTTTCTTTCTTTCTTTTTTTTTTTTTTTTGTAGCAATAAAATTTATTTTTGCCTTGATTTTAGCGTAGTGATTAATGAATAAACAAACTGTTAATCTGAATCTGTCGTGATGTGTGTGTAATTAGCTTATTTGGCCGTCTGTTTTCAATTTGTGTATAGAATAGATAGATAGAATATTCTCAAGTGGGTCTCACCAATCCAATTATAGAATAATTTTGTACAAAATTATGCATGTAACGTAATTCAAAATTATGAAAATGCTTTTTTTTTGGTCTTCTCATTCTCAAATTAATTAGTGTGTAAATAGGATTCGGGAGAGATCTAATTTAACCAAATGCATTAACTCAGACTGTTAGCTAGCCCTTGGCCCCTTGGCTAGTTTATTTGTATAATTTGAGAACTTTTGATTGCCGGAAGCAATCAACCCTACATTTTAAAATCGTTTCTTGTTATTTTGAGTGATATACTATTGAAATGATTCCTAAACTTACTGGTTTTGAGTTTTCATATCGATCGTGTTATACAATCATCTGTATATCTTTTTCATTAAACTTAACGAAGAAATAAACGTATTATTGAATACAATTCTAATTATTAAGTGTTCATTATTTTCACGTACACTTAATAATGTTTTATAAGATAATTTAGGTTTTAAGTTCTCCCTTAATTAGCTAAAACCAGACCAGCCCACACTATCGGAATTGGGAATTGCTAAGGAACTGAGTAACATTCTCATTGTTCGATTAGACGTGGAATTGAAATGCCTCTATAGACAAGCAGATCAGATCATTCTAAAGTCAAACCACCGAAAAAGTGTTTGACTTTTAGGTGATGCTAGCTGGATTTGACTTCATCAGCCATTATTTGGTGGTCCATTAAAAAAAACACAAATAATATCTTGTTTACACCCCAACCCCAACCCCAACCCCAACCCCAACCCCAATTCAGATAACCCTGCCGATTCTAACCCTAAAATTGGCTGGAAGTGTTGATATAATATAAGAGTGGTTGAAGACTAAAGAAGGGGACCCAAGTGAATAAATAAATAAATATTATTAAAACAACATGAGATGAGATGAGATGAGATGAGACCCCTCTCTTGTTTTGTTGGCCTTTTATTTTGCAACACCTGCACAGAGCATGGTGCGTCACATATATTGTGGACAGTCATTGCTCACGTAATCAAATAATCCTTGGATAGTTGGATCGGATCTACTTCTTCCTTATCCGTTTAGATTCGTAATTAAATTAAGGCAAATGACAGCTTAGCCATGAAGATTCACCATTTTTATAAGCATAACCTGCAAACCCTGCAAGCTTTTGTCTCTCTATGTAACATGCTTACATTAATACCTTCCGCTAGTATTGCTGGGTTTCAAGTTTAAAAATGACAAACACGCGTAACGATGGTAGAGCGGAAAATACTTTTATATCATATCAGATAATTAATTTTGATATTATGTTATTAAACTGACGAAATATATATATATATATATAAAACGTGAGAGAATGTTATAATGCAATTGGTGGTACATTATGGGATCCACATGCATCAACAATTCATAGTCACTCAAGTGAGCGTGGCCCATGCTAGCGTAATTTTATACAACGTATTTTGTGATGAGTACCAGGCTAATTTGTGGATAGCAGCCTAGGCTACTGGATTCCCGGCGGCGCCTGTGGCTGAGGAAAGGGTTTGGTTGATTCATATGTGCCAATGAATATTATGAACAGATCATTTAAACGACGTCCAAACTAGATTTTTAAATTGTGTTTTTATCAAAAATACGAAAAAGAAATTCAAAAAACGACATGCCTTACTGTTGGCATGCACACTACCTTCACCAACTGTTTTGTTTGCTAGGCATCAACCAGCACGACAGCCTGTCTTGAGAGAACTAAACTGCAGCACAGGCACAGCCAAAGTCTTAAGCAGCCAACAACCATCATGAAACATACACGAAATACGAGAGACTATGTACGATGGGGTCGAATAAACAATTTCAATTAATTGGTGTTCGAAGAATAATTCTTGAAGTACAGAATTCTGGTGCAAATGTGCCCCACTCAACACCTATGTGAAAGTAAGACATGTAACATCTTGTTTCTAAACAAGCTTATCTTCACCAGCTAAACATCTGTCTTGGGTAATTAATGATAATGACAATGGAAGTAAAGACATCTCCGAGATCTAGAAAAAATTCTGCACAACCACGGTATACAGAGAAACAGATGTGGCAAACATAAACCCAGCTACATCTGGTGCAGATTCAAACTCTAGCTTGAGCAACAGCCACCTTTCTTCACAGCCGAAACATCTTTACTGATATCGATTTTCTCTCCCTGGGAAGGAACAGCTGAAGCAGCAGCTTCATCTCCAGCCTCCATGGCCTTCCTGCTCACGACACGAAAGATCTGGGTAAGGACTTCAGCAAATGCATTGTCCACATTGGTTGCTTCGAGTGCAGAAGTTTCCATGAAGTAGAGAGACTCCCTCTCAGCAAAGGATTTTCCATCCTCAGTTGAGACTGCAACAAGGTGACGAAGATCTGATTTGTTACCAACAAGCATGACAACAATGTTGGGATCAGTATGGTCTCTTAACTCCTTTAACCACCTTTCCACACTTTCAAATGTTGAATTCCGAGTGACATCGTACACAAGTAGTGCACCCACAGCCCCTCGATAGTAAGCACTAGTTATCGCTCGATACCTACAGATACAAAAAGGAAATACATTCTCTATTGTGAAAGGAATAAAAAAGTAGAGACTTTCACGTCAAGTTCCCAAAATTGCAGTAATTTACCAATACCAAATAACGATTATAATAATAACAATATATTATCCAAAGAAGATAAACTACCAGTAAACAAAATCAAAATCCCATATACCACATCATCAGAAAGAAACAATTTACCAAACCATCCTGGTAATAGCTGTTGAAATCAATTAACAAAAAACTATCTATAGAATAAGCATATTGAATTACAGGTAGCTGTCCCAGCACAAATGTCAACATCAGCACATAAAAGGAATTCTGTCAAATCATACATTTGAATGAGAATATGATACAACCATGCACAACACATCATTTTTTCTATTCATAATGGTACCTTCAGTATACAGACAACAAATGTTGTTAGTGAGGGCTGGATTGAGGGGGGTGGCTTGGGGTATCTAGTCTCAGATACGGACTTTAAGTCGGACGGTGGTTTTGCTATGTTTGAGAAGAACAGACATGTTTTTGTGCATATTGAATAACATAGTGTGGGGATTAATTATCTCCCATCCTCCATGGGTTAAATAGTTCAACTGTAGTGGGATAAGGCGGGTTGGTTGGATGATTTTATGTACCCTATCCCAATCCCGCGTGCACATCTAAGACCAGATATTTGGTGTGTCAATCAAAACCTTAATGTTGCAAAAAAATAGGGCAAATATTTTGACTTTTGACTTTTTTTAGGAGAGAGGAGGTAGTCATGTTTAGAAGTATTGCATAAGATTACTTGCGGTATATATTCTGAACATGCGAACACTTGAGACGTAAGTTTTCATTTAGATAGGATCCTTGTAAATATTGATTTCAACGGAATTTTCATACACTACATCAGAAGTACACAATAGCTTAGAAATTAAAGGACTCTCAATATACTTCAGAAAATTTGTTTCAATGGGCTGACCTCAATTCTTACCAGGAAATCACGTATAATTCAATAAAGAGATTTTATAATTATCTAGTAAGTTTAGGCAGACCATTTCATAAGAATTTGCAGCAAGTTTGTTGTCATATTAAAACATTCATTATTTTCTTCCTCTGAATGCTATATAAGGAAGTAGACCTGGTAGGTTGCACACACACTGCACACCTCTGGCTCAAATAAAAAAATCATATAATATTTTAGCTCGAGGGTAATTGAACTGTCTCACAGAACAGTAAAGTAGACTAGATAATCCTCAGAAGCTGGTTTTCAGGGTGCTCAAACTATCATCCATGATTGGATATGCCTCCATTTGCACGAACACTTAATATAAAAGCACAATACTGGCTAAACAGATATGCAGAATGCCCTGCCCACTGACTAACGTTCAAAGTGAAAAGGCATGTGAATGGTAATAAAATCACTGATCAAGATAGTGAGGTTGTACTTCTAGTCGCAGTAATGGTTTAAATGGCAATAAATTAACAAAGCTTTCAAGGAAGTATGCGATTTAAAGGGACCATAACACTATAACATAGCTACCTTATAATGCTTACAATACAGACCAGAAACCAGGGTTACATTGCATGAGTAATTCCCACCAGTAATTCAGTCAAGAAAGCATAATATTATGCTTAACTTATACGCGTCACAATTAATGTCACATTTAAAACAACAACAATAATAATAATAATAATAATAAATAAAATTGAACTGTAAGAACACTGTGAAACCGAGCATAAATTATATACTTCTGTTGAAAACCATGTCATAATTCAAACTATGCACTTTGAGAAAATCAGTTCGATTTCTCAAACTCATTATGTACATGAATCAACAGTTAGATTGTAGATCTCTCTAATAATTCAAAGGTAAGTTCTGATGTAACAATCACGTTCTACTAAGATGCTTGCTACACATAGCTGTATTGTATTCCAATTCATCTTTCTTCTACCAACAGACAGCAACTTTTCTCCTCATAAGTAAATGTAAGAATATTCAAGGGGGTGACAACCATATTGAATATGAAGCCCATAGGACAACTTGAAAGCCAATACAATGAATGACCTCCACCAAAATCTACCGAAAAACTAGCTCAAAACAATGACTTTGAAACTGATGTTAAGGTTGTTTTGACTAGTATCATATAGTGAGAGGCATGCAAGCAGCTATAGGCCACTTCAACAAAAGCCAAACAGCGCATCAACCAAGCTTCACAAGTAATAGTATTTAACAAACAGCATTTCACTCTAAATCAGCAACACCCTTCTTAAAACTAAGTACCTTCCGGAGTAACAAAACTAAGGTCATCTATATTGTCGAACACTGGTAATGGCAATAAATTCTTTTGAGCATATGATAGACATAAGGTTTTTTAAGCATTGTATCGGATTTTTAATGTTGCAGCAACTGGGCTTTCCGATATAGTACCCATTCACATCACAGGAAGTAAACATTATAGAGACCTAAAGACACTTCTTGCACATTTCAGTTCATGTCTAACTCATGTATACTTAATGTGACTGCAAAAGAGAATACGCATAACAATCACAATATAATGCAAAATTTGCTGAGACTGAATCAAGTTTGATCTGTGCAAAACTTGGATTGTTATAAAGCATATCCTATGTGAGAAATCTCTCATATAAAAACCCAGAAAAATATTTGCGTACATCTGATTTAATTCCAAGCTCTTCAGATCTACTGAAGAAACCCCAATTAATGCACCAAATCTAGAGGCACCAATCAAATTGCAAAAGATTAAATCTTTCATTACTTAAAACCAACAAACCTTGACCCTCCATTCAACCAAGCCAAACACATGCAGTTACAAATAGTTTCTATGTCTCATGATCATCAGCTAAAAGTTTCAAACCAGATAAAAACTCAAGAAATTGAGCAAGACCCAGATCATAAAGCAGCAGAAACATGAAGAAAAAAGCAAGAAAGCTGACCAACCTTTCTTGACCAGCAGTGTCCCAAATCTGGGCCTTAATGACTTTTCCATCGACATCCAAGCTCCGGGTGGCGAACTCAACGCCGATGGTGGACTTGGACTCGAGGCTGAACTCGTTCCTGGTGAACCTGGAGAGCAAGTTGGACTTGCCCACGCCCGAGTCTCCGATCAGCACCACCTTGAAGAGATAATCGTAGTCATCTTCAGCTCTGTACCCAGCCATTGCAACACAGACAAAGCTACGTTCTTTCGGCTTCCAAGAAGAAGCTGAAGAGAAAATGGTGATCTCGTTCTTTAGATCTCTTCCCCTATTTTGTTTCCCTCTGAAAATTTGTTTGCTTGTAAGTTTTCGGTGTTTCTTTTTTCAACCTTTCGGCTTTTCGGAGGCGTGTCAGACCTGTCAAAGACTGCTGTCTGTAAAGAGAGAAGAGGGGGTGGCGTGGAGGTGTCTCGGGGAACTCCAAATGACATTTGTGCCCTTGCTGGAGCCATTTGGATTAAAAGGAGGTAAAAAATCATGAGGGTGTTTTTGACATTTTAAGATGCGATTCATTTTCCAATCTTGGGTTTTCTCATTTCTGGTCTTGGGCTAAACTATTTAGTGGGCTTTATGTTACAAAAAAAACTGATTTAAGAATAAAATTGTGAATGATAACGCTCGGTGGTCCTTTTTGGTCAAAACGTTCGGTGGTCCTTAAATCTCAATGAACGATAATAAATAGTGAAGCAAGAAAGGAGTGAATTTAGCGGTTTCTGAGTGAGATATTAAGAATTTCCTTTTATTTATATTTATTTATAGTTATGTTAGTTGACTAAAACAGTATATATTTATATTTATTTATAGTTAGGTTAGTTGACTAAAACAATATATATGCTATTTGTAACTAAGTTCGAATCGAATCATCCTCCTCATAATTATTGCTCGTATAAGAAAATTTGTTATATGTTTTTTTGGTTTGAAGCTTGTATTTTATTTGTCTATCCAGCTGCTCTATGAGAAAACCTTGAAGAAAAACCCATAGCGCCCTTTTTGGAGGTCGGCGGTCACCTTTCCTATTCTCTTCTTTTTCCCTATGGATTCTTTGTTTTTAGTTTTTGGGTTTGTTTTGTTTTGTGATGATGCTGGTGTGTAACGTTGTCATCACCATGATGTAGTTGTTGTTTTTTGGTCCACACATGCAAGGATTTGGCTCCAGTTGTCAGTCTTCGATATAGATTTGGAGCTACGAAGCTGGGATAATGTGATGTCGGGTTGCGTCGAGTTCGGGTTTAGCCGGTATGACACTATGACTCTCTTTGGGTTGCCCGAGAGGATGTGGAACGGTGGTCTTGTTTCTTAGTTTGTTTTAGTTTAATATTCTCATGAACTTTTTAGGAGTTTGATGTGGTTTGTTTTTTTGTTTAGAATATTTTATTTCCTTTTGACTTTTGACTTTCGATGCAGATTTGTCATTTATGTTGTTGACAAATTTTTATTGCAGGTTTGAGTACTATGCTTATGGTTGTTAATTATGGAATTTTAATAATTTTTTGTGTTGTGCGAATTCTCTCCATATCAATTCAACTTGTTGTTGCATTTGGTCGCTGAAGAAGTTGTATGCACTTTAATTGCTTTGTACTTGTTTTTGTTTATCTTATCAATCAAATACTATCGCTCTTTATCAATTTTTTTTTTTAGAACGGAGTATAAACAATCCATCAACCACAACTTATTCAAGAACATGAACTTCTCAGTTCTTGCCTAACACCACTGAATGAAACTCCTCACATTTGTAACATGCACTTATCGATTCAATATATACCAGTATTAACTTCCCAATCCGCACACAAAGAACACCACAACTTAGCCTTTCATTGGCAACATATACCTGCTTCTTATAGCAAGTAGCATCTACCCCATGTATAATTAATTAGATTTTCGGTCCCTCAATTTGTCGTCTATTGGTTGATTTTTTAAATTTTTTATGGCTACATCTTTCTTATAATAAGACCTTTTGATAAAACATATATCATGTACGCTGGTTTATGGTTTTGACTCATGATAAATATCATAGCCCATGTTAGCTCTTAATTAACATTCGATAAGCATCATTTCTGGTAATCATGAAGCATGATAAAAAGTTTGAAACAAGTTGGGGGAAAGGCATGTTTGAGTTAATTAAACGACCAATCCACCCATCATGTGTCTCTTAAAAAAAGCAAACTGAAGGCACCACCATTGGGGTTATATCCATATAAAAACTCACTTACAAATACCAACAGAAGACAAACTGAGTTGACAAACTTGATTCATTCTTTTCCTCCTTTGGCCCTTATAACTCTAATGTTTTGCTTCCCATCAGTGTCTCATTCATAGAGTGGATAATATACAGTAATCTTGATGCAGGAAGATGGTGGATAAGTAGGTAAACGCAGTCCACAGATTTTGCACCAGGGATCTGATCAATTTCATTTCTGACACATAAGGCCCCCATCAGATTCCCAGAAAAATTCAGAAAAGTACTTTTCAGATTCTTAGGCAAGTACTGTTTCTTGCTTTCTTTCAAAAGCTTAACAGAGATAATCAGGAATGGGATTATATGTGTTACATAAACACAACTGCTTTTGCCTTAATCCACCCCCACATTTTAATTAAAGATCTTTCTCACCAACCTAAAGATTCACCACCAACCATGAATTATACAAAACATTGAGAAATTAGTTGGAGTGTCCCATGAAGTAGACCCACAAATTATTTTGTGTCACCAAGTCCATGCATTACGCCCTAATTCAAATTTTTTTGATTGATGTGGTACTAATCATTTTAAATATAAGCAGCTGTGATGTCAACTCTCCACAAATTATTTTGTGTCACCAAGTCCATGCATTATGCCCTAGTTCAAATTTTTTTTGATTGATGTGGTACTAATCATTTTAAATATAAGCAGCTGTGATGTCAAATCTCTCTCTCTCTTTCTCTCTCTCTCTCCATAACTCTAAAGTTTATTAAACTTTTCAAAGTTCCAATGACTCTTTAGCTGAAAAATGAGTGCTACCTCAGATTGGAGAAACACATAAAGAATCAAGTATTATGGTAGCCACGACCTCCCTATATGATTGCATACAGCCATACACGTCCTTGTCACAGTTCCTTTTATACACACACATTAAATTTGTCCATTTTCAATCCCACATATGATATATGCCACACCCAACCTTTTTTTTGTTTATCATTATCTTATTCTCTTTACAGTTCCATTCTTGATTCTAATTTGTCCAAATGTCTGGTTCTGAGTCTGAGGCCTCTTCTTCCTCTTCTCCTTCAACTGGATTTCCTAACAAGTGTCCTCCTCCATCTGCGCCAATGGTGCAATTGGTCCCAAAATCCACTTCTGATCGACTGCTTCAGAAATTCTTTGATGCCGCAGAGTTTGACTTTGATTATGAGCAGAGTGGATTGTGGTCTCCTCCCGTAAAGCGCACCGTGTTCTTGAGCTCACAAGGTAGAATTTTCACTGAGCAAGAAATGCTAGCTAAACTTTCAACTCTAATGGATGCTCCTACTTCAACACACAAAGCTTGCTGCAGAGTAAGTTGCTAGCTACCTGTTTAATCTGTGTTTGTGTACTCGTTTCTTCTTCCTTTAAGGATATTTTTATGTATGTTTCCGTGTGATCTTTTGTAGGCTTTCTGGTGCTTTTGAAGGATGCCTTGAAGCCATTCTTACAGTATATTCGTGAGGATTGCAGGTCAAGAAACAAATACTGAGCAAACAAGGATGAAGAAACAGAGAACCCCATTTGTAGTTCTCCTCTCCTTTATCATGTAAATGTCCCTTTTTTTAAAAAAAAAAATTAAGAAAATGAAAAGAATTTTTAAATATAAGAAATATGTTGTCACCGACCCCTTTAGTTCTTTGAGTTTTTGCCTTGTTCTTGGTCTTTCTTTAATTGCATTTGCAAAACTGAGAAGTTCTGTAATCTGCATATGCTCAGTTGTTCAATTAGCTAGTGATTCATTAGTGGAAGCCATTTAGAATTATCTGTTAGCAGAAGGCAAAAACTGGGTATTGGCTAGCCACAAAGATTTTTACTGCAGGAGGTGTATTATATAAATGATGAAGAAAAAATAGAGCTGGGTTCTGGCAGTGGAATTTATAGCCTATGGTAAACTTTTGCAAATGTGTCAGTTTCATGATGTTTTTATGATGGATCCATGACCAGACCTGAAGTCTGATAATGACTTGTAAACATCAGGACAGGTTCAAACCCCCAAAAAAGAAAAGGGGAAAAATTTGTCATTGCTAGTTTTTCTACTAGAAGGAAGATCCCTTAATCTTTTTGTGGAGGAAGATGCATTAATTAACATGCTGTAATTAGTGAGGTCATGCACCATATTTGACAGACTTGTGAGAAACATATCCCAAAATCACAGCTCATTCAGACAGAGACTTCTTGTGGGTCCTCTAATTGCAGTATTTGCATTCAAGAACGAAGGGAACAATGTCATGCCAGAGAAGAAAAACTTGCATGTTACGCAGATATCACTGTTCTGCTATCTTCATCCAATCACGTTCCACCATGTAGAATCCTTATCACACGTGTGATTGGTTGGGAATAGCAAAACAGTGTTAATCCCCTTGATATGCAAGTTCTTCTCGAGCTTCACAGACTTCTAAGATTACCTGCTACAGCTCTGTTTCATGCAAGCTTTGAAGAATTCCACTTGTAAAAACAGATTCTTTGTTTTAGTGTGACAAGGTCAGGAAACTTCAAAGGCAGAGCCTTCATCAAACACAGAGAGAGATAGCTACTTTCAAACTATATGGCTATTCCCATTCACACCTTTGCATATTGAGTTTTACATCTACAATGTGGGGTGGTCCTGACATTTTAGGGTCTGACATGAAAAAAAAATGACTACTTTTTGTATATACTTACAATCTCATTCAATATATAAATTTTTAAATAATTAGAAAACATTATAGAAGCTACTCATATGTAGAAAATAAAATAATATCGTACAGACGAATTGAAAAAAGTTCAAAGTGGGAAGGCTATAGCCTTTTGAAAGTGGGGAACCTATTATCTCAGGTAAACCTTTTAAGTAAAATTTTTCCAACAGAACCCTATGATCTTGATCGCTTATATATGTTCCTATAGAAGCTTCTGCTTTTCATCTGCAAGGAGCATGTACACCTGCAACGAGAGAGAGAGAGAGAGAGAGAGAGAGAGAGAGAGAGAGAGAGAATTAATATATGTTGACAGATTTTCTTCTCATTACTAGTCATTGCTGATAGAATTGATATCTATAGATGAAAATGGAAGTATATTAAGTTCCATTATACTTACAGAGTTAAGGTTGAAATTAGAGCTCTAAGTATGCATAACATTACACTGGTACAAGATCTTGCCCCAGGATTTCCTTCCCTATAATTCCATCTTTCAAAGTTTTAAACATTGTAGTCCTCGGGGGGTGGATTTTGAGGGTCCACTGTAAATGGCTCACTAAATGGTACAACACTTTGAACCTGCAAAAGAGTTTATAAGCATCTCAGAATCTGCAAAAGCTTTTAACTTCCAAAAAAAAGCAAATTACAGCCACAGTACACAGCGCACAATTAAGGGACATAAGTCAGGCTGTGACCTCAAATGTCTTGCCAGATGCATAGGGGCTTTCCAACGCAGCGACACAAATCTGACTGAGCAACCTCCTCTCTTGATATCTTACCCTGTATATTGCTGGGATCAAAAGAAGAATAAGTATTATGTGACAACTGGGTTGCTGACAAAATGCGAGGAGCTGAAATTTTGAATCTTGGGATGTTGTTGTTGTATTGTATGAGCTGAAATAACATGACAAAATTGTATATTTAAACGGTATAGCCGCGGGCTATACTCCTTTAATGTATTCAAATATTTTAAACATCTAGCCGCTCCGCTATACTCTTTTATTATATTTGACTACTTTAAGAGTATAGCCGGCCGGCTATACTCTTAACAAACACGAACTTGCAGTCACACTGTCACAGAGGAATGTGGTCCGCAGTGAAATAAGGGAAACGAACACGAAGCTTGCACTCGCAGTCTCGCAGTCACAGCCATCTTGAGCCTCCCTCTCAACTCAAGGTTCGATTTTTTCTCTTCGGTTTCGGCTGCTGCGTTGATTCGATTGGATTGGGCTCTCTCAATGTCTGCCGAAGCAGAGCCTCCGTCCTCCGGGTTCGGCACCGACGTTCCTGGTGACGTGGACGACTACATTTCGGTGAGTGTGGTTTCTCTTGTTTGGTTGCTGAGAAAATGTAGGGGAACCTGGAAGAAATTGAGGAATTTGTTTAACGGAAGGAATTATGTTTATTTAACAATACAAAACATAGATATTATTGTTTAATACCAGCTGGCTATGATATTGGGTTTGTGAATTTCTAAAATGTTATATTATTTTATCTTTTGTTGGTATTCTGTAGCAATCCTCTTTAGAATTTAGAGAGAATACAAGCTAATTTCACAGGGAAGTGAAGCCATAGAAAAGCAGAACGCACTGATGACTTGACTCATGCCTATTTCAATCAATGGATCGAGGTGAGTGTTTTGCTGTTACTGATTCTATTTAATTCTTCTAATCCCCTTTTTGTCCTTGACAATCATGTCTTCTTTGTCCTGTCTCTTACAATGAAGGGAGGAAGTCCACTATAGGCAAAGTCTTTTGGCTTCCTGTGGATGTGCAATCATCTCTTCCAATATGTGGATTCCACTTCCACAACACTTTCATCATGATATTCTTCACTATTTCCAAATGTGTGGGCTGCACTCAAAGACTTTACAACAACAACAACAACAACAAAAAAGAAAAAGAAACACACTGCAGTTGGAAGGAAAACTTCTCTGTTTTCGGTGCTCATGGAGGCTCATAGAGGAGAGAAGTCTTTGACCCAAAAAATGGAGGAGAGAAGTCATTTCCTCTTGTCAATCACGTTCTTGCTGGTGGTGCAGTACAGTTCTCTATATATGGCTGAATTAACTATCGGCACAGATGCAACACAAACCAACATCACAACGGACCAGTCTGCTCTTCTTACTCTGAGATCCCATATCACCAGTGACCCTCACAACATCTTGGTCAACTGGTCAACCACCACCTCCGTCTGTAACTGGTTTGGCGTTACTTGTGGTGCTCGCCATCTCAGAGTAGCATCATTGAATCTCTCATACATGGGTTTTATTGGCACAATTCCACCACACTTGGGCAACCTCTCATTCCTGGTTGCACTAAGCTTCAACAATAATAGCTTCCATGGTACTTTGCCCCATGAATTGTCTTATTTGCGTCGACTGAAGTTTATTAACTTCGGATACAACAACTTTATGGGATCCATTCCATCATGGTTTGGGTCCTTCCCCAAACTTCAAAGCTTCTATTTGTATGGCAATCAATTTTCAGGTTTCATACCCGCGACTATCTTCAATTTATCTACACTACAAATAATTTATCTAAACAATAACCAGTTATCAGGTACGTATGTGTCAACAAGCTATCTAGTCTCCACTATTGATCGATCTGTACGTTTTAATATCTTGTCATTGATCTATAAGATAGGCTAAACTATCCCTGTTATTCATTTTTCTTTAAAAAATTAGGCTCATTTTTTTATTACTTGCAGTGCATCCAATACAATTCTTTAAAGAATTGTTATGTAATTTGTGTTTTGTTTTTTTATTTTAGTTGCAGCTAGTACTAAAAAGTACATGAATTTGCGTCTACATTATTTTAGTTGCAGGGGATTATATTATATTTTAATGTTTCTTGGGTCTTTGGCATACACGACAGGTGGGATACCAAGAGAAATAGGAAATTTAACAATGCTGAAGGAGATAAACTTGGGCCACAACAATTTCAACGGTATATTGTTTCATCCATTGCCTTGTATTGTAAGCACAGACGGCCTAATTATATATGTGTCTGCTCTCGCGCGTTTGTATGTGATACAGTTATATATATGAATATGATTCGGCTTTTGTTGCAGTGCATTACATATGCATAACTCATGAGTTTAACATATATATTTGAATATCTTAATGATTTTTCAGAAATTCCAAATGAGATTGGCTCTTTAGATCAACTGGGGATGCTGACTGTGCGGGTGAATGCCCTAAAAGGGCATGTTCCTGTGACTGTTTTCAACTTGTCTTCTTTGATTATTTTGAATCTATATGGGAACAACTTGAGTGGTGGTCTTCCAGACAATATATGCCAACATCTTCCTAGTGTTCAGGTGATCAATTTGGGTCGCAACCAGTTTGATGGTCCACTTCCATCCAAATTACGGCAATGCAAAGAGCTTCTTATATTATCATTGGAGAATAACAATTTCAGTGGAAGCATACCCAGAGATATTGGGAACTTAACGCAGTTACAAGTGATTGCACTTGGCATCAACAATTTGACAGGTAATATGATATTTCATTATGTTTATGTTGATCCAATAACTATGCTTTATCTCTGTTTTTGTTGTTGTTGTTGCATCATTTATCATAATTAAACTATGTCGTAGCTTTGAAACTAGACAACATTATTTCATAGTTAGTAAATGAGGGAGATGGTTAATCATGAATATTTGATTTTTAACTGTTCAAACCAAAGTCAGAAAAAGAAGCATAAAGATATGCAGCCAATCGATGACTAAAAGTCATGAACATGTGGATAGGGTTAAATATGTCGTAGACTAATGCTGTGACATTTGCAGGCACCATACCAGATGAGATCGCTGATCTTCAAAATATAGAGTATTTGGCAATCGATCATAATAATCTGAATGGCCTCATCCCATCCTCAATCTTCAATATGTCCACGATAACACAACTGTCGCTTAGTTTTAATCAGCTATCAGGTACCCTCCCAGCAAACATAGGCCTTGGGGTTCCAAACCTACAACTCCTTCTTATAGCAATGAATGACCTTAGCGGAGTAATCCTCAACCTCTCCAATGCTTCTATGCTCACGAGGATAGACTTGGCCGAAAACTCATTTACAGGGTTTATTCCAAGCACGCTTTGTGCCTTGACAAACCTTCAGGGGCTTAGATTAAACACAAATAATTTGATGATTCAGACTTCCACTCTCTCTTGTTTGGCTAATCTTGGAAGTTTGAAAACACTAGACTTGGGAAAAAATCCGTTAAATATCAGACTTGATGATTCCTTTCGGAATTGCTCTTCTACATCGCCCCTTCAATATATTTATTTATCTAATTGCAACATGAGGGGCAACATTCCCATTTGTATTGCCAACTTGAGCAGCTTGCTAACCTTAGACCTGGAAAATAATCAATTGAGTGGATCAATTCCAACTTCACTGGGAAGACTAGGGAATCTCCAAGGTTTGCGGTTGGATGATAACAAGTTGCAAGGATACATCCCATATCAACTTTGTCAACTTGATAAACTAGTTGAATTATATTTGGGTAGTAATCAGCTCTCTGGTTCTATACCTTCATGCTTGGGCAGTCTAGCCACATCTCTAAGAACTCTCTCACTAGAGTCCAATTCGTCGAGTTTCACAATACCATCTACTTTTTGGAGACTTGCCTATATCTTGCATCTAAACTTATCATCCAATTCTCTAATTGGACCTCTCTCACAAGATATTGGAAACTTGAAAGTTGTGATAGATGTAGATTTATCAAATAACCATTTATTTGGTATTCTACCAAGCACCATTGGGGCTCTTCATGATTTGGTTACACTCTCCTTGGCAAATAATGATTTGGAAGGTCCTATTCCAAGTTCATTTCATGACTTGCTCAACCTGCAATTCTTGAATTTATCCAAAAACAATATGTCTGGAGTGATCCCTAAGTCTTTAGAAGCCCTCTTAGTTCTCAAGTATCTGGATTTGTCTTTCAACAGGCTCCAAGGAGAAATTCCAACTGGTGGACCATTCCAAAACTTCTCCGCTCAATCATTTGTCTCAAATAGTGCGCTATGTGGTGCAGCCCGACTTCATGTTCCACAATGGAGAATTAGTAAACGTGAACCAATTTGGAGGAAACCTAAATATATTATCCCAGGGATCATATCAGTAATTTTCCTAGTGGCCTCCATATCTTTATTTGTACTATGCAGGAAAAGGAATGTTGAAGTTCCAACAGAGGCTACCTCGTTGCCCCAACTTCTTTGGAGAAGATTTTCACACCTAGAACTTCTAAGGGCAACGAATGGACTTAACGAAAACAACTTACTTGGAAGTGGGGGTTTTGGCTCTGTATATAAGGGGACACTTTCAGATGGAATAGATGTTGCAGTAAAAGTTTTCAGTTTACAGCTAGAAGGGGCTTTCAGGAGTTTTGATACGGAATGTGAAATGCTAAGCAATATTCGTCATCGAAACCTTATCAAAATCATCAGCTGCTGCAGTGAACTTGATTTCAAAGCCTTGGTATTGAATTACATGCCAAATGGGAGTTGAGGTTCCACCTCAAAACCAATTGGCAATTAGGGGAGTAGCCCAACTCCTTATAAACCCAGGCTAGGTCCCTTAACATTTCAATGTGGGACAAACACTCTCAACACTTTAACTTAACATTCAAGGCCAAACACATGTACAATAATTTATGTATGTATATTTTTAAAATCATTAGAAAAAATTATATAAGCTACTCATATGTAGAAACGAAAATAATATTATACAGCTGAATTGAAAAAAAATTTCAAACCTCTATCAGGGGGTTTGGACCTCATCGTGATCAAGGCTATAGCCTTTGAAAGTGAGAACCTATCATCTCAGGTGAAACATTTTAAGTCATGTGGATTTGTCCTACAGAAGTTTATAATCTTGGTCGCTTATGTATGTTCCTGTAGAAGCCTCTGCTTTTCATCTGCTATGAGTATATACACCTGCAATGAGAGAGAGAGAGAGAGAGAGAGAGAGAGAGAGAGAGAGAGAGAGAGAGAAATAATATATGTTCACAGATTTTCTTCTCATTAGTCATTGACTCATTGATGAGAGAATTATCTCAGATGAAAATGGAAGTATATTAAGCTCCATTATACTTACAGAGTTAAGGTTGAAATTAGAGCTCTATGTATCCAAAACATTACACTGGTACAGGATCTTGTTCGAGGATTTCCTTTCCTGTAATTCCATCTTTCAAAGTTTTAAAGTAAACATTGTAGTCCTTCTCGGGGGATGGATTTTGAGGGTCCACTGTAAATGGCTCACTAAATGGCACAACACTTTTAACCTGCAAATGAGTTTATAAGCATCTCATAATCTGCAAAAGCTTTTAACTTCCAAAAATAGCAAATTACAGCCACAGCACACTGCACACAATTAAGGGATATAAGTCGGGCTGTAACCTCAAATGTCTTGCCAGATGCATAGGGGCTTTCCAACACAGCAACACATATCTGAGCAGCCTGCTCTCTTGATATCTTACCCTGCATATATATAAATACTATAAATCATAACATTCAGATATTATTACTATTATAAAGGAAAGAAAGAGCAATACAAGCCATCACAATAAAGAGAGAATAGTGATCTTCTATTTGATTATATACCGTTACATTGTCTCCTTGGTCAAAAATGAGATCTGCTCCAGCAGGCTCCTCAGCAAAGATAGATGAAGTTTGAAAAATCGCTATGAGGTAGGCTAAAAGAACAAAAGAAAAGAACCAGACCCAACCTGGCACCCAGACCCGCCTAGCGCCGCCTAGACCCGCCTAGCACTGCCCAGACTCGCCTAGCGCCGCCCAGACCCTCCCAGCGCAGCCTAGACCAGCCCTGCAGTGCATAAGTTTGAAAAATCGCTAGGCAGTAGGCTTAAAGAACAAAAGAGAAGAACCAGACCCGCCTAGCGCCACCCTGACCCGCCCAGGCCGCCTAGGCCGATTTTTCGTAATGCAGAGTACGGATTGGAAGGAATGGTTTCAACAAGAGGGGATGTGTACAGTTTTGGAATTGTAGTGATGGAAACATTCACAAGAAGGAAGCCAACAGATGAGATGTTTGTTGGGGAAATGAATTTAAAGCAATGGATTGCAAACTCACTATTACAAGATGCAATGATAGATGAAGTTGTGGATGCCAATTTTCCTCACATGGTCTAATGGGTTGGCAGGTTGATTTTAGAGAACAAAAATATCATAAATTTAGAGGGTGGTGCAACCTTCTGTTAGAGTTTTGTATAGGTTTTGAAGAAGAAGAGAAAAACAATATGCAAGAGAAAACCGAGAGCTTAGCTAAAACAAAACTTCTGTATTTTTGTATTGTATATTGCTCTGCAACTTTCGGGCAAGCACTGTGTGTGCTATATAACCGTTTAGAGAAATAGCTGGATTCTCTTACATCACTTGAGAATCACAGCCTTACATTCAAAACTGCCTTCTAAGATCTTTACACGTGGCTATAGCCACTTAACACTAACTGACGCCTCACACTTGCCTATTTTAGAGACTAAGTGAATACACCATTTCAGCTTAGGGACTTTAATCAAACTCTCATCAGCTCACCACTTATATTTCAACACTCCCCTTTAAGTTGTGAGCTGATTTCACACCGAGTTTCTCTCTGAGATAGCAGAAACGATCCTTAGCCAATGCCTTAGTAAAAATGTCTGCTAGTTGCTCATTTGTGGGGCAATAGATCAAATCCACAGTTCCTTCTTGCAAAGCATCTTTAATAAAATGATACCTCCGATCAATATGCTTGGTTTTCTGATGGAAAACAGGATTCCTTGTAATGGCAATAGCTGAAATGTTGTCACAGTGGAGAGGTGTAGCTTCTGTTTGAAGTTCTCCAAAGTCTTCTAGGACAAATCTCAACCAAATAGCTTGTGTTGTTGCTTCAGAGGCACTGATGTATTCAGCTTCTGCAGTAGAGAGTGCAACACAATTTTGCTTGACTGAGGCCCAAGCAAACACTCCACTCCCAAAAGAAAAAGCGTATCCAGATGTGCTCTTGCTATCATCCACTGAGCCACTCCAATCGCGGTCACAATAGCCAATTAGAACTGCCCCTTTTCCTTTCACATACTCCAGACCATAATCCAAGGTTCCTTTTACATATCTAAGGACACGTTTTGCTGTTCCAAGGTGTTTGCTAGTGGGACAATGCATGAACCTTGCTAGCAAACTAGCTGCAAACATAATGTCGGGTCTGGTAGCTGTGAGGTACAGCAGACTTCCAACAATCCTTCTGTAGCTTAGAGTTTTGTATAGGTTTTGAAGAAGAAGAGAAAAACAATATGCAAGAGAAAACCGAGAGCTTAGCTAAAACAAAACTTCTGTATTTTTGTATTGTATATTGCTCTGCAACTTTCGGGCAAGCACTGTGTGTGCTATATAACCGTTTAGAGAAATAGCTGGATTCTCTTACATCACTTGAGAATCACAGCCTTACATTCAAAACTGCATTCTAAGATCTTTACACGTGGCTATAGCCACTTAACACTAACTGACGCCTCACACTTGCCTATTTTAGAGACTAAGTGAATACACCATTTCAGCTTAGGGACTTTAATCAAACTCTCATCAGCTCACCACTTATATTTCAACACCTTCTAGAGTTGTTTCTTGTGCTTGTTGCTAGAAGTGATTTTCTGCTCTCGGTTTCATCACTGGCTGATATTTCTTGGCACATTTTGGAAACTAGAACGGTAATGGTGTGCTCATTGAAGCATTGTTGAAAGATAAACAGTCTAATGGGGAAGCAAGGGTCCCCAAGAAGTCCACGTCCTGAGCCACAGATTGATGACGACTTATCGTCAGGGACTAAAGACTATGATCCTTCTAATGTTGGGAGGAGAATGCCAGGGGGAGATAACCATTTGAATTCCAAAATGTTGTTGCTTCATGGTCTGAGAAACGATTCTGTGAAATATACTACTTGTAAGGGGAGTTTTGTGGGGAAAAAGCATCTGTGGCTTCGAAAGGACGTCCGTTCAATCATTTTTGTGTTTGCTCTGATGGGCTTCCTTCTCCTGCTTGATTCTTTTCTGGTGTCCATTTTTGATTCTATGGTTCTTCAGAATAGTTCAGCTATAAGAAAACTTCCCGTCCTTGAGGTACGACATTTGATCGTACTGTATGCATGCTCCTTTTACTAATTAGCGTCAAAATTAGCAGGAATCACTCTAAGCATACTTCCATATGTTGTGAGTATTGGTTAAAGCTACAAATATTTTCATTCATAGGTTCATGGATGAGTCCAGTTTCCTCCATTTTTCATATTTCTAGCTTTTCTGTTTACCAACTCATGAATATGCAATCGGATGTCATTTATCATCATTTTTAATCTGTTACAATTGTTTCCAAAGGAGGAGGACAGGGATGCCCACCTTATGAAAGAAAAAGCACCAGTACAGATGTATGACCGACTTCTAAAGTTGGCAAAAGGCGCCCTTGCAGAGGTTTGCTTCATAACTTTATAGTATTTTGACTCGGATTTTGTTATATTTGATTGTTGGATCTTCCTTTTTTTCCTCACCTAAATCTTTTGCTTTAGAAAGAGTTTAAGCCAGAGTTGTCAACTTTATGGAAAGAACCATATAGGCAGGTTGCTGCATGGAAACCTTGTGCAGACAGAAAAGTTTCACCAAGCCTAGGTACTTGATTATTCTCATCCCAACTTCTTTTTCAAGTACTACCACTGAGATAACTAATAATGACTGTATTAAGTCTTAAATTATTTAGTGTAAAATATTTCTATAATAAAACCCTTCTTCCTGTTACTTAGTCAATTGCTTTTATGCTCTTCCCTCAGGGAAATACAAGAAAGGTAATGGTTACATAGTAGTCAGTGCAAATGGTGGTCTCAATCAACAACGAGTTGCTGTAAGTATTCAACTTGCGATGATTGCCTTATGTATGCCAACAGGGCTGACCAGGCTATTTCAATTGCTCACAGATTTGCAATGCTGTTGCTGTGGCATCTCTTCTTAATGCTACTCTTGTTCTTCCAAGATTTCTTTACAGCAATGTATGGAATGATCCGAGGTTTGAGATAATTTTCTGATAATTTTTAAATATGATTAAAAGCTTCAATTTGATGTGTCTCAGTAAGCCTATGTTGATGTTGCGGCTTTGAAATAATTATTGATGCATGCATACATTCAGTGATTTGTACAGAGTACTAAGTTTGGTTTATTCATTGTAGGTGCAGCCAATTTGGTGATATTTACCAAGAAGAACATTTTATGGATGTACTGAAGGATGAAGTAAAAGTTGTCAAGGAACTCCCATCTCACTTGAAATCACTAGACCTTGAAGCAATCGGTAGCCTTGTATGTCGTTCTCCTATATGATTAATTTGTGAAGCAATTTTGTAAACTGATTACCTTTTCTCTTTCCAGATTACTGATGCAGATCTTGTGAAGGAGGCAAAACCCATTGATTATACCACAAGGCGGGCTCCTCAGTTAATGCACAAGGCCTCAGCAAAGATAGATGAAGTTTGAAAAATGGCCAGGCGGTAGGATAAAAGAACAAAAGAAAAGAACCAGACCCACCCTGGCACCCAAACCCGCCTAGGGCTGCCTAGACCCGCCTAGCGCAGCCTAGGGCTGCCTACCGCAGCCTAGGGCCGCCTAGACCCGCCTAGCTTCCCCCAGACCCGCCTAGCGTCTCCCAGACCCTCCCAGCGCCGCCCAGACCCTCCCAGAGCCGCCCAGACCCTCCCAGCGCTACCTAGACCAGCCCTGCAGTGCATAAGTTTGAAAAATCGCTAGGCAGTAGGCTTAAAGAACAAAAGAAAAGAACCAGACCCACCCTGGCAGCCAGACCCGCCTAGCTCCACCCAGACCCGCCTAGCGCCACCCAAATAAACCGCCCTCTTGTTCAGCGCTTTAATTAATGGATCCTATCCTATGACATATATTACATGCCGTTTTGTTTTGGTATAATTTTATTTAAATTTTAAAGACAATAATATATAGATGGAAATTAAATGCTTCTTACTTGGTGTGGTTGCTGCAAGCCTGCAACTACTGCCTCTTGGGTGCTTTGCCGCTGCTTTGTAAAGAATATTTATTATTCTATTTATTAGGTTTATGATTATCATGTTAAGTTGTGGAAGTCCTATTGTTTAGGGACTTGGTTGTTTAGTTGCTAGTTAATCGGAGAGTCCAAGTTGTCATGGAGTCATGGTTAGTGGCTGAATGTCATGGTTTAGTCGTGCGTCAGTTGATCCTATTATATAGCTTAGTTGCTTTCTTATTTTGCTATTTAAATTGTATTCAGTATTCAACTTAATGGTGAAGAGAAGTTTGAATTCCACAAATACGTTCTTGGTTCTTCATCTGTTTCCTTATTTTCAAATGCTTACCCCATGTTAATAAATAGTATAGCCGGCCGGCTGTACTGGTGTTAATAAATAGTACACCCGCACGGCTATACACAAAGGCGCCAGGCCGGCTGTACTGGTGTTAATAATTAGGTTTATGATTATCTTGTCAAATGCTTACCCCATGTCAGGACTCTTTTACTTGATATGGTATCAGAGGAGGCAAGAAACGATTGATAACAACACCCAGGCCTCCCTTCCTATCTGTTGGTCTCTCTGTTATGGATAGATGTTAACAGCCCACGGAATACAATACGAGGAGGGCCTCTCTAAATTCCAATCCACAATCTATTGCATTCCCTAAACCCTAGTCTAGTCATCTTCTCTCCACTCCTTGCATATAGTTCTCTGTGTACTTTGTTTTGGGTACTGTACACACTTCGTGGCTTAATTTCTGGTCCTCTAATCAAACACCATTGTTCATGGAAGTTGTTCCTCTATTAGTTTTGTGTATTGTACCAAAAGTTGAGCTCAATAGGGAAATCTTAGCAGGAGAATCTAAGTTAGAACTTGAGGCCAAAAGTGGCTTCAGCATCCATTTTCTTTGGGAACTTGACCCAGCTAACAGAGATTCATCTTGGCATCAACAATTTGATAGGTACTTGCAGGGTCAACTCAACTCTATTTTTTTTTTAATTTTTTATGCTTAACATACTATATAGTAAAAATATATGTCAATACAAAAACATTCTACCATACAATAATAACCGGCCACATCCTCCTATCTCCTCTTCATATACCCAATAATTCCTCAATTTGCTTTAAAAAGATATTCCATTTTAAGTTCGTATGCTATGTATGCACACGCCGGCCAGATGAGATTAAACTTGGGTGCTCGGGTTTATTGCATGTGGCAGGTGAAATACCAGATGAGATTGGCGATCCACACAACTTACAGGGTTTGGCACTCCATGTTAATAATCTCAATGGTGTCATCGCATCCAGAATCTTTAATTTATCCATGATAAAATTTATTTCTCTATCTAGTAATCAGCTCTCAGGTAGCCTCCCAGCAGACATAGGCACTGGGGTTCCAGACCTGCAACAACTTCTTGTAGGAGATAACTGCAAAGCTTCCTGTTTTCTTTGGGAATCTCTCAACAAAGCTTGAAATTGTTGATTTATGCAACTGCAACATGAGGGAATGCTTTCAACAAGTAGGGATGTGTACAGTTTTGAAATTACAGCCACAGCACACAGTACACAATTGAGGGACATAAGTCGGGCTCCTCAGTTAATACACAAGGCCTCAGCAAAGATAGATGAAGTTTGAAAAATGGCCAGGCGGTAGGATAAAAGAACAAAAGAAAAGAACCAGACCCACCCTGGCACCCAGACCCGCCTAGCGCCGCCTAGACCCGCCTAGCTCCTCCCAGACCCACCTAGCGCCTCCCAGAGCCTCCCAGCGCCGCCCAGACCCTCCCAGCGCCGCCTAGACCAGCCCTGCAGTGCATAAGATTGAAAAATCGCTAGGCAGTAGGCTTAAAGAACAAAAGAGAAGAACCTGACACACCCTGGCAGCCAGACCCGCCAAGCGCCGCCTAGACCCGCCTAGCGCTGCCCAGACCCGCCTAGCGCCGCCCAGACCCGCCTAGCGCCGCCCAAATAAACCGCCCTCTTGTTCAGCGCTTTAATTAATGGATCCTATCCTATGACATATATTTCATGCCGTTTTGTTTTGGTATAATTTTATTTAAATTTTAAAGACAATAATATATAGATGGAAATTCAATCCTTCTTACTTGGTGTGGTTGCTGCAAGCCTGCAACTACGGCCTCTTGGGTGCTTTGCCGCTGCTTTGTAAAGAATATTTATTATTCTATTTATTAGGTTTATGATTATCATGTTAAGTTGTGGAAGTCCTATTGTTTAGGGACTTGGTTGTTTAGTTGCTAGTTAATCGGAGAGTCCAAGTTGTCATGGAGTCATGGTTAGTGGCTGAATGTCATGGTTTAGTCGTGCATTAGTTGATCCTATTATTTAGCGTAGTTGCTTTCTTATTTTGCTATTTAAATTGTATTCAGTATTCAAGTTAATGGTGAAGAGAAGTTTGAATTCCACAAATACGTTCTTGGTTCTTCATCTGTTTCCTTATTTTCAACATGTCAGGACTCTTTTACTTGGTATGGCATCAGAGGAGGCAAGAAACGACTTAATACAACACCCAGGCCTCCCTTCCTCTCTGTTGGTCTCTGTGTGTGTGTAAACAAGCTTGGTTTTTGAGACTTTTGTCTGATCGTTGCTGATTATAATAATTCAATATATTTACTTAGGTGAGAACCCATGTATATATACAATCCTAAAGTTTACATGGCTGAAACAGAGCTCTAAATTACAGCATATAAAATAGGAGACTTAATTGACTAATCATCTAAATTACATAATACATAATACACGTAATTGACTTACCTTGAGCACTTTTGCTGTCTTAGTTTTTGTATAAGAAATTGAATATAAGATATTATTATGTCGCTTTTTCATGATTGATAGTTGATGCCCTTAAAGAAACATTGAAAGTTTAATGGGGATTCTTGCCCCCTAACCAAGCCCGAGTATGACGCACATCATTTTCCTTTGTTTAATCGTGCTCTCCATGGCAGCAGCCGCCGCCGCCGCTGGCAAATACAGCAACTACTATGATTTCAAATTTTACACCTTATTGATGACTTGGCCTAATATCTACTGCGTGCAAATGAAAGACCTTGCTAGACGTAATTGCTATGAGGCCGTCGCACAGAAATTTATCATGAATGGTCTATGGTCATTATATAATGATTTTAATGCGCGTCCAAAGTACGGATCAGCTTCAAATGCCCAAAGAGAGTTTGATGGCGAACAGTTCAAAATTGCGGTATTGTATACTTCGTGAACGTCCATAACCTTGAGCACTTTTTTTCTTTTTTTTTGTTCATCATTATAGTTTTTCAGTTTTACACCTCTGTCTTAATTTTTGCAGGAGACAACTTGTGTTGTCAAGATGAAAGCGTACTGGCCAAATCCAACAGCGAAGGATTTGACACAGAGTAAATTTGTTTGGGAAAGACGGTAGAAAGAGCATGGTAAATAAATACACTGATTTGCTTGCTGAAGACTATTTCAACTTAGCATTTAAGTTTTATGAAGACGTTAATGTGACAAAGATGCTTGAGGATGCTGGAATTTCAATTGGGATAGATTTTATTCCTGTCGTGATCATTCAAGTGATAGGGAAGAAGACGAAAAGCTTCGCAAATATCAGGTGTTATAAGAGGATGTTGTGGGGAGCCTGAATCTGCTTCGGAAAATATGGAATGTTTAGGGACTATAACATAAGGATTGAGGATATGTTTTTGGGCTGTAAAAGGACACAAAATTTCTCTTTGCGATGCCACCTACAATAAAGGCAGAGGTAATACCAAATTGTGCTTTCCGAGTTCTATGTTGTAATAATATTTTTATAACTTTCCTCTGTGATTGTAGAAATGTGATGGTGGAGATGCGGATTAGCCCAAGCAAGCAATGAGCACTAAAGTCTGGTGGTGTGGTGACGAGTACGTTAAAGCTCAAAGAATATGCTTTTCTTTGGCTTTTATGCTTTTATGTGCGTATTATGTTGCTCCTTGCTGGTCAGAACTTTATTCACACAAAGGAGGCCAAGCAGAGTGGCCATGGTAGGACGGTTTTTGTTGTTGTAGCGGTTATGGTTTTATATGTTTTAAAAAAAGTAATATAGCCGCGCGGCTATACTCGGGTTTTTTTTCAAATAGCACAGCCGCGCGGCTGTACTGGGGTTAATAAATATCACAGCCGCGCGGCTATACTTGGGTTTTTTTCAACCCAAAATTGTATGGATCTATCCAACTAATTAAAATGAGAACATGCATTGCGGAACCCCAAGGTGTGTACATGCTGGAGAGCTTAGCTGATTACCTATCTCTGTCTAATAATCAAACTCTCTGGCTTCTGATGTTTAATATCCTTAGAAATCAAAGCAATGCAAGTCAACCAATAACTTCTACTTTATTAGTTACTACTATCTTGAATACACAGAAAATATTGTTTACCATCTCAAGAATTTATACTTTATTGGTTGGTTATCACTCTAAAGACAAGAACTAATTTATGGCCAACATGTTTAGTATTAGTATTCGTATTAGTACTGATATTCCACTCTAAAGAGAGACAAGAACTACTGATATTCCACTTCAAACATTCGACTTGTATGATAATCAATTCTTGGGTTCCATACCCACTGCTATCTTCAACTTATCTGCATTGCCAACAATTGATTTGGGCAATAACGAACTATCAGGTACGAGCCAACAAACAGCTATCTAGGAATTGATTATTACCATTTAACATTCGTTAATTCTTTTGTTTTTCCTTCTCTCTTCTTTTTATGTGGCATGTGCACATGTTTAACAGGCATCATACCAAGAGAAATAGGGAACTTAACAATGCCCAAGGAGATACACCTTTACTCCAACAATTTCAAAGGTATGCTATTCTTATACGACTCGTATTTTGTTGCAGAGCATTATATAGTATTCATAAACTGCTTATAATCTTAGGGGCTGGTTGATGATAATGGGGTTAAATATATACACGTTGATTTTTCAGAAATTCCAAACGAGATCGGCAGTCTAGATCAGTTAGAGAAGTTGTTTGTGCAGTGGAATGCCCTAGAAGGTGATATTATTCATGCGGGTTTCTTCACCACCGTTTGGATCAATCTGAAATGTACTTTCACTAATTCCACCCATCACAACATCATCTAAAGCACCCCAAGCCAATTCCCTATAATTATTATCTGCAAATTACAAACAAAGAAAAGAATCTCAAATGGTATATATTGTTCACCTAATAGAATATGAGCATTGATGATTTCAGTTAGGTTCCATGTATGAAAAGTTCGAGCGCCTTCCCTAGCATGTTAAGTATAATGGACTGCAGAATAACATGTTTTTTCATGAAGGTTCTTCATATTTGCTCTCCATACCATATTTCATATTAACCTAAATTCTCCACCGTTTTTTCCCTTTTCGAAAAGAGTTTTTATTTATTTCCCAATTATTTGTATAAGAACAACTGGACCAAATATAACACAGCAGAAAGGATGGAAATCAGTGGTTTCAGCATAGAGAAGAACCAGACCCACCCGACCCACCCTGGCACCCAGACCCGCCTAGCGCTGCCTAGGGCCGCCTAGACCCGCCTAGGGCCGCCTAGACCCGCCTAGCGCCGCCTAGACCCGCCTAGCTCCGCCCATACCTGCCTAGCGCCTCCCAGACCCTCCCAGCGCCGCCCAGACCAGCCTAGCTCCGCCCAGACCCTCCCAGCACCGCCTAGACCAGCCCTGCAGTGCATAAGTTTGAAAAATCGCTAGGCAGTAGGCTTAAAGAATAAAAGAAAAGAACCAGACCCACCCTGGCAGCCAGACCCGCCTAGCGCCGCCTAGCGCCGCCTAGGGCCCCTAGCTCCGCCCAGACCCGCCTAGCGCCTCCCAGACCCTCCCAGCGCCTCCCAGACTTGGTGCGGTTGCTGCAAGCCTGCAACTACGGCCTCTTGGGTGCTTTGCCGCTGCTTTCTAAAGAATATTTATTATTCTATTTATTAGGTTTATGATTATGTTGTTAAATTGTGGAAGTCCTATTCTTTAGGGACTTGGTTGTTTAGTTGCTAGTTAATCGGAGAGTCCAAGTTGTCATGGAGTCATGGTTAGTGGCTGAATGTCATGGTTTAGTCGTGCATTAGTTGTTCAGTATTCAAGTTAATGGTGAAGAGAAGTTTGAAGTTTTTCAAATTTCTTAATATTATTTCATAAGATAAAAATTAAGAAATAAATCCAACTGTAAAAAAAGTTTGATTTCTATTTTAAAGTGGATACATGACAATATCTCAAAATCTAAGACTTGACAAAATCACATACACATGAATATAATTCACACGGTTGGGTATATGGGCTGCTGAGCCTGTTCATGTTTACAAGATGGTCACACAGTTGGGTTTTCACCAGAACTGCTCTCTGTTTTCAGATGAAATTTTAGTTAAGAAAAAAAAATAATTGTTAAAAGGAACACTATAAAAACAGGTAAGGTTCTGGTAGTTCTACTAAAGAACAAATGAGCATAATAACTACTGATAAGAAAATCTGTAAGCAAAACGATTATTCTACTTCTAAACTTAAACTTAGAAAACTGGAATCAAAGTAAATAATACCATTTCTAGAGCAAACTCAAACTCAAACTCATTTATTTAGAACCATTAAGCAGGTGTCATATTTACGTAATCACATAGCAGCAAATATTTACGTTTTTTTTTTTCTTCTTAAAGGCAATATAATCATAAGTTAATAAATCCATGTTAGCATTCATCAACTATTGTCGATATGAAAAAAATAAATTAAAGTATGCTTGACGAGAAGATTATTACTTCAACTTCCTTCACATATGCATCATCGTAACCAGACTCTTCAATAACATCCAAGTATGAAACAATTAAAAAATCTCCAAGGTACTGGCGGAGGAGGCTAGTAGTAGCATGGTACCGTCCGTTCCTACATTAGACATATCAGGGGATGATAAAACTCATAATATTGTAAAAAGTAAAAAGCAAAAAAGAAATGACACAAAATAAAAATAGCATGCTCAAATATACGGGTATTATGCGCACACACAAGCGCAGAGTTCACACACTTAGTCAAATCATCAGAGCATATAGCAAGCCAACGTTTCAATGAAGAGCTCTTCTTGCGGATTCCTCTGAAGGCCTTTGGCGGTCTTGGCAAGTTTGGAAGGTGAATGTCATCAAGATCTATAGAGTTTAGTTCATGTGAGTGTGCAAGAGATTTTAATAAGTCGGGCCTGGAGGTAAATGGGCTGGGGAAGGCAGGTCAGCTTGGGGAATAGGAAGAGTAGGTGAGTCATATTGATTTTCTGCTGGAAGATGAGAAAAAGGAAAGGTGTGTTCATGAAAAATGACATCCCGAGAAACAAAAAATTTCTGTGTGTCAAGCTCATAGACGCGATAACCCTTTTGGTTGAGAGGATACCCAAGAAAAAGGCAACGGTGAGCACGAGTGTCAAATTTGTGATTGGGCTTAAGATTAGTGGCATAACAAAGACACCCAAACACTCTTAGGTGAGAATAAGTAGGCGAGTGCCCATGTAAAATTTCATAGGGTGTTTTATGAGACAGTGATGGAGTGGGAAGGCGATTTATAAGATAACATGCCGTTTGAAGGCTTTCCCCCCAAAATTTTAAAGGTAGGTTGGCTTGAAAACGTAGTGCCCGACCAATATTCAAAAGATGACGATGTTTGCGTTCAACTACCCCATTTTGTTGAGGGGTATATGTGCAAGAATGTTGAAAATTTGTGCCAAGATTGGTGAAGAAGGAGCGCATGGATAAGAATTCACTACCATTATCGGAGCGAAAAGTTTTAATGGTGCGATTAAATTGTGTTTTAACCCATGAGAAAAAAGATTGCAAGATGAGTTGTGTATCAGATTTAAAAGTCATAAGATGAACCCAAGTAAAACGAGTAAAATCATCAACAATAGTCAAGAAATATTTTGCCCCAGAGTGTGTATGTGTTTTGTGAGGTCCCCAAATGTCACAATGAATAAGATCAAAAGGTGCAACTGTTTGAATTAAACTAGTAGGAAAAGGTAATCTTGTTTGTTTTGCCAAAGGGCAAATATCACAAATATGCTGGGAATTAAACATGATTTCAGGAATATTCTTTGACAGAGAGTGAAGAGGAGCAGATGACGGGTGTCCTAGACGTTGATGCCAAAGATCTGAGGTGCGGCGAACATGACTAATGAGGTGAGGATTTTGGGCAGGTGTGAGGTAGTAAAGCCCATCAAAATGCTTGCCCAGGCCAATCGTCTTCTTCGTATCCACGTCCTGCACAACACAAAAATCCGGATAGAAAGTTACAATACAATGCAGAGCTCGAGTTAACTTACTCACATATAGCAAGTTGACATGAAATTTGGGAACATGAAGAACTTCATCAAGAGACAAGTCTTTTGTTAATTTAATAGACCCAATGTTGTGGATTTCTGCCTGTTCTCCATTGGGCAAGCCCACAAATTCATGATGAGGCGTAGTATGATTATGTGTAGGAGGTGAATGAGAAATGTGATCTGTGGCCCCGCTATCCACAATCCAATATAGTTTGGAATGTGATTCACGTTGTGCAATGTGACAACTGGGTGTAATGATACCTGTTGCATGTGCCAACGACTGACCATTACCCTTCTTATTGCGAATCATAGCAATAAGTTCGTTGTACTCCTCGTTGGTGAAGGTTGGACCATCAGTGATTGGCTTGACCGTATTAGCATGTTTGGTGAGTGGTGGATTGCTTCAACGTTGTGAGCAGTGGGTCCTGAACGCTGGTTTCTGGGTCTGACATTTTTACCATGCCATTTGTGGCCCACGGGAAAGCCAATGATGAAGTAGCATCTATCTTTCAGATGTCCGTCTCCATCACAGTACGTGCACTTCAGAGACTTGCGTGGTTGTGAAGGTCCTGAAGTTGAGGATCGGCTGATTTGCATTGCATGTGAAGTAAGTGGGTTGTCATTTCGGCTGGTCACCTCCATTTGACGTTCATGTTGAAGGATCAGTCCATGAACTTTGCGTGTATCCGGTAAAGGATTCATCATCAGAATTGATCCCCGAACGGTGGAGTATGAATCGTTCAAGCCCATTAGAAATTGCATCACTCTTTCTTTTTCCTCTCTCTCTCTGCAAGTTTCTTCAGCCCTTCACAGTCACAAACAAGAGGCTCCAGGTAAGAACCCAACTCATCCCAAAGTGCTTTCAATTTGTATAATAGATGGAGATAGGCTTTGATCCTTGTCGACACTCGACAATTTCTTGTCGAATCTGATAGATCCTGGAATCGTTGCTTTGTGAAAAGCGATCTTGAAGATCTGTCCATACGGCTGCCGCCGTTTTGGCATAGAGAACACTACTGGCTATGTCTGGATGGAGAGCATGAAGAATCCATGACAGAACCATATCATTGCAGCGCTGCCACTGTGAGAATTTTGAGTCATTTGGTGAAGGGGCTTTGATTGATCCATCAATCAATCCAAGCTTGTTCTTGGCGCTGAGGCTAAGGTGCATAGATCGACTCCATTGGCCATAGTTATGTCCTTCAAGTTTGAAGTTAACCAAGGAGAGTCCTGGTGTGTCTGAGTTGTGTATATCGAACGGGTCGTGGAAGGTGGTCTTTGGATCTGTGGGAGTTGATTCACCCATGATGCTGAGTTGATGGTGGCTGTGGCGAAAAGTGTTTTGGCAGGAGGTATTTGGGCAGAAGATGTTAGTGGCGGAAGGTGCTTGGGCAGAGTCACCAAGAATGGTGCTCTGATACCATGAAATAGTTTGATATTGTATTCAATGAATAATTGTATTGCTTACAGAGTTAGATCTTTATACATGGTTGAAACTTCTATTCTAGGTAAATACATGCTAATTCTAAGCTGATTACAATCTATTCCTACAATCTCTCAATACAGAATCATTGACATATTTCTTTCCTTTAACAGCTTCCTCTGTAATTCCTGCAAATGAATCTGGAGAACATCCATTCCATAAGAATTTATGTCAAACAAACCAGGAAATGCAGGATAAGGATAATAATGTATCAGCTCACCATCCAGTAGTTTCCCAGAAATTGTCATAAACTCCTTCAAAAGCTTACCCAAACTCCAATTTCTTGGATGCTATTAAGCAGTAGGGAATCAGTAAGATGAATAAGTGGACAGCAGTATACAACATGAAAATCTCATAATACCTTCAGTGCGTTAACATTTGCAAAGACAATTTCATCTGTCACTCTTGCATGTACCAATTATCGACTTCCATTGAGTCAAAGGTGCGGAAGGAAATGTGATATTTGCACGTTAAATCAAATAGGAGAATTTAGTAAAAACAAGAATATGAAACTCAGCTAGATTTATTCTCAAATAAAGCAAAGATGTATAAAATATTAAAATATGAAAAACAGGCCAAGCAAGATATGGTCGCAGCAATCAGTAATACAAAGGCATGCTTACTAATATACACTGTCTATTTATTTTTAACACAAAGGCATTCATACATTGATAATTTGTTTTGGATGTTGTCACACTTAGCAACCTCACATTTTCCTATGCTTCAGATTGTAATATATACTGATCCTCTCAGCTACCTTTAGGTGATATGACTCAGTTTTGCATTCTGGGCCACACTTTCTAAATTTATTTCTAACATCGCTAAATACTAAAAACAAAGAAGTTTAAAAGTTAAACTAGTTATCAACAATCTTCCTTAGACCAGGAAAAACCATTTTTCTCGATGTCTATTGCTTTGAATTTTTCCCCGATATCCAAGTGTCTGTACGAACAAGCATGCTACTGTAAACTGATTACCTACTGTATTCTAGTTCAAAATATAGCAATACATTTGAAGTACTGACACAATGTTTAGAATAGTGAATGTTTATTAATTAAGAAGTTTAAGTAACACACAAAATGCTACTATATTTGGGTGATAAATTAGATGGCTGCGAGAATGAAGTTGGTGAGACTCAGAAACTTACTGGAATATGTGTTGGGAACAACTTTCATTATCACCAGTTAAAATGGACTGTCTAAGTTCATAGACATGCTTCCTCTGTACCTGGGAAAAGGGAATAAACAATTCGGCAGGGGTAGTTTTCGTCGGCAAAAGTCTAATCCGGTAAATATTTGGGAAAAGACGTGTGCCAACGAAATTTCGTCGGGAGAAGTGTTTATGTTTAAAAAAAAACATGTGCCATTTGTTTTCTTTTTATTTTTTATTTTATTTTTAGAATTAAGAAAAGATAATATTGGTAGTTATGTTCCATAAAAGTAGGATTCATTATATGATTTTGTTTTTAATTTTAATTTTTTTAATATGAAAAAATGTGAATTTACCATATTATCCTCATTTAATTAATAATTTCAATTCTTAATGTTAAAATTAACCAAAGACATTTTTTGGTATTTTGAATGTTTCACCATTCTCTGCCTTTTGCTTTATAGTTGAAAACTTGTGTAAAAAATATAGTGTCACGGATCCGCCCCTATATATATATATATATATTTTTTAAAAGACCTCTCTTGATGAAATTTCGTTGGCATAGGTTGTTAGACCTCTCCCGACAAAAGTTCGTTGGAAGAGGTGTTTTCGTTGCAAAAACCTAATCCGGCAAATTTTGCCGGTATAAAATTGTGCCGACAAAGGAGAAGTGTTTATTTAATTTTTTTTAATTTTAAAAATATTAAATTTGTGTCTTTACTTTTTTTTTTGGCCAACTTCTTTAATTTAATATTCGTAATCGAGTAATATCTTATCCTTTTTGAATTACTTTAATTAGTAATTATATTTTAATTATTATTTCTTTAGTGAATATTTAAATATGTTACTTATTTCATAAATTGCTCAATAAAATTATTTTAAATTACTTTGTGCAATTTTCAAACCTAATTGTATTCAAATTTAAATTGAAAGGATATGTCAAAAACGAAAAAAATAAATTGCTTATTTTCGTTTCAGTGTTTTAATTAAATTTCTCCAAACCCCAAGAGCCCCAAGGCCCAAGTCTTTGAATAATATAATTATCATTAATCAGTGCCAAATCCAAAGCCAAGCCTATAGCCAAGCCCATTACCACAACTCTCCAATGTTAACCACACTTACCAAACCACCATAGTGCTTTGTTTATAAGGACCTTTATAGGATTGTGGATTTCCGATGTGAGGTGTTCACAAAGGGCGCCTCAACAGAATATCTTCACAGTATAGTCACGCGGTTGTACTCTAAAAAATAAAATATTTTAAAAGTCCAGCCGCGCGGCTATACCCTTTAAGTAGCTCGCTTTTTTAATTACTTTGATTAGTACTTATGTTTTACTTAGTGAATATTAAAGGAAAAAAGAAAAAAGAAAAAATGAATTACTATTTATTTAGTAATATAATTCATGAAGTTAATTAAAAAAATTTAATACTAATTATTCACGAAATAAATAATAATTAAAATATAATTACTAATTTAATTAATTAAATAAGAAAAATATATTATTTAATTACTAACAATAAAATTTTAAAAAATTAATTAACCTAAACATCCTATGTTTATATTTATTTTTTTTTTTTAAAAGACCTCTCCTGACGAAATTTCGTCGAGAGAAGTGTTTATTTAATTTTTTATTTAATTTTTTTTAAATTTTAAAAATATAAAATTCGTTTCTTTACTTTTGTTTTTTGCCAACTTCTTTAATTTAAGAATAATACTAGTCTTACCACCATTTTTATACCACATGATGTGACAGCTGATGTGTACATACCACATCATGTAAAATACTAATTTATGTTTTTCTAATTTTATTTATTAAAATATACTTCATTCATTTAATTGATGTGGCATGTGATATGGACATGTCATATCATGTGGTATAGAAATGTGGGATAATAATGTGGTAAGTGTAGCATTACTCTTAATTTAATATATGTAATTAAGTAATATCTTATCCCTTTTGAATTACCTTAATTAGTAATTATGTTTTAATTATTATTTCTTCAGTGAATATTTAAATATGTTACTTATTTCATAAATTGGTCAATAAACAGTAATTAATTATTTTAAATTATTTTGTGCAATTTTCAAACCTAATTTCATTCAAATTTAAATTGAAAGGATATGTCAAAAACGAAATAAAAAATAAAAAATTGCTTATTTTCGTTTGAGTGTCTTAATTAAATTTCTCCAAAGCCCAAGAGCCCCAAGGCCCAAGTCTTTGATTAATTTAATTATTATTAATCTATAAATAGAATATCTTCAAAGTATAGCCGCGCATGCCCAAGACATGCCCATTCAACGCATGCCCAAGAAGTGCCCAAGAAATTCCCTAATATTTAAAAAAAAACCCAAGTGTTCCCTCTTTGTGACTTGAACCATGGACCTTGAAGTTAATAATTAAAACAAAAACCAACCCATCTAATATTAAACATTTCAATATTGTTGCTCCTTATATGTACTTGAACACCACTCTCCATACTATATTGCTACTGTAATACAACTTTTTGACCCCTAAAAAATGAGTCCGCCCATCACTTATTGTCTCTTATGTTTAAAATTGAAGTTTAGTTTGCATGACATTAAGAAAATTTAAGGAAAACTTGTCTGTGCTGTTACGTTGGGAAGATGTCCTAGATCAAGAAAAGATACATGAATCAAAAAAATAAAAAAAAATTGCCCCAAACGGACACCCGAGCGCAAAGTTATGACCTTTCATAGTTTGAACTCATTTTAACAGCAACTTTAGGGGGCCAGTTCATCTACCAACCTGTCCTAAAAAATAATTCTTCTCCTTCCCAGTGTATAGATCACGAAAAAACGTGTCAAAACGAGTGCTTGCATTCGCAAAATGGTTAATTGAGCTCCAAGTTATGGCCTTCCAAGTGCTCAACGCACATTTCATATTGCTTTCTGCAGCACACAAACTGAAGCAGTTCCTAACTGTCACGTTTAAAAATCACTAAAAAAATCATTAAAAAAAGATACATGTTAACAGCCCACGGAATACTATACGAGGAGGGCCTCTCTAAATTCCAATCCACAATCTATTGCATTCCCTAAACCCTAGTCTAGTCATCTTCTCTCCACTCCTTGCATATAGTTCTCTGTGTACTTTGTTTTGGGTACTGTACACACTTCGTGGCTTAATTTCTGGTCCTCTAATCAAACACCATTGTTCATGGAAGTTGTTCCTCTATTAGTTTTGTGTATTGTACCAAAAGTTGAGCTCAACAGGGAAATCTTAGCAGGAGAATCATGATGTTGAGACCAGGAGGGATTGCTTATCATCCACCATTAGATTAGCTCTCGCTTGTTCTGCAGAATCACCCGCACAGAGGATTAATATGCAAGAATCTGTATCCACACTCAATAAAATCAAGAATAAGCTTTTGAAGGACAATGGAGGCGTCCAGTAGTTTTCTTTTCATCATGATGATAAATGTCAACTTGTGATTTCTTTTCATCAGGCTTAATATGTTGTCCTTTTCATCCAGTTGTTTTTTCCTGTTTCTGTTTCGTTTGGGCAGCTCTCTTTTCATCAGGCTTAAACTGTATGAGGACGATAATGATTCAAAATGCTACAAGCCGAACTATGGCTGTAATGATCAAAATTTCTTCAATGGTTGTCCAGAGTCAATCAATGAATCTCACGCATTACTTGAAAGAAACTGCCTGGGAGGAACCCGAAGAAAATCTATCAAAGTTGTTGTCTCAACCAAGCGAGGATTTCTCCCAAGCTTGCGAAAAAATGTTTAAAGGTTGTAAAGAGTTTTTTCAATACATACATCAGGAGAATTCTCTTGTACCAACAACTCCTCCTACTGTTGAAAAAATCGAAAATCTGGAGGAGGTGAAGAATGAGGACCAAAAAATGGTCCAAGAGCAAAAATATGAGGAGATCCCAACAAAAGAGGACTCACAAGTTAATTTTTACAAAGACCAAAATATGGTCAGAGTAGAAATTGATATGGTTGTGGGTAACAAAACTAACTTGCCAAAATCATCAATGGCTAAGTTAGAACTTGAGGCCAAAAGTGGCTTCAGCATCCATTTTCTTTGGGAACTTGACCCAGCTAACAGAGATTCATCTTGGCATCAACAATTTGATAGGTACTTGCAGGGTCAACTCAACTCTATTTTTTTTTAAAAAATTTATGCTTAACATACTATATATAGTAAAAATACAAAAACATTCTACCATACAATAATAACCGGCCACATCCTCCTATCTCCTCTTCATATACCCAATAATTCCTCAATTTGCTTTAAAAAGATATTCCATTTTAAGTTCGTATGCTATGTATGCACACGCCGGCCAGATGAGATTAAACCTGGGTGCTCGGGTTGATTGCATGTGGCAGGTGAAATACCAGATGAGATTGGCGATCCACACAACTTACAGGGTTTGGCACTCCATGTTAATAATCTCAATGGTGTCATCGCATCCAGAATCTTTAATTTATCCATGATAAAATTTATTTCTCTATCTAGTAATCAGCTCTCAGGTAGCCTCCCAGCAGACATAGGCACTGGGGTTCCAGACCTGCAACAATCTTGTAGGAGATAACTGCAAAGCTTCCTGTTTTCTTTGGGAATCTCTCAACAAAGCTTGAAATTGTTGATTTAGGCAACTGCAACATGAGGGAATGCTTTCAACAAGTAGGGATGTGTACAGTTTTGAAATTACAGCCACAGCACACAGTACACAATTGAGGGACATAAGTCGGGCTCCTCAGTTAATACACAAGGCCTCAGCAAAGATAGATGAAGTTTGAAAAATGGCCAGGCGGTAGGATAAAAGAACAAAAGAAAAGAACCAGACCCACCCTGGCACCCAGACCCGCTAGCGCCCCCTAGGGCCGCCTAGACCCGCCTAGCGCCGCCTAGACCCACCTAGACCCGCCTAGCGCCGCCTAGACCCGCCTAGACCCTCCTAGACCCGCCTAGACCCGCCTAGCGCCGCCTAGACCCGCCTAGACCCGCCTAGCGCCGCCTAGACCCGCCTAGCTCCTCCCAGACCCACCTAGCGCCTCCCAGAGCCTCCCAGCGCCGCCCAGACCCGCCCAGACCCTCCCAGCGCCGCCTAGACCAGCCCTGCAGTGCATAAGTTTGAAAAATCGCTAGGCAGTAGGCTTAAATAACAAAAGAGAAGAACCAGACACACCCTGGCAGCCAGACCCGCCAAGCGCCGCCTAGACCCGCCTAGCGCTGCCCAGACCCGCCTAGCGCCGCCCAGACCGCCGCCCAAATAAACCGCCCTCTTGTTCAGCGCTTTAATTAATGGATCCTATCCTATGACATATATTTCATGCCGTTTTGTTTTGGTATAATTTATTTAAATTTTAAAGACAATAATATATAGATGGAAATTAAATGCTTCTTACTTGGTGTGGTTGCTGCAAGCCTGCAACTACGGCCTCTTGGGTGCTTTGCCGCTGCTTTGTAAAGAATATTTATTCTTCTGTTTATTAGGTTTATGATTATCTTGTTAAGTTGTGGAAGTCCTATTGTTTAGGGACTTGGTTGTTTAGTTGCTAGTTAATCGGAGAGTCCAAGTTGTCATGGAGTCATGGTTAGTGGCTGAATGTCATGGTTTGGTCGTGCATTAGTTGATCCTATTATTTAGCGTAGTTGCTTTCTTATTTTGCTATTTAAATTGTATTCAGTATTCAAGTTAATGGTGAAGAGAAGTTTGAATTCCACAAATACGTTCTTGGTTCTTCATCTGTTTCCTTATTTTCAACATGCTTACCCCATGTCAGGACTCTTTTACTTGGTATGGTATCAGAGGAGGCAAGAAACGACTGATTACAATAACCAGGCCTCCCTTCCTATCTGTTGGTCTCTCTGTGTGTGTAAACAAGCTTGGTTTTTGAGACTTTTGTCTTGATCGTTGCTTAAGTTATGGATAGAACAAATAATTAATGGTTTTCCGTTTCACCGACCCAATCGAATGATATTTTTTTTTTAATACTTATTTTCTATAGTTTTTCTAGAAATAAAAGTATACATTACATCACAAAAATTAAATTATTTGCCAAACTGTGAAAATAAGAAATTGATTACCCTGAACCCATATAATGTTGATGTTTGGGTTGGGCTACAGACCAGTGCCTTTAGTAGTAAACTAGGTCGCATCGTTTAGTCCGTCTGTTCTATTAACTCTATTTTTGAGGTATTTACAATGTTAATTGAATTGTAGCCACCGAGTTCTTGCAAGGTCCTACAATATATTTATTATGTGATCCTTCTCTTTCATGATGGATATAGTTGATGCTCTCCAAGAAACAACTAGTATCATGGGTGCAAAGCATTTGAAAGTTTAATGCTGATTCTTGTGAAATTGATATAGTTGCCTTGCCTCCTATTCCACCCCAAGTGTGCTGCTGGCAAATACGGCAACTACTATGATTTCGAATTTTACACCTTATTGATGACTCGGCCTAATACCTACTACATGCGAAAGAAATACCTTGCTAGATGTAATTGCTATGAGCCCGTCGCACAGAAATTTATCATCAATGGTCTATGGCCAATATATAATGATTTTAATGCGCGTCCGAAGTGCGGATCAGCTTCAAATGCCCAAAGAGTATTTGATGGCGAACAGTTCAAAATTGCAGTATTGTATACTTCGTGAACGTCCATAACCTTGAGCACTATTTTTTATTTTTTATTTGTGTTCATCATTATATCTTTTCAGTTTTACACCTCTGTCTTAATTTTTGCAGGAGACAACTTGTGTTGTCAAGATGAAAGAGTACTGGCCAAATCCAACAGCGAAGGATTTGACTGAGAGTAAATTTTTTTGGGAAAGACAGTGGAAAGAGCATGGTAAATAAATACACTGATCTGCTTGCTGAAGACTATTTCAACTTAGCATTTAAGTTTTATGAAGACGTTAATATGACAAAGATGCTTGAGGATGCTGGAATTTCAATTGGGATGGATTCTGATCCTATCGTGATCATTCAAGTGATAGGGAAGTAGACGAAAAGCTTCGCAAATATCAGGTGTTATAAGGGAATGTTGTGGGGAGCCCGAATCTACTTCGGAAAATATGGAATGTTTCGCCACTGTAACATGAGGATTCAGGATATGTTTTTGGGCTGTAAAAGGACACAAAATGTATATCACAAAATTTCTCTTCCTGCGATGCCATCTACAATAAAGGCAGAGGTAATACCAAATTGTGCTTTCCAAGTTCTATGTTGTAATAATATTTTTATAACTTTCCTCTGTGATTGTAGAAATGTGATGGTGGAGATGCGGATTAGCCCAAGCAAGCAATGAGCACTAAAGTCTGGTGGTGTGGTGACGAGTACGTTAAAGCTCTAAGAATATGCTTTTCTTTGGCTTTTATGCTTTTATGTGCGTATTATGTTGCTCCTTGCTGGTCAGAACTTTAGTCACACAAAGGAGGCCAAGCAGAGTGGCCATGGTAGGACGGTTTTTGTTGTTGTAGCGGTTATGGTTTTATATGTTTATAAAAAATAATATAGCCGCGCGGCTATACTCGGGTTTTTTTCAAAATAGTATAGCCGACCGGCTGTACTGGTGTTAATAAATAGTACAGCCGCGCGGCTATACACAAAGGCGCCAGGCCGGTCCCTTTGTTAGTATAGCCGCACGGCTATACTTGGGTTTTTTTAACCCAAAATTGTATGGATCTATCCAACTAATTAAAATGAGAACATGCATTGCGGAACCCCAAGGTGTGTACATGCTGGAGAGCTTAGCTGATTACATATCTCTGTCTAATAGTCAAACTCTCTGGCTTCTGATGTTTAATATCCTTAGAAATCAGAGCAATGCAAATCAACCAATAACTTCTACTTTATTAGTTACTACTATCTTGAATACACAGAAAATATTGTTTACCATCTCAAGAATTTATACTTTATTGGTTGGTTATCACTCTAAAGACAAGAACTACTAATTTATGGCCAACATGTTTAGTATTAGTATTCGTATTAGTACTGATATTCCACTTCAAACATTCGACTTGTATGATAATCAATTCTTGGGTTCCATACCCACTGCTATCTTCAACTTATCTGCATTGCCAACAATTGATTTGGGCAATAACGAACTATCAGGTACGAGCCAACAAACAGCTATCTAGGAATTGATTATTACCATTTAACATTCGTTAATTCTTTTGTTTTTCCTTCTCTCTTCTTTTTATGTGGCATGTGCACATGTTTAACAGGCATCATACCAAGAGAAATAGGGAACTTAACAATGCCCGAGGAGATGCACCTTTACTCCAACAATTTCAAAGGTATGCTATTCTTATACGATTCAGCATTTTGTTGCAGAGCATTATATAGTATTCATAAACAGCTTATACATATAAATCTTAGCAGACATAGGCACTGGGGGTTCCAGACCTGCAACGACTTCTTGTAGGAGATAATAAGCTCAGTGGAACCATCCCCAGCTTTATCTCCAATGGTTCTAATAAGCTCACAAGGCTAGACATCAACGCTAACTTGTCTTTCGGTTTTATTCCTACGACACTCTGCCTTTACAAACATTCAGTGGCTTAACTTACAGTGGAATAATTTGACGGTTGATGCTTCTATTCCGGTGAAAAACTCTCTCTCTTGTTTGGCTAGTCTTAGAAATTTGTCGATGATCAGCTTGGAAGGTAATCCATTAAATGCCATGCTTCCTGTTTTCTTTGGGAATCTCTCAACAAAGCTTGAAATTGTTGATTTAGGCTACTGCAACATGAGGGAATGCTTTCAACAAGTGGGGATGTGTACAGTTTTGAAATTACAGCCACAGCACACGGTACACAATTAAGGGACATAAGTCGGGCTCCTCAGTTAATGCACAAGGCCTCAGCAAAGATAGATGAAATTTGAAAAATGGCCAGGCGGTAGGATAAAAGAAGAAAAGAAAAGAACCAGACCCTAAACCCTAAAGAACCAGACCCACCCTGGCACCCAGACCCGCCTAGCGCCGCCTAGCTCCGCCTAGACCAGCCTAGACCCGCCTAGCGCAGCCTAGGGCCGCCTAGACCCGCCTAGCTCCACCCAGCTCCGCCTAGACCAGCCTAGACCCACCTAGACCCGCCTAGGGCCGCCTAGCGCCGCCTAGACCCGCCTAGCTCCACCCAGACCCGCCTAGCGCCTCCCAGACCCTCCCAGCGCCGCCTAGACCAGCCATGCAATGCATAAGTTTGAAAAATCGCTAGGCAGAAGAACAAAAGAAAAGAACCAAACCCAACCTGGCAGCCAGACCCGCCTAGACTCGCCTAGCTCCTCCCAGACCCGCCTAGCGCCGCCCAGACCCCCCTAGCGCTTCCCAAATAAACCGCCTTCTTGTTCAGCGCTTCAATTAATGGATCCTATCCTATGACATATACTTCATGCCGTTTTGTTTTGGTATAATTTTATTTAAATTTTAAAGACAATAATATATAGATGGAAATTCAATGCTTCTTACTTGGTGTGGTTGCTGCAAGCCTGCAACTACGGCCACTTGGGTGCTTTGCCGCTGCTTTGTAAAGAATATTTATTATTCTCTTTATTAGGTTTATGATTATCTTGTTAAGTTGTGGAAGTCCTATTGTTTAGGGACTTGGTTGTTTAGTTGCTACTTAATAGGAGAGTCCAAGTTGTCATGGAGTCATGGTTAGTGGCTGAATGTCATGGTTTAGGGCTAGAGTCAGGACTCTTTTACTTGGTATGGTATCAGAGGAGGCAAGAAACGACTGATTACAACACCCAGGCCTCCATTCCTATCTGTTGGTCTCTCTGTGTGTGTAAACAAGCTTGGTTTTTGAGACTTTTGTCTTGATCGTTGCTTTAGTTATGGATAGAACAGACAATTAATGGTTTTCAGTTTCACAAATATTGGATTGGATTGGATCCCTGTATTTAAAGCATGTTTAAGGAAGAAGATGGATTACTCAATAGTGGGGTTTAAATAGAAAATCTATCCCGTCTAATCGAAAATCTATCTCATGAAGAAAATCTCTCAATATTGAACATGCCTTCATTGGATTGGATCCCGGTATTTAAAGAAAATCTCTCAATAGAAAATCTATCCCACTTCAAATAGAGGGGTTTAAATAGAAAATCTCTCAATATTTTTTATCATTGAAGGTAGAAGATGGATTACTTATGAAGAAAACTTATCCCGTCTAATCCCTACAAAATGGTAGGATAATAACACCTTATAACTAATCCCTCCCAACATGGAAAGTCATTCACCCCTACCTTCATCTTCTCCTTCAATATACCTTAGATTTAGTGACTTATGAAGTTTTCTTCTTTCATAATCAAAATTAGCAATTTTTTGTTTATTTTATTTTTAGATGTTCTCAGTGACTAAATAAGTAATTGACTCTTTCTAAACTAACTGCTTTAGGGTTCTTTACCTGTGCATTAAGTTCTGGTATCTTGGGACAGGTTTTATTTAGTCTCCTTTAGAAGTCTGATAGCTTGTTCTGTCAAGCTGAAAGAGTACTGGTTAGATCCAACAAAGGATTTGATTGAGACTAGAAAATTTTGGAAAAATCAGTGGAAAGACCATGGTAAATTCTGTGATCTGCTTGCTGAAGACTACTTCAATTTAGCATTCAAGTTTTATGAAGACGTTAATGTGACAAAGATGCTTGACGTTAATATAAAGTGTTATAATGGAATGTTTTGTTTGGGAAGTCTGATTCTGCTTTGAAAAAGATGGAATGTTCCGGGACCGTAACTCAGGATATGTTTCAGAACTGTAAAATGACAATAAATACATATGACAAATTTTCTCTTCCGATGCCACCTACAATAAAGATAAATACCAAATTGTGCTTTCCGAGTTCTATGTTGTAATCACACATTTATAAATTGCGTATGTGATTGTAGAAATGTGATGGTGGAGACGAGGATGATGGTGATAAGACTGCTACTATAGGTGATTAGCCCAAGCTACGAGCACAAAAGGCTGGTGGTGATGGTGAGCAAGTTAAAGTTCTAAAAATATTTTTTCATTTTTTTCATTTTTTTTTTAAATGTTTGTGCTATGTTGATGTTTCCAGGTCTGAACTTGAGTCACACAAGAAGGCCAAGCGTAGTGTTGAGGTTGATACCTTAATTTTGTGAAGGTTTTGGTGGTGATCGGTTGTCGTTTTATATGTTTAAACCTTGGTTTTTCTATTTTTTCAACTTTGATTAATAATTTACTTTTAAGAACACTACTTTTAACTGTTTCTTTATTGTCAGCCACTTTGATTTACCACTTTTCATTCCAAAATGAATCTCGCGCACTAATTGGGGTCAAATTACTCTAGGTTCACATTGAACTTGTATACTTAATGCTGGAATACTTGCTCTACTGGTCTTGAGCCTTGATTGACATGGCTAATATCTTAATGAAATATTGACCTACAATAACCCTCATAGCTAGTCATAGTCCAATTTCCTGTAAGCTTCTACAATCTGCCTGTAGTGTACAGAAAGTGCTTGCTCTATGAACCCTTCTTAGTTCTGACCCCCAAAAAGAAAAAAAAGAACCCTTCTTAGTTTTATAAGCCCGCAGCATTGGAATTTACTTCTTGATTTGATATAAAACGATGACATTGATCTCCATCTTCGCTTTTATGCCGAGGCTGCAAACTCTCTGCGCTGCGCTACCATAGAAATGGTTACAAGCCATGATTCTGCCAATGTCTTTAACTTAACATTCAAGGCCAAACATATGTACAATAATTTATGTGTGTATATTTTTAAAATCATTAGAAAACATTATATAAGCTACTCATATGTAGAAAAGAAAATAATATTATACAGCTGAATTGAGAAAAAAATTCAAACCTCTATACATAATCAGGAGGTTTGGACCTCATCGTGATCAAGGCTATAGCCTTTTGAAAGTGAGAACATATCATCTCTGGTGAAACATTTTAAGTCATGTAGATTTGTCCTACAGAACTTTATAATCTTGGTCGCTTATGTAAGTTCCTGTAGAAGCCTCTGCTTTTCATCTGCTACGAGTATATACACCTGCAATGAGAGAGAGAGAGAGAGAGAGAGAGAGAGAGAGAATTAATACATGCTGACAGATTTTCTTCTCATCAGTCATTGACTCATTGCTGAGAGAATTATCTCAGATGAAAATGGAAGTATATTAAGCTCCATCATACTTACAGAGTTAAGGTTGAAATTAAAGCTCTATGTATGCAAAACATTACACTGGTACAGGATCTTGTTCGAGGATTTCCTTTCCTGTAATTCCATCTTTCAAAGTTTTAAAGTAAACATTGTAGTCCTTCTCGGGGGGTGGATTTTGAGGGTCCACTGTAAATGGCTCACTAAATGGCACCACACTTTTAACCTGCAAATGAGTTTATAAGCATCTTAGAATCTGCAAAAGCTTTTAACTTCCAAAAATAGCAAATTATAGCCACAGCACACAGAACACAATTAAGGGACATAAGTCGGGATGTGACCTCAAATGTCTTGCCAGATGCATAGGGGCTTTCCAACGCAGCAACACAAATCTGAGCAACCTCCTCTCTTGATATCTTACCCTGCATATATATAAATACTATAAATCATAACATTCAGATATTATTACTATTATAAGGGAAAGAAAGAGCAATACATGTCATCACAGGCATACAACAAAGAGAGAATAGTGATCTTCTATTTGATTATATACCGTTATATTGTCTCCTTGGTCAAAAATGAGATCTGCTCCGGCAGGCTCCTCAGTTAATGCACAAGGCCTCACAATTGTGTATGGTATTCCACTTTCCCGTATCAAATCCTCCCCCTGCTCCAAAACTTATCAATGTACAAAATTGAAAGAGCTAAATCTGACCCAGAAAAATAAAAGAACAGAAAAGAGCAAAGAAGTGGTATTTTGATACACTGATTATTTATAAAAATATCAAACAGCTGGCACTGAATTAGTATGAAACCTTCAACTTGAATGTCAGGATAAAATCCAATTCCTTGTTTAAGCGAACAGCAGGAGGTTGTTTACTTAGATCAAGTCCAGGCCTGTCGGGTCGGGTAACTCCTGCAGAACCTACGTGTACGAACCTACACGGAACACAAGCAAAGAGATTCTTTAAAGACAAACAGAAAGTGCACCTAGCAGATCAATTATGTTTAGTCATAAGAAGATAATCCAAAAAAATGAAATGAATGTGAAACCTGGGAGTAATAGGCTCTTTTAGATATGCTCTTATGCTTGATAATGGAAGCTTAAATGCCCCTTCCACAAAAGTAGGATTCAGTTTCCCATCATATTCAAACTTGCTAAACATGAGCTGCCATAATTTTGAATCCCATCAATAAACATAGAGAAAATGAAGTGAAAGAATAGACTAAAAGAAAGTGGCTGCAGAAATGTGCCTGCAATGACACAATATTGCTGGGGTCAAAAGGTGGCGCATCTGATACAGTTCTTGCTCGAAATATCGGCTTCAACGAAGAAAATGGCACACGTACCTGGAAAAAAATGAGACAGATTACTATTATGGAGTTTGAGATATGTAACTACAATTTGAATGCGATCAAGGAGCTAGTGTGTTACTTACTGTCTGCCACTGGTCTCCAACAGTGTCAAAGCCTGCTGTGTAACCAACAGTATCCCAATCACGACTTGTGCGAACAATTAGTTTATAGCGACGACCATCACCTTTAAGGCGCAGCTCCAAACCATCATATGCAGAGAGATCCTCAGCTGTTGATAGATTCTAGATACAAGCATATTCATCACTAGACAATAAGCAACTGACCAACTTCAGGGAACAGTAAAAAATTCTATGCACAATATATTTACAAGTCACAAGAAAACGTTGCTCTTTACCTTTGTTCTGATACTGGTAAAACCACCATTGTTTGCAGTGGAAACAACCCCTGAAGGAGAAGAGACATACCAAATAAATAAATTTCAACTAAACCCATCCAAATATGAATAGTTCTAATAGAATCACCAGTGAGAACGCAGTACAAAGACACCAGTTCTAAAGTTTGAAAATATCATACCTTTAAAAATTCCAGTTGGTCCACCATTTTCACCACCGTTTGGATCAATCTGAAATGTACTTTCACTCACTCCACCCATCACAACATCATCTAAAGCACCCCAAGCCAATTCCCTATAATTATTATCTGCAAATTACAAACAAAGAAAAGAATCTAAAATGGTATATATTGTTCACCTAATAGAATATGAGGATTGATGATTTCAGTTAGGTTCCATGTATGAAAAGTTCGAGCGTGTTCCCTAGCATGTTAAGTATAATGGACCGCAGAATAACATGTTTTTTTATGAAGGTTCTTCGCATTTGCTTTCCATACTATATTTCATATTAACCTAAATTCTCCACCGTTTTTTACCTTTTCCAAAAGAGTTTTTATTTATTTCCCAATTATTTGTACAAGAACGACTGGACCAAGTATAACACAGCAGAAAGGATGGAAATCAGTGGTTTCAGCATACAGAAGAGTGTACCTTCAAAACCAAATAGTAGTTTTCCATTTTGAAGTCCAACGCTTCCTTTTACAGCCTTGATCAAATTTCTTATTCCAATGTACTCCACCTTTTCAGGTGAATCTCCCTTGATCTGCTTCCATCAATCAACCAATGATTCATAATTACTAAGAAGAACATTTTTATTACACACTCAAAACAAATGAGGAGAAAATTCAAGTTCCAAGTTAAACTTTCGAGAAAATGCTGACTCCAGATATAGAATGTAAGCAATCAGTTCGTCACCTCTGGTTCAAAGAACTTGATTCCCTGTACAAAACATAACAGAATGTCAAAGCTGCTTAAGACAGAAAAAAATAATTGTGGAATATATTGCAGGCGTGGGAAGTCCATGGCAGTCCAAGTTTGCAAAACATAGAAGTTAAAAAATGAAGTTTTTTTCAACTTAAAAATGTTTTGAACATACCTGGCTGTATTTTTGCCTGTCAGGAGTGTCACCTTCCTTTGGACCAACAATGACAGAAACAGCATTAATCACTCTCCTCACTCCTTTGAAGTACTCGGGAACCAGAGTACTCTCCTTAGTAATGTCTCCAACAATCTGAAATTTTTCCAGGAAGAAACCAGGGTCACCATTGACGACATAAAAATAAGAAATGAAACCACCATAAATTCTTTTACAATTATGACAAACAAATGGAATCTAAATGTGACAGTTAATAAACAAATAATTTGGGCATGGACAGAAGCATAACCAAGTAGGAATTACATAACTAGTTTTCATCAAGGAAATTGAAGATACATGGGTTGCTAGCTCACCAAGTCAACATCCGGGCCTAACATTTTCCTTGCTTTCTCTTCATTTCTAACCTGAGAGAAGTTTATATGAAAACATAGAAATTCAAGAAAGGAACAAGTGTAAAGGGAAATGGTAAGAGCAGAATACCAATACTCGGACTGGAAGCCCTTTCTTCCTTAAGACGTCGACCACCCTTCGACCTACACCACCAGTTGCCCCAGCCACTAGGACAATGCCAGAAGTTTCCATTTTCTTTTCTGGTTTACTAGGTGATGGGCTGGATAGTTTCTCACTTACAAACTCAAAGAACTTCACAAATAACAAACTGTTGTTAGTTGAGACATGATCACTTTTCACTTTCAGATAATTTCGAAAATTTTAGTACTTTCCAACCTTAGCAGGAGAGGGAGGTTCGTTGAAGAAAAATATTGTTTTAAAAAATCTACCCAAGTCCCAACTCTGCTTTCCAGCTTCTGCTGATATGGATCTTCGATACGTTCTTGGGGAGAGATGATCAGAGTTTTGTTGGTAGGGAAAGCTGTGTGGTCTGTCATTAAGTTGAAGAAAGGGTTTAGGAAGTGGAGAGGACAGCAACTGAGGATGTAAAGATTTTTTAAAATGATTCCTACCAACAGGTGATGAAAAATCCTGCAATGTCAAGCCATCAAGTAATTAAGTCAACAGAATTCAAAATTCAATAGCTAATTCTCCTGCAGTAAATATGTTTATCACAAAGGATTAGAAGCACAATTCAAGGCTTGGCTGAGTTAAATGAAGCTTAGCATCCAATTGAACAAAAGAAACTCCCACTTATTTCTCCCAGAAATGCAGAGTAAATGAGTAACAGTGTAATTTGGTTTTGATTGCTCATTGGAATTAGTTGAACACTTGAACCAAAGTGTTCCATAATCAAGACAAGGCAAAACAAATTAATTATTTTTCACTTACTCATTTACCAACCACAAACTGAAATTCATTTGGGGAAAACCCTGCTTAGAAAGAAAATCACACAACAAAACCATTGCAACTTTAAAACCCCCTTCCCAAATTAGGTAGTCTGACTGGCTATGAACATAATTTTAAACAACAATTCATGTGAAAAATCATGGGGGTTACCTGGAGATTGAGAGCTGAAGAAGACAGAGGCGAAGATAGCTTAATGACACCAAATTCCATTGCCAAAAAGAGTTTGGAAACAGAGTTCCAGGCTCTTCTCTGGGTATTTATCTAACTGGTTGCTTAATAAAGCGACGTCTGATATTTGAGTTAGAGTGAATACTGACCACACATACACAACACAAGGATCAATAGTAAACAGCATAAACTACTACTGACAGTCCCTGAACTGAGACGTGGCCTCCTATTCTATGCACACTTTTGTTGGGTCGTTGCTTGCCATACTCTGCGGTGATGCTGGTAATTTTAACGGTCACATACAAAATGCCAATGAGTAACGAGTTAGTGTCAAATACTAATAATAGTTTTAACCATTCAAGTAAGAGACATTATTTAATTACTCTAATCACAGAAACCTTATAATGAGGACATTTTCTCCAGGGTGAGATAAATGATGCGCGATCGTTTCTAGATATGAATGGCCCAATACAGTCGGTTGACCTACCTCTCACATTCCACAACGATCCCACACTAGAGAACTTTTGAAACTAGCCTAATTCACTAGCTTCGAGGCGATGTTGAGTACTAAAATAAGGGTTTAATCCAGCAATCGAATAATAACTTTGCACTTCATTGAACAGATATTAAGAAGCCCCTGGTTATAGCATCCCTGTAACCCAAGGTACAATGAGCCACCTACACGAAATGGAACGGCCCAAGTGATCCACAGCTGCATGAAAATAAAACAAGGGCCAGGTGACCCAGTGGCCAAAGCCCATAGAGCATAGTTCAGCTACAAAGGGGCTTCCAATTCCCTTGATACAAATTCAAAGTGCATGAGAATGACACTTGAGTTGAATGTGCATGAGACCTTTCCATTTCACGTGATGTCTGGCTAGTCTTTGCCCCCTTCCCCATTCATACAGATTTAGACTTCAAGATGAAGTAAATAATATATATATTTTTTTTTTTAAATTTTTATTGACCGAGAGTTTTCAATGTTCCGAAAAGAGACAACAAACGTAACGTGTGAGCACTTTAAAGCAAAAAAATTAAACAAAGAAGAAAAAATGACCATAGAATTGAAAATAATGCACGTTTTAAGGGTTTCATTTTATTTAGCAAGAAACAACATAGCGTTCATGGCCGTACCCGCATGTCATCTTCTTCAATTTTCAAATGCCAGCACGTACCTACCTCGAAAATGCAGCACAAACATCAACTTCTCTTTCTTTTTTTTTCCTTTTTTTTGTTGTAAAATTCTCACACAGACCTTTTTAACAGCAATACGTTTCACATATGGCTCAATGTGGCACGTTTTTGTTGCAACAATTGTATAAATTTTGGGTTCTATTTCCGCATATTGTCATATTATGAGTCAAAATGGTACGATTCTGCGACCCACAAGTAGTTTGCCGGCAAAAAGTATACTTGGAATTTTTGCAAATGGAAATGGAATATTAATAAATGGCATTCATATCTTATGACTAAAAAAAACTCTATCAATTTTATATTCGTGTGGATTGAAACTTCATGATGGATGGTCCCAGACAAGATAAGCGTTTTCGGCCGCGGCAGCAGATAAATCTTGTCTATGGATAATGGAAGACACCTGAGCAGCTGACATGGGTGAATGATTTGAGGGCATTTTGTTGACCTTCTGCCCTACAACTTCTTCTATCTATGCCGACAATGCAGAAAATTCAGCACATACTGTGACTTTCTTTCTCTTTGCGTTTTAGCTTTATGTTTCTGCATAATGTAGGCAAGTCATGCATATATTTGTTTTATAAATGCATGGTAGCTAGAATTTAAGTCAACAATATTTACATGGTTTTGTCTGTAATGGGCACAATCAAAACTGGCCATGGGAGGCCGCCGGTGGTTCTGATTTTAATTTCTTATTTGATTCCTATTGTGAATCGTGCATGCATGAAAAACCATATATAAGATCGAAAGATGCAAATATGAGTTAGGTCAGTTGGCCATAGCAATTTAGACTAATCGATTGTATATAAAAAAAGAAAGACTTTGATTAACTTAAATATATGAAACTTAAGAAAGGAAAAATGGTCCTACAAAAACCAAAGAAACGGTTCATGTGATGATATGCTATACTAATTAGATCCGTAAGGGGTTGTTACAAAAGAAGAAAAAAGTAATATTATTAATTAATTTGATGATCCATCTAATCTAATGGTGTCTCATTTGAGAGTAGTTGCTGACTTTGTCGTAGCTCAAATAAAGTGGGGGCCAATTACAAATGCAATACGTGACCATTGATCATCCCTAAATTATAATATTAAACAGAAAGGTCAACTCTCTTGCTCAATACCCTAGTTGTTGGTGCAGTTTAATAAAAATGAATTAAGACTTAATTGTTAGATTACATGCATCCAAATCTCACGATTCTCTTAATTAATAATTAATTAAGTCGAGTTTTCTTAACAACGTTAATATAAATTATAATAATAAGTAGCTAGCTTTTGTGAGTCTAAATTTGAAGAGACTGTTGTCTACGTCTCGCATATTTCATTGACCTTAGGCTGCTAACAAAAGCTAGATCAGATAGAGTGACGGAATTAGATTCAAAGTGACGAAATTAGATTATTTCTTTCAATTATTATTCACAAATTTTATTATAAAATAAATAATCTTGTTATATATGGTGGTTTGCATAATAACATGATAGCTACCCAAAGCATATTATATTCCATGGCCTCTATATCTTACAAAACCGCGTATCAGAGCCAAGGTCTAAAATATCGATGGTATCGGAAATATCAATTGTCCAAAAATACGGATATTTCGATGGAAATATCGGGATATTATCGATATCGATAAAAATTAAATAAAAACCATGGAAATTGTAATAAAAACTTGAAAATTTTTATTGAAACTTTAGAGGATGTTTATTCAGTCAGTTATTTATTAGTTTATCACAAAAAAAAAATGGAAGGAAATGCATTGCATGATAGGTTTAACTGATTTAAGTTGATTATATAGCGAGCTAATAAACACTATGAGTGTAGAAAATATGTAGTAATTAATGAAAAAAGATTAAACACATCATAATCATTTATATATAATGATTTACTACAATATTTTACACTTTATACATAGCATTGTAAGATATATGAGTGATTGAGTACCACATAGAGTCCCTATGAGGTTCAAATTTTTCACTATCTTCATCATTTCTACATATAGAGAAAGTGTATTGTGAAGAGTAGTCATCAAATGATAAATCCCCAAAATAGTTTTGCATGTAATTGTTAACATGTCACCCATATGGATTCGAGATTGGTTGACATTTTCCATAAGCAAAATCATTTGAAGATTAGATTTCAAATTCTTTCCATAAGCCGCTCGATTTCTTTCCAAAAAGAAAGGTTCAAGACTCACATTCTCATGTGAAAATATGATTCTTGCAAAAACAGTTCAAAACAAAACAATATAAATATACATATTAGCATATTATCACAAAAATATAAACAATATGGTGGTTAAGGCGTTGGATGAGTGAAATAGCAAGGGTTTGAATCCCCCTTTGAGTGTGTGCTTTGTGTTTTTTCCCCCTTTTTTTCATTACATCGATATTTTCGATATTTTTGATATTATAGTGATATTTTGACAAAATATTGTTGAAGTATAAGCGAAATTATCGACATTGATATTTTTTCGATATTATCGATATTTAGTGTTTTTTCCCCCTTTTTTTCATTACATCGATATTTTCGATATTATAGTGATATTTTGACAAAATATTGTTGAAGTATAAGCGAAATTATCGACATCGATATTTTTCGATATTATCGATATTTATACGATATGTGCATGGATACGTTCCGAAATATCCGTAATCCGAAAAAACGATAATATCCTCTATATTTCGTCGATATTATCAATATTTTATACTATGATTAGAGCTAATTAACTAAATCGAAAATATTTAATTAAATTTTATCGTCTTAATCAACTATATGATTCATTCAGTGCCTAATTGGTTCGGCTATCATTTTGTAAAATATAAAGGACACATGCGACCTAGCCAAGTTTGGTCAAATCTTGCCGACTTAAATATATTGAACAAGTTCTTGTACATATCACACATATTAAATAAGAGATATCCACATCAGAATGACTTCAAATTATCAAAATTTACTGTTGTGTGAAAATAATTTTAAAATTGTATTTGTAGAATTAAAAAGAAAAATGCATTAATTTGTAAACTTCTAAATCGTTTTCTGATTAGTGGGTTTAGTTGGAAAGAAACAGAGATAGAAGTTTGATTTTCAGCAATCAAATTAGACCGGTGAGTCGTGACTTGTGAGTGAAGAGACCATTGAAAAGGTTGTTCCCATTTTCCACGTAAAAACCTTATCACTATTATGGTTTTCTTGCGTTGTGGGGGACCCACTCACTTGTATTGTATCTTACTCTTCAACTTCACGGCTTTGACTTTCTCTACCTATCCACGACCTCCCACCGTCCCAGCTCCACCTTCATCTTCCAAAACAAAATGGCTTGTCTGAGCTTCGCAGTTCAAGCCGCTGGGAAATGCTGAAAATATATATATATATATTTCTTTATTTCTTTCCTTAAAATCAGGTTTGGTGTGAATATGTGGTAATAAAGGTTTGCATTTCTTCATATAGCCTGAGATAAGATCGTACGTGTCTAATTAAGATTTCAACTTGGGATGAGTTATGAATAGAATATGCCAACCTGTCTTGGCTATTTATTTATACGCACAATAACTCAAAAGAACGAGATAGGAAGACTAGTTTGACATATTTACTTACTCAAACTGGGGAAGTTAGGCAAGAGGCTCATAGCAAGTAAAGCAGTTATTTTGCATTTGAGGTCATGTGTTTGATTCTCTCTTTCTTCATTATCGCTCCTATTAAATGAGGAAGTTAAGAATATTGGAGAAAAATGAGGAAGTTAGGAATATCGGAGAAAAATGAGGAAGTGAGAAAAATGAAATAAAATGAATGGATATAGAATTAACTACTTACATCAGTCAATCTAATTTTTCATGTATCGAATTACGAGTACTCTAAAGTAATCTAAGAAAATGTTATTTGAACTCGATTGAAATTCACTAAATTTTTTATTCTTTATGTGTTTAAAAGTAAACTATAAAATAATTTCAATACTTACTGTAGATAAATAAACAATTGAATTGAATTCATCAACATCACATTCAAATATAAAGATTTCAAATTTGATTCCTCCTCTTTTCATTCAATTTCAAAGAAATAAAATTGGCGAGCCGCAAGTATGAGCCAATCACAAGCCAAGTCGAAGCGCATTAAATGGAAAGGAAAGAAGATTTTGACGGTGCATATGTTTTATGAGATGAAACTTGCCAAGAAAACGGGGGGAAACAGTGGCCGGCGGCTTAGCTCACACTCACACTCACCAAACCAAACCCAGCCTCCAATTCCTCCACGCGGCCTTCTCTCAACACTCTTTTTTAGTCTTGAAATTAATGTCACATATTGCTCTGACTAATCTGACCCTCCATCCCCCCCATCACCTCTCTGTATTCCAACTAGATCTTGACTTGGCCACCTCTATTTCTAACTTGAGCCCCAAGCACCTCTCTCTCTGTCTCTCTCTAGCCGCCACGCGGTACACATATTGTCTCCCTCTCTCTCTCCCCCACTCGCTATAAATACAGGCCTAACCCAATGAGCCCACTCCCCCATAGCATTCTTCAACCTTCCCCTTCCATTTTTTTCTGGTGAAAACCCACGAACCCAAATCTCTCATTTACCAAAAGGGACAACTCTCTCTCTCTCTCTCTCTCTCTCTCTCTCCTCCCTCTCTCTCTCTCTCTCTGTTTTGCATTGTTAATCTGTGAGAATCAATCAGAATGCCTCGTCTAAGCGCTTTGGCAATCATTTTCTTAGTGGTCTTGGCCTCATTTGCGGCAGCTTCAGAAAGCAGAAAGCTTTTGGACATGAAGAAGCAGGATGGCGATGGCCAGTACAGGAAGAGAGTGGCTTCTCTGTTTCTAGGTGCCCTTCCGAAGGGCACAGTGCCCGCTTCTACACCCAGCAAGAAGGGCCACGCCGTCGTCATCAACGAGAAGCTCATTGCTCGCCATCTCAGTAGCAACGATCGGATTCTGGCGCAGGCTGTTCCCAGCCCCGGTGTTGGCCATTGATTCATTGCTAGCATATATACCAGAAATATTATTCTTATATTTTTTCATTAGTTTCAATAATTTTATAATCCCTCTACAATTTTGGGTTCTTCTTGGGGTTAGATGTAGAATTTAGAACAGAACTTGAAATGTATAGACATTTATGGTTGGGATTCATTTTGCAATCTGCACAATCCCTTTATATATATAGATGCAAGAATTCTCTATAGATATATAGATTGTTTTTTTTTTTTTTTTTTTTTTTTTTTTTTTTTTTTTTTTTTGTTTTTTTTAGTTCTATGAATTTTCAAAAAGAAAGGTCTACTCTCTCTCTCTCTCTCTCTCTCTAGAGTCTTAAACAACATTTCCCTGTATGCTCTGGTTGACCTGGCATCTAATTAAGAGCTCTCCAGATTTGTTGATGATTTTTCAACTTTCTAGCTGTATCTGTTTTTCTTCAGAAGTTGGTGGTGGAGTTAGAGATCTTTAACTCTCGAGGCTTTAAAAAGCAAAAAATTTAAGCATGTTCATCCAAAGAAAACCGTCCAAAAATAGAGTTTTTTTTATTTTTTTAAAAAGAAAAAAATTAAGTGGGTACACAAGACAATGAAGCTTTCGTTGAATGTTGGAATTAAAATCAAATATATTCTTAGATATTGTTTTAAATAAAGAAATAAAAGAATGGCGGAAGGAATGTAGGACATGCAGAAATGGCATGCCATTTGGCTCAAGGTGGTGAAAGAAAAAAGGTGCCGCAAAAGCAAAAGCGCGTTTTAGGGGAGCGTCACAAGCCGACTAGTTGTTGGTTGCTCTCCTCCTCCTGATAATAAAAATGGCATTTGCCAGGAAGATGAGATCCATATGGGTCACGTTCATGAGATGAGCAAGTAGAAAATTCAGAAATAGCATTTTTGTAGAAAAGAAAAATATGCCTAGCTAGTTTACTTAAGACCACAAATTTATGGGTTTTGTACTTGGATTTGTTGACAGGATGAAGTTGGTTAACTTTGTCGAATTACCTCGTCACCTGATTGGTATAACAAATTATTATCACTTTACATCAAAAGTATATTAATTGGAGTGACGTCAATGTGGTATTGATCAAAACCTTTTTATGTGCTTAATTCAATTTAGATGTGACTTTAACCTTTTATAATACTCCCCAAGTGCATTCGGGTTCGATTCACATAGGAGACAATCTTAAAGCAACCTAATATAATACCCCCCCTTCTCATTCCCTAGTGAATGATGAAAAAAAAACCATTTTATAATACTTTTTGAGAGTATGTGATGTTAATTATAATTTCACCCGTTTTTTAAATGCTTCGGATAATTTGAAAAGGCGTATATTATAATTGATTACATACTTCTTTTAAAGAACTCGATTCGTGAACTATCTTAATAGATTATATGTTGACAAAGTATCTTTTTCTAGACGCACGTCTCCTCTTACTAGACGTATTCCTCAAATTCTCCATTTTCCTAATTCTTTCCTAGCAATCACATCTCCTTTACAAGTGACACTAACAATAAGCAAGGATGATTGGTGGTATGTTGCCAACTTTAAGTGGCTATTATTATTATGAATGACATTAATATTGTTTAAATTCTAAAGGTATTTGGTTGTCTAAATTTTATTTTGAAGCTTTTAGCCTTTTGCTCATATGAAAAATTCCTAACTCCGCCACTAGTTCTCACTTTATCTAGAACAATTTAAACTGAACATCATTATCTCTTGCTCAAACTTAATTTGTATATGCTAGGTTATTCCACAAATTATTGTCGGAATTTAAGGGGGTTTATGTTCTATCAATGCATGACCTCAAAACTTGCGGGTACATTATAAGGACGTGATCGATTACCAAACATATATGTCCTTGTAACTTAAGACATCAGTCAGGTCCGTAATTGAAGGAAGATATATAATTTAGGTTTTAGAGTTGCCTACTTGTAAAGACAAAATCATCCGTTGAATGAGAAATAGGTATGTAGATATATATTCCAACCATCAAGATTGACTAGCTAGCTAGCTAGAGGATCAGATAAGCAAAATATCAGAGTCCACCTCTTTCTTATTTTCTCCCATAATAACTTTCAAACTCATGGCATCATAAATTCTAAGATCAAAGGTAGGTCGCTTCTCAAGTCCTTTCCGCCTTTCTTGGAAAATGACCAAAAAAGAAAAGGAATATTGACAAGTCAAAATCCAACTTTAGCAGACTCATTCTGGTCATGTTGTGTGAAGTCTACTTCACTTGTAAATGGAAAACAAGAAAAATCTGTTAACTTTCAATTTCACTTTGATTAGACTAAGGCACTAAGATCTCTGTCATATATATATATATACTCGAGGAGTAAATTGATGAAATTAAAATTCGAGAATTCATATTGAGAATGACTTCAAATCTTTAAAGGATCTTTTGGTGTTAGTCCATATACGTACTTGGAACACTGACACCAAATTACTTGATTGACCGGGGCAAGTTAGTGCATTTGGACCATCCTCTTAGCCCTCTGTGTGAAAATGCCGACTTGGTTTAAGAGATTAATGGCATATGCTAATTGTGCTTAGCAAAAATTTAACCCCCAAACTTTTCTTGGCCATGACCAAATCTTGTGTCAAAGTCGACTCTCAAGGGCTCCACAAACCGCCCAGTCGTTTATTTAAAACTCACAGGACTCTGTTTGTGGTTTTGGGCTTACAGATTAATTATGTTTCCAATTCCAATTAAATAATTAAAATATATAATAAGAAGAGAAAAAAAAACCAAAAGAAAAATGTGGGTGCAAGGAATATGGTTCCAAATATTTGTCAAACTCACCCGCTGCTTATGCCCTTTGACTGGTTACTTAGCGACCTGCGTTAGGCAGCGCCACCTCAAGATATTTTGACGGTTTGACTTTTAAATCAGGAGTTGGACCTCACGTGTCGGTGTGGTCGTAATTATACAGTAAGTACAATCGAACTGCCACGTTGTATAATTTGAATATATGTTATAATATAAGTTGATCCTTGTTGAAAAACTCTTCCTTAAATTGGGGAAATATCAATCATGTCGTCCACTCATGTTATAGTAAATGTATAAGCTATATCATGTGACCATATAATGTGAAATTGTGCAAGAATTCTAATTTAAAACTTGCTGACAAGAGGTCTTAAGTTCGAATCTCCATTGCATCTTATTAAGTTTTGTGTGTGTGAGAAATCTCATTCATTTTTAGTTTAGACTATCGCTTATACTCACTGACAGACCTATTAAAGCGCAAAAGGTGCAGGTGTTGCACCTCCCCTCGCCGAAATAGCCTCTGTAGACCCTGCATCTTGCCCCTCTAGTGAGGTTGGGTGGTGCACTCAACCTGTTCGATGAATTGCCTCAACCAAAACCAAGGCTTGTTGTGCTGCGCACAGTGATAGATCCATTTAAGGGCGAGTGTAGGTTATTGAAGAGAGATGGAAGGAGATGGAAGGAGAGAGAGCAAGGAAGAGAAAGAGAGATGGAGGGAGAGAGCAATGGAGGCCCTGAAATTGGGTCTGAAGTGATGTAAAGAAGAAAGGAATGCGAAAGAAATGAAATCAACTCTCCCTTAATCAAAGTTCTTTTTTATAATTTTTGTTTTTTTTTTTTTTTTTTTTTTTTTTTTTTTTTTTTTTTGATTTGACATAGTTAACCTGCCATACATATGTTTCCGCCACTAGTTGTTGGCTTTTACCATTGAAACATTAATTTAGTCCGTTGAGCTTCTAAACTCTTTAGTCATCCTGGCCAAAATTGCACATCCGTGAAAAAAATTATGAGTCCATCAGTGCTTATACTATTAAAAAAAAAGGTTCTTTGTCACGTGGCAACTTCAATTGAATTTACTTTTTCATATGAAATTTCCTTTTGTTACAAGTAAAAATGAAAGAGGCGAAGAATTGAACAAAATCTAGATATAAGTTCCTAATTAAACTCTCAAATTGTTCAAAATCTAGATTATAAATAAAAAATTTATAAAAGGATTGAACAAAATGGGCCTTTCTTAGACACCATGTTGGGCCTCGGGAACATGGGTATGTTCGTCTTTGGTAAATGGGGCCACAGGCCCAAAACAAAACTGTAACTAATTACAATCATTCATGGCCTTAACAAATCCCCTTAGGAATTAGGTGCCTTGTTGCTCTTATGGCTTGGACCAGAAGGTGGGATAGGGCGCTTATTAAGAACAACATTATGAGAATTAGCCACTGTCACCTGATGCAAATCTGACAGAACCACCCTATGCACAGCTTCAGGCGTCTCGGAAGCGCCTTTGCCTTTAGAATCTGGTATATTTGGCCCCGGGTAGGTTCGAGATGCAGATGCTATACCTGCCAAAATTGTGAGAGATATTGTGATGGTCATGAACAAGAAAGATGGTTTCTGACTTAAGGAGAACATGATAGCTAGCAGGCATTAATTAAGATTTGAAGGGCTTTGGGTAGTGAGGACATGAGGGCATGGTTTGGTGGCTTTTATATGCATGGAGCCAGCCAAATAGAAAACTTTACGTGACTTGACCTAAAACTTTTTGGATATATGTTAACGTGGAATATAAATGATGACACTTTTGAAAAAAAATTTGTGTTATGAGATATCTAATTTCGTCGGCGAGCTTATGTTTTTTTGTTTTTCCTCCATGAATTTCATGCTCTTGTTGCAATCCTAGCAATAGGCATTGAATTTAGCCGGAATTATAGCTCATCTTTCACAATCACAAGAATCTAACCCAATGTGCATTTCTTTGTCATTTGTCAATGATAAGATTTCATAGCACTTTGCCTACTCAAAGAATCCTACTAACCATAATTTCGACATTGAAATTAAGCTCCCACTATTTTCACACAAAAAAGTGCTCATGAAAAGGGATTTCTTGATATATATAAGCCTCAACTTTTGGTAAAAGCCAACTCATAGAAGATCAGCTTTTGGGAAAAGTTATAAAGTGTGGCTATCCCTCTAATTACATGCTTTTTGGCTACCAACTTCTTGTATCCAAGGTAGGGACAGATTGCCAAAGTGATTTGGTTCATACATTAATTGAACTTTCAAGATTGATGCGCTTTTGGTTTTGGTATGAGTTGATTGAAGGCTTTTTTGAAACCAAATTCAAGAACGAGGGCTAATTCAAATGCTTTTTTGGGATGAGTTGATGATATCACATGCTTTTGGGGAGTATGCAACCGATGCACTACTAGCAGCAGTAAACCCTACCTAGCAAGAGCATCTTCTCCAGTGGGCCAGCTTCAGGAGAATTTCTAGTAAAAAGGATTTTAATGGTATGATTTGATTATGTGACAAAATTTTTATTGTTATTTCCTAATTATATTTCATGTACCAATGGCCTTCTACTCTCGTAAATGGAGCGTATAAATAGTAAAACAACAACGGATATATCAACAGGCCTATTAGCTCAGCTGGTTAGAGCGTCGTGCTAATAACGCGAAGGTCGCAGGTTCGAGACCTGCATGGGCCATTACTTTTTCTCAATTTTCAAGAAAGTTTGTTTTCTTTTTTCGCTCATCCACTGGCAGTCTCAAATCAAACACCTTAGCGAACTGGGTTTTCCTTTTTCTTGGGTACTTCAAGATTTTGTGATTAACACATGCACTTTGGTTTGTGATTCAAAGTTCAGTTATTTTGTTGGTTTGTCCTATTTTCTGTGCATCAATGCTATTTTGTGATTAATACATGCCAAGTCCTAATTCTCCTTCTGACAGCTTCAAGGGATAGTTGAGAAGAATGATTAAATCCATGTTATCTTTGGCTAGATAACAACGTGTCGATCCTTCATTTGATATATCTACTTGTTCAACTGATACAACATAAAGCTGAGATTACCCAAGTCTTAAACACTGATACAACATGAAGCTGATAACCTAAAGTCTTTAAACACTAATACACTCATTTCTTAATTTTAACCTGCATGGTTGCATGAGCACCATACTCCTACATCCTTCCCGGAGTACAACAAAATTCTTGTTAGTAGGGTCATCTATCAAAGGTTTATCGATGACCTCCGAAAGAAGACGGTGGATTCCTCCTCATCACATAAAAAGGAAAAGAAAAATACAGAGATTTGAACTTCCATGCATGTCGGTTCATTCTCCCTGAGACCTAACACAAACGATGGGAAGCCAAACTTGATTTTTGTTCCTCTTTCTAGATGGACAAGTCAACAGGCAAAAAGTGAGGAATTATACTGGAAGGGGGTATCCACGAAGATAAGTGGAATCCACACCAGACTCCCGCTCCAACGCCACCCTCCCAGTTCGTGCAACCTTCAAGGAGGAAGAAAGATATTAAGATATGAGAAGTAAGAATCAGCCAAGAAAAAATGCGATCTAACTTTTTAGACTAGTATACATAATCGTGCTGAACAATAAAATATGAATGCCCACTTGAATTGAAACTTATTGGTGTCTATAATTGCAAATTTCACCATCCGACATTCGGCTACCCTGCTTATTGATTACTTTATGCAATGCAATCAACTGACAGTCTGATTAAGGAGGTAAGAAAGGACAGCATTTCGTCCAATTATTGAGAATTTAGTTTAAACTAATATTGAACTACCTCAAACACCTCTTTTCAAAAAACAAAAGGAAATTCATAGGCAAATCAATTGTTGGGAACAAGATCAAAGAATGAGAAGACAGACCTCACAAATCCCATAGGGCTCAAGTAACTTCTGCAGTGCAACCATCTTATTTATATCACCAGTAAGCTGAAAAACAAATTGAGTAGAGAGTATTAGCGAGACATTATGAAACAAAAGCAATAGCAGAAGCCAAATCCCTAGTATTGGGTAGTTGGGTAAGATTAAAGATAAAGCTCAGGTATAGTTTGACTTCAGTGGACTGATGAGTACAACTAAATACAAAATCATGCTCTCATTGATCCCGTTTGAAGGTGGCACTTCTCAACAGATTCCATTACACTAACCAAAAACCAGGTAAATTCAAAATATTATTTATGTCAAAGATGCAATCCCGAATGTGGTGTAATGAAACAGTTCAGTAAGCCAAAATTTATTTTAAAGTTCACAACTCATCTATTGTCACCACTATTGTTACTAGTCTTACTCGGGTAGACGAGTTATGGTCCACATTCCAATGACCAACAGAGGGAAAGAACTTTCTATCCTACTTGTAGAATTTTCAGGTATAAGACACAATCACAAATATAGTTGACAGGAATGCAGGAAAAGGCTTCAACCTCAAGGGTAATTGTATGATCAGATACATCAACGGCTTTAGCACGGAAAATGCTGGCAATATCAAGAACATCCCTCCTAGCAGTAGTGTTCACAGCAATCTTTATCAACATCAACTCTCGCTCTGCGAATGGTAAGTGTGTAATATCCCGAACCTGCAGAAACAACCAGCTTTATATCATCCATCAAGGCATGAACAAATCTTATTTTGTGAATAACCTTGGAAAAAATTCATCATCTCTAAATTGAACTCATTACACGTAAATATTGAATTGGGGAAGGATCATATTATTAATAGAGAGGAGCAGATTTTGATTGAAATAGGGAGAGGAAAATAAAAAATATCCTGGTTTATAGACCTACTATATATTTAGGCATCAACCCCAACCTAGCACATTGACCTGACGGCCACCAAAACAATGGCATTTAATTTGCATGTTTGAAGATTGTCAACTCCATAACTACAAACAAACTTTGCAAATATATATAGCCACCTTGTAACAATTTTCCTTTTTCTTTTTTTCTTTCAGAGATTAGTCGATCATCACCCAAAACAGATATTGCATATTCTCAAAAAACTTGTCAATGTGCAACCCTCACCTCGTGAAGATCTATTAACTTGTGAAGTTGCTGGACCAACTTGGTAATTGAATCGTCAGTACCGGGAACGACAGTTGTAATGCGAGAAAGCCCTTCCTTTTCAGCAGGCCCCACAGCTAGGCTCTAGAAGTATGAAGTGAAAGCCAATAATCACGTGAGCAAAGGCCAAGGAAAACCAAATATAAAAAGATGAGCGCAAATCACCAGCAACAAACCTGAATGTTATAACCTCTTCGAGATATGACTCCTGTAACTATGTTTAGAACTCCAGGGCAGTCATTCACAATCATAGACAAAGTGTGTGATTGAACCCCACTTGGCTGAAATATTAAATTGCATGGCACAAAGGCTAAGTCAAAATGGCACTGATTTGTAGAGACACCAAACATGAATTAAAAATTAAAAATCTACTTCCTAGGTAGATACATCAATCTGTGCACCTTGTACATCGCGTACAAGGCAATTTTTGGACTAAAAGTGAAATACAACTTGAAGCATTTTAGGATTGTAAACTTACATCTTCATCATAGAGAACACCCCAATGAGCATCAAGAACTTTATTCAAACGAAAGTCATCATAGGGCTCCACAGGATAAACATCACCCTTCAATAATAAAATGACATTCACTTATGTTCAGTCCGAAATGACCAAGACAATAGTAAAAGTTGTGCAATGTACATAAGACTGAAAAGGGAGATTTCTCAAGCCAATTTTCTTTAGATCAGCACATACATGTTATCATCATAAATGCCAACAGTTATCAGAGAACAGCATCCCTTCTTGTGCAACAAATAAAGAACTAAATGTTATCGGGATGTATAAGTCATATCATTTATTTGATTTATTTACATGTGAATGAGGCACACACTATAGGAGAATCCCTTTTGGCCCTATAAAATGTTTCCATCTAAACAAGAAAAAGATAATTATCCATGCAGGGGGAGAAATTAACAGCTTATAAAATCTCCTCAATAGAACAAACATACATACCCTTGAGGCAGTACTGGCATCACCATTGAGTGAATGGTTTGCTTTCACCGCAAGATCATCAATAGCCATTGACTTTTCAAGATCTGGATAAGAAGCTGCAGAGAATCTCCAAAAAGGAGCTGTCTCACCCATCTTTTCTCGTCTCAAAGCAATCTGTTGGTAAAGTCAAATTGAAACCTCAATTAGATGACACTTACCACCCTAAGTTGATTGCATCATTGAAAATTGAAAAGAAGCACATGTACGTAGCTTCCTGATTGGGAATACTATTTCATTTTATTGATAGTGAGCATCCTGGCAGTTCAAGTTATTTGGCCATTCATAAACCATTTACTAACTGCATATCATACACATATGAATTGACAAATTTTAAATATGATTTCATTTCGTATTGGGATCCTACGGGCATTATCACTTTTTGTAGTTCTATGGTCTAATGAATCAAATTTGATTTCTAGTTTCAACCTATCAAATTATGCAGCCTTTTGCATGCGCTGTTTTAGAGGGTGCACCCATTAACACATACATAAATGTACATCTTTGTATATGCATAAACATTGGAATGCAAATATACAACTTGCCTTTCCAGTTCTTGCAAGTTCTTTGATACCAAATTTGCTTAAGTTTCTTTGAACAGCAACCACCTTCCCAGGGTCTCCAGTAACCTGAGACATCCACATGGAGTGAACTAAGTTTATAAGCATAGACGGAATTGGAACCAGTAAGACTATAAGAGGCCACAGAGGCAAGTGAAAGATTGCATACACTAAACAGAGTATATTAGCTAGAACAATTTTTAAAATTTCCAAGACCTGCAAATGTAGGCTGAGTGAACAAAACTACTAAAAGATATCAAATGCTCATGAAGTAGGGTTAACTCACAACAAAAATAAAATTCATGATTTCACCAATTTAACTAATCTAATATGTGCTGATAAAATGCGTGAAATAACCAATCTAGTATGTGTTGTAATGTAATTGTATCATAACATAAACAAAAGACTTGGCACTGCTGGATGTAATGGAACAAGTTTTTTCTTGTCTCCTTTTTAATTGTAAAAGGATTCTAATATTCTCACGTCCACTCAGCTGGTCGGGGAGGAAGTGGACAAACATGTTGAAAGTCCAAAAAAGAAGAAAAAAAAAACTGTATATAACGCTGAATGATGTGGACTTTATACTTCCATCGGGATAGAAACATTTGTATCTTGCTTTTTTCAGAGAAAATAAGAAAACAGATAAAAATAATAATTTCATTATACAACCACCAACAAGAACTAGTAATTTTCTGGTAATATCGCATACTGCAATGATCTTTTTGCCACATAAATCAGAGCTGTAAGTTTTTGTGTGCCTAGGCACCTAAGATATATACTGGGATGGGTAGGTGTTAGAGCCTATATGTCCTAAAATGATCACATTAAATCTGAGAGTCACAGCCATAGGAAATGAAACTGCAACACAACTATAAGAGTAAAAAAATATCTGACAAAATTCACCTCAATTGTCAGTGAATGTTCAGAGATATCGACAATTTTTGCTCTGAAGATGTCCACTAACCACATGATCTGGAAAATTAGAGCAGACAAACAAGATCAAGTAAAAGGATGTACTAAAACAATAAAAGAGCATCTTAAACAGTGCTCATAACTGTCAAACTAGAAAATAACTCCGTTTTATCCCCAGAATTATCACCTACAACAAATACAAAGTAACCTCTGGTGAATGCCTGCAATACACCACCAATACGTAGCACAATGACAGCCTAGTATAAATGCAATTGGGCCAAAAAATCAGATATATATATACACACAATCGAAATCAAGCCAGGTTATTAACATATCATCATGTTCTGTGGGAAAAAAAAAACGCATTTTGGCATTTCATATAGATAGAGTACACAATCATTTGGAAAGCACATATCACTGACAATTAATCTTGGGGGTGATCATTTACTCATACACGCCTGAAAAATAGAAATCTTGTAGATAAACTAAAACAAAAATCAAAAGAGAAGAAAATTTGTATTGGAGAATGAAGTAGTGAGGCAAAGTTTCTTGGAAGGAATCGTGCTTAATTATCCATAGGCTGATGCATAAACAGTATCAAAAGGAACAGTTTATTCAAGCATTGGTTGGATTTAATTTAAATGTTTACCTCTGCGAGGGTACTTGGATCTGCATTCAGTTTGATAAGCATCAATTCACGTTCTACATGTTCCTCCTTTGATATGTCTTCAACCTGACAGAGTAGAACTATAAGCGAAGATAATGCAGAAGCAATCATGCACCTGTTTTTTTAAATTTACATTGGGGACAAGGAATAGGGAGCAGATGTGAGGGATCACAATTCCTGGAATCAATTATATGAAGATAATCTTATTGGAAATTTGTAAATCATCATTCTATTCGTCCTCTTGAAAAAGGAGACTTATTAGAGTTAATAAAGAACCCAGATAAACTGTACACAAAATTCTATTTGCCCTCGTGTAAAAATTTTCTCTTTCATGGTCGGTCAGAAGAGGCAGCTCGCCCTAGTCTGATGGACTCTAGTAGTACGTCGAAGAACATAACCATATGATAATACCCTACAGCACTTGGATGCAAATATGTACTGAACTAACTCTTACTGGAAGGATAATTGACGAGTAGAATCAATTCCTTGGGATCTGTCTGAATTACATTTATCATGTCAAAACATCCAGTACATCTTTCATGGTACACAGGAGAAGAAATAAAAATGAATCGTTATGTTATCTATAATACAAGCACAAAAAAAAAATTATATGTTGAATCTCTTTCAATTTATTCCAAACATCAGCATCAAATTTATATATGTTACCAAATATCATTTTGAAACAACACCCAACAGCCAGAAGGTTTTGTACAAAATACTAAAGTAATGCCGTTCTGTAAGGAATATTTTTAGAAATAAATAAGTTTGAATCATAACCTTTATCACATTCACCAACTTGTTGAGCTGTTCAACAACCTGCCGCAAAACCTTTTCAGTTCCAGACACAACTATGGTAAAGAGAGCCTTGTCCTTGTTCAAACCAACGGCAAGGGACTCAATATTGTAACCCCTCCTGGCGAAAACCCCTGCTATTCGGTTTATTATTCCACTCTCATCCCCAACAAACACTGAAATTGTATGGCGTTTCACCCTGAAATGATTATAGAATCAAAATTGATAATTTGAATACATTGGAAAGTGAAATAAGGTTTTCTCAGTAGCCTTTTGAGAATTAAAATTTCTGGTTCATTTATGACAAAAAAGCAATAGACTTCCAAATGCAGGCACGACCTGGCATGCAGAATCAGCAAGAGGGGAAGCTGGTTCCCTGCCCAATCGACAGATTAAAATACCAAGGGGAAAAGGCAAGATCAGGCCAACAGAATTAATCCCCTCCCCAACCCCTTCTTCAGGCTGTTTAATGCAATTTGGCATATAGCCAAAGCTTAGACGGACTACTTCATGTTTATAAGCATAGCCTTATTTCCATCTCTACGCATTACAGAAGCTTAGAAAGGAAAAATAAACAGAAAGAAAATAATCGTTTCTGTCATTCTCATTTCTCATGACACAACCATTCCTGTACTTACTTTTTCTAACCTCGTCATAACAGTAGAACTCCCAAATCAGTTATTCACTCCCTTGGTGCATTCTTTTAACTAAAGTTCAAAATTGAACAGTACGCATAAAATTGGTTCCGGTCTCCATCAAAGTCGCCTCACCACAGCTTAAAAAATCAGGTTGGAACAATTAAATTATAGCCAATTACCAACTGGAAAAATGCAATATTTTTCATTAGATATTGAGCTCAACACCCCTCAACTTCAAGACCAAAAATAAACTAATTTCAACCAAAAATTGCACCAAATGTACCAAAAGAAATGCTTCATTACATACAAAGCAAGCACAAAAAGAAATGGAAAAGTAAAACAGAGAGAAAACAAACTCACGAATGGTACTTACTTAGAGCGAATCAATGAAGGCACAGGATCAGTGACAGAAACTGCATTGTCAGTGCTAGCAGAGACCACCCACTCCTTGAGGTGGAAAGTCTTCCATTTGAGTGGTTTCTGGTGGCCAAAATCAAAGCTTTTCAGAAACCCATGTCTGATATCCACTCTGAGACTTGGTTTCTGGGTCATCAGTGGAGTTGAGCATGGTGATGACACGGCGGCCGCCATTGTTGGATTTAGAGAGAAAGCAGCCGACAGTGTGTTATATTGAGAGAAAGACCTTAAAAATCACATTCATGCATAGCCATTTGTCACTAGTAGCACGTGGTGTTTTGAGTCTTGATGAACGGTGATAGTGATACGATGGCTTTTCGCCACACAAAGCTCACCTGGGACCCAACCCCAAAACGACTTGTTCACCGCCTCTCTTTACACTTCCAATTGAACCCAAAAAGAAAAAACCTAATTTGTGAAAACAAAACCTACACTTCTTTCTCTGCCCAAAAAAAAAACCTACACTTCTTTCTTTTTCTGGTCAAACAAAACCTACACTTCAATTGGCAATAAAACCTACACTATTTTCTAGCAAAAAGAAGTTATGTCATCCCATATTACTTACACAAAATTTTCATTATTGTACATAAATTGAAAGTGAATGTCAAAACAAAATGATTATTAAAAATGCATGTAGGAATTAATAATAATACAAGATAAAAATTTATATAATAAAAAAATAGATGAATCATAATTTATTGATACTATTCTCTAAAAGGGAGAAAAATAAATTTTGTCATCCACTCATATTATAATACGTGTACAAGATGTACCATATGACCATACTACCGTAGTATTCTATAATTTCTCCTATATAAGGAACAAATATGGTATATACATAGGAATAAAACGGCGATTTATTGATACAGCAATTACAAAAACACAACAAAAAAAATCATGAATCAGAGTGAGATAGATTCAGGGCACCACATAGGCTGGGGAGTGAATAGACACTGTGAAGAGGGCATAAGCAACCCCAGAACAAAACACTATGGTAAGCGCCCACCCGCATATGAACTTGAACAGGAGCTTCCAGTTTACATTCTGCCAAAAAAAAACCTAAGTTCAAGAAGTTTTGGTTGAAACGAGTAACTAATATAAGCACAATTATAGGATAGATAGTAAAAAACAGAGGAGAAATCTCACTCTAGGGTCATCTGCAATCCCAACTCCTACTAATGATCCAACAAAAGCATGAACACTTGAAACAGGAAGATTAATCTTATGGACCAAAATCATTGTTGCCACTGTGGACAATTGTGCTGCTAAGCCTCTTGAGTTACTTATATATGTCAGCTTCCCACCTAGACACTGAGTCAGCCTCCTCCCACAGACTAAGAAACCAATTGCAGCACCAAACCCACCAATTGCCCTAAACCACCACCAAGTCACATGGATTGGTTCCTACAAACAAACAAGCATATCTCTTGAATTTTGATTGGTCAAGATGATAAGTTATATAAAATATGATAGCAGTTAAGATAAGGCAACTTTCAACTCACCACATCTTCCCCATTTCCAGAATATTTTTCTCTGTGTCGAAAAATATCAAGTATAGCTCCATATGGACTTACAATGGCAGATACTTCATTAGCAGATTGAATGACTCTGCAGGCACAAATGTGTTAATATAGGTCACTCATGTAGTGTACTTAAGTTTGTGAGTAGGCATATATTTGCATGCATTTTGTGAACTTACGCAAAGATACATGAAGCTATAAGCTGTGGGGAACTGAAGAAGCCTTCCATATCATCATATTTTTCAGCTAAATCGTGGCGGACAAGGGTCTGTCTGTCGTATTCGATTGCCTATTCATTACATAAGCATAGCACAATATAAGATAATGTTATTTTGCCGGACTTATAATGCTGATAGATGCTTATTTTTTCAAACAAATAGTTTTGTTATGCTTATGTTCGGATTCCAGGTATAAGAAGTGCAGGACTCACAGGAGAGAAAACTGATTTTGATGAACTTTTTATGAACCGGAAGGCATTTTCGACAGGTGTTGCTTTGTCAATCTTCTGAAAGTGCCTTGTTTGATCCAGGTTTGGTGAAGATTGAAGCAACTGTTTGAATGAAGTAGATTTCTCTGTATTAGACTGATCTTCAGAAATTGAATGATCATGAGCAGGCACAGGCTTAGGTTCTTGTATTGAGTCCGGTGAAGCCCAGCTCTTTTCGTCCTCCTCTTCGTACACAGTATCAAGGACTCTCATCTGCATGAAGTCTTTTAAGGCTTCTTCAAACTGTGCTTCATCATCTGAAGATTTTGTATTGCATGCTTGATCTTGACTTTCTATGCATTTTTTCTCTATGGATTGAGACATGTTTCTCTTCATGGTCTTGTACTTTCTGGCCGCATTTAATTTTTTCATGGCCAAAGGAACCACCACAACCTATTACAAAGAGATTCGAATTGAGATTGAACATATGAACAAATCATGGAGGGAAAAGGAAGGTATAAACAAATCTGTTGTAATAAATGTTACCGAAGATAATAGCGCTCCAGTCATGGTGGCAGCTGCAACTGCAACAATAGTAACCCAACTATTAACAGCGGTTTTATATGGTATGACCTGCAATATGGAAAACAATGAAGAAGGAATAATTGATGCAAACAATGGCCTTGTAAAACATGTTGCTGCTTCTTTTCTACCATACGTACATTGTCGTACAAGATTAGATAAAAGAATCTATAATTTTAAACCAATTATAAGAAAGTAACCTGAAACATGAGAAAGAGGCAAAGCAGTCCAGCAGATATTCCATAGACAATTGGAAGAAAAACAAGAATCCTTTTTTCGGTATTTTCACCGCGAAGTAGAGAAGCCTTCATGACAGTAAAAAGGAAGAATGCACATACGCAGGCAATGAATGGCGCAACAGTCCATTCAACAAATATCCAAACAAGTCCTCCACCATTGAAATTGTGATTTTCATTCTGCATTTCACCATCACTTGAGAATAAGGAAATGAAATAATTATGGAGGACAAGTCAAACATAAACATTTGACATCAAAGAGTTACAAGTTTCCGAAACCAAGATAACACAAATTCGATGATATTTTTACCAAGAATAAATCATACCATTTACATTTTTCAACCTCTTAAATTTTTAGTGTGCAACATCTTAAACAGCCAATTGAATTTATACCTCCTTACCTTATTCCAGAGGGGCATGTAGCTAAAACCTTCAGTAACAAGTATAGTTCCCAAAAGAGCACCTTGCATTGATTGTTGAGCTGAGACTGGCAGCTGCATATTTGTAGCCAGAGCAAGCCAAATTGCTGCCCAAAATCACAGGCTTATAAATGTCACGAAACAAACTTATGCCCACATTTGTCTTTTATAAGTAAAAACAAGAAATCATATCTAAGCATGAGAAGAAAGATCAGTTGAATCTTCGCAGCCACTAGAAAATTCAATATGAAGCTAATTAACAACATTCTCTTTTGGTCTGACAATTAACCAAGTCTTGTAGTACCTGCCGTGACGAGAACAACTACCATGCTCCACATCAAGAAACTTTCACTTGGCTGATTTTCCTTGAGAAACTGGGAAAATAGACAACTCTATCAGCTAATTATAACTAACTGTTTTATGGTGCTTTTGGAGGTAAAGGAATTGAATTTAGGCACCACAAGTGTTTTATACATACATCAGAAAACAAATCATTGACAGTGTTGCTGGAATTCGCAAAGGCTGCCCCAGGAACATAGATTGCACAAGCCAATGCAAATGCCTTTAAAAGTGTCAAAGCCCTTGATCCAACAGGTGTTGAGAACTGAAAAATATCAAACAAACAACATTTTTCAGATGCCATAAATTGGGAAATATCAAATTTCTTATTTCATATTCACAATGTATTTGCTTGTGATCGATTTGTTCAAGTTGTGTGCATAAAAATGTGACTATTGAAATGAAACTCCTTCTCTTCCCATCATCTAAGTTTTGTTTACAAAGCCACTAACCGGAGCTGGAAGATTGTTGGCACCAGTTACAAAAGCCATTGCAATTGCAGCAACAGCTCCAAATATTGGTATCCATCTATAGGTCTCCTTCCAATTCCCCAGAACTTTGCTGGCTAAATAAATCGGAACTTGGTCATTCTTTGATGACATTTCTGTTTTTGTTTATCCCAGTTTCGATCGATTCGTAGGATATATGCCAAGAAGGAGGGTGATACCTGATACCATATAGATTAATGATTATCGTTATTGGCATTGGTTTTATCTCCCAACTGCATAGGTTGTGCTGTTTTTTCTTATGTTCTGTACTCTGTAGTATCTTCTTGTTTTAGTGGTTCTTTGACATTGACTTGTGTGTTGTTTTACTTGTCATTCATTGGGAGAGGGCTCAGACACTGCTTTCTTTCTTTATTTTTTGCTCGAGTATGGATGTGATGCAACATATTTGCAATATGTCCAACTTGAGGACGGCCAATAAGAGGAGAAATTCTTAAGTCTGCTGGGTGAACCACATCACCTTCGGCACCCCTCACAAGCACTCACAAGGACCCTTGCATTTGGGTCACACAACAACCCCACGTTGATTCTGACCCAAATACAAGGAGGCTCGGTATATATGATGGGTGTCGGACTGGTGACACAGTCCACCTGCAACACCCAAGAATTTCTCCTATGAACAATTATGAGCATCCACTGTTGATAAATGATAAGATTCATAGTTTTAGGCCAGCAGCATCTTTGACACTTTCATTTTGGCTATCTGCAGGACTTTATTCTGTCAAGTGGGCTGAACTTTGAATAAAAGGCGTATATATGTCTTAAAGCATCTCCAACCGATGTGTCAAAAGTGCCACATAGACATTTAACGGCTATAAATAACATCTCACATCACTCCAACCGATGTGTCAAAACTGATGTGGAATGAAGGCTGGAGGTTGAGATGTTATTTTTGACATCCCAAAAGTAAGATGTCAAATGAATATTTTATTATTTTTAAAGATAGTTGGTTGTTACTTTCATTAATTATTTTCCTTTTTATATTTTTTATCTTCTTTATCTTAAATGATTTGACTGTTACAATAATTATTTATTTGACATATCGGGTGGAGTGTAAAACTATGTAAATGTCAAATTACCACATCAGCCATCAAATTTAAATTTGATGTTTGGTATTTGACATCTACCTTGGAGATGCTCTTAGGCTCCGTTTGGTTCACGGAACGAATTTGAGGGGAAATTATTTCTCATGTTATGTCCCAAGGAATGGGAAATGGAAAATTCCTTTCCCACACTTGTTAATGTTGGGAAAATAATCAAGAGATATTACTTTATTTCATTTCTCATGTTTGTTTTGAGTATGAATAAAAAACAAAGTTTGTATAAATTTTCAATTATACCCATAATAAATCAAATTTAAAAAAATGCATTTAATGATATATTGTAATTCTAAATTCTTGATGGGGACAAAATAATCATGAAAAATGTTTATTTAATATTGGCTCATTTTCCAAAACTTTCCCATGATGACTTTATTTTCCCCCCTACTTTTCCATACGCCTGACAACGATTTCTCATGCCTGAATTTACCAAACATAGAAAAGCAATTGATTTCCTATTCTCAAGTCTCATTTCCCATGAACCAAACATGCTTATTATTTTTAGGAGATGCATTTGGTCATTTGGTTTTTTCATAATATTTCTTGACGCAATTAACTTCTCAAGTCAATCTATATTAGAATAGGACTCTTCGATTCCATTGGGGAGACCAAAGCCTTTGAAAGTATCACAACAAAGAACTATTAATAAAGAGTTGATCAGATGAGGTGCACTTTACCAAAAGAATATTCGGTGGAATAAATCTCACTCGCAACATGAATTTCTGAGTGCAATACACATCATAATGTTACACACTATTTTGTCAATGTCACGTCTCAATCTTGAAAAATATATAATTTCTCGAGTTGTGCTATGACTCACGTCACGTCTCGCAAAATACGAAATTTTCCCGAATCATAACATGACAAAATGGTATCGAAGCCAAAAAATAATAATGTACATGAAATTGTTCTCAAAGCCTGCCCTCACCCTCACCTTCCATGCTGAACTTAAAAATTAGGTAAAAGAAAGGGAAGCTAGTCAAATGTATGGTCTTAGTCTTCCCACATACACATTTTTTATAAGCCGGTAACGCAACCCTAAATAAAATGCCCCTCATTCCTTGGTTCGATCGCATAAACCAAATCCAGCAGGGACGAAAGCGACATTGCATCCTTTTAGCCCCAACCATGGAAAATATACGTGGACTTAAATAACCCCCCACCGAAGACCACCAACCCAACAACAACGAATTGTATTTAAATTGCAATTTTGCCCACAAAGTCCAAAGCCAAAACCCACGTGCCTGCCCAGGCCCCACTGTTTCGGTGACGTCATTGCTGAATCATCACCTTTCTTTCTTTGTTGCCTTATCCGTATTTTTTTTCTCGTATTTATATGGCGCCCATGTGGCAAATTGTGTTAAAGGCAAAGCTTGCACTTTGCCGCCCCACACCGTTCACCGATGTTACTCCAAAGGCTAGAGGGTGAGGGACTTTGCTCTTCATTCTATCCACCATTTTGATCATGCTACATGCCGCCAACTACTTGTTTCACAATATATAGCTCCTACAAGAACCACATTTTCTTCCATGCCTGCACCCTAGGTTTAGGGGGTAGCAACAAATTCAACTCTTAAACCGAAATATTCATTTAAATAACTAGGTTTTACGATCCGAGAATCAAATAACGTGACCAAAATTTTGTGTATCTCATTTTTATTTTCATAGGATATGGAGAAAATGCACATGAACAATCGACCAACTAATTGCTAGTCTCTTGTGATCAATTCCAAAGTTCCAATCCATTATCCATATATTAAAAAAAAGCCAAAAAAAAAAAAGTTAGAAATACTTGTGATCGTGGAAAGCAGACTAATAACACAGAAAATTTAAATGAGTGGCTAAAAACGTGCCGAAAAATTCCTTGTCGGTACGTGTCATCAAAGCTATGAGGAAGTTGTAGATATTTAAGCGGGCCGTGAAAACACCAGATAATTTTCATGAGTCATCGAGTGGGTATATATCCGGCGACGTGTAGGGCCCAGGGGTGGGCTTCGAACGTACATAGGTCGACGTGGCCCCACAAATTTTCCACACGGTGTATGGGATGCCAACGCAGTGATGGATTTTGACACGTCATCAAATGCCTTCGCACGCGGGAGTAAGAGGCGCGTGAGGCGAAGTTTGAACAATGAGCCAGTTGGCATTACTGGGTAGTCTACTGGCCAACCTTATCTTCTTCTTTATTTTTTGAGTTTTTTATTTCCTAAAATATATAAAAACAATATTTTTATTCATTTTGCTCCTCCGAAAAGAGGGAAGCAAAGCATTGTTATATTGTATGGGCGGAGAGAGAGAGAGAGATTGCAAGTGACTCTTGGGCATTCAGAGAAGACCAAACCAAACCCTAGATTTCTTTTCTGCTGATTTCAGCAATAATTCATTTTTTATTTCGATTTTCAGATCCAATTTGTACCTGGGAAAGATTCAAAATTTGTTCTTTGAAAGCTCTGAAAGGTATCATTTTTTCGTTCTTTTTTGTTGTTTTTATCTTATGAAAATATGATGATCATTGCGTTCAATTCAGGCTCAAGTCTATATCTTTTTTAGGTTATAAATTGGCCATGCGATTTTATGCTGTATTGCAGTTTTTGGTATATGGGAATGATATTAAGTATTGGTCATTTGCAATGTTTGAATCTAGTTTAGGTATTGGAATGAATGCTTTGATGATACGGACCTGCTTAGTTTGCTATAAATTGGTTCTTGGTCTCTGTAACGATGCCTGTTTATTTCATGTTATTACAGATCCTGCTCAATTATAGTCATTCCAAGAGGCAAGGAATCTTGGGTCTGGTTTATATTCTGAGATCTTGTCTAAGAATTTTGAGTGTATTGGGGAAACCCAAATAGAAGTTATTCAAGATGATGTCCAAATCGTATACCAATCTTTTAGATCTAGCTTCTGGAAACTTTCCAATAATGGGTCGGGAAAGAAGGCGACTTCCTCGTGTAATGACCGTTGCAGGAGTTATATCGGAGCTTGATGATGATCAGGCCAATAGCGTGTCTTCGGATGTTCCATCCTCGGTTATGCAGGACCGTATAATTATAGTTGCCAATCAGCTCCCTGTAAAAGCTAAGCGTAGACCTGACAATAAAGGATGGAGTTTTAGTTGGGACGAGGACTCATTGCTATTGCAGTTAAAGGATGGTCTACCCGAAGAGATGGAGGTTTTATATGTAGGTTCTTTGAATGTTGAAGTGGATTCAAATGAGCAAGATGATGTATCACAGCTCCTGTTGGATAGGTTCAAGTGTGTTCCAGCCTTTTTGCCGCATGACATTTTGTCCAAGTTCTATCATGGGTTTTGCAAGCAGCATTTGTGGCCTTTGTTTCATTACATGCTTCCGTTCTCAGCAAATCATGGTGGGCGGTTTGATCGGTCTTTGTGGGAGGCGTATGTGGCTGCAAATAAAATTTTCTCGCAAAGGGTGATCGAGGTAATAAATCCAGAGGATGACTATGTCTGGATTCATGATTACCATTTAATGGTGCTGCCTACCTTCTTGAGGAGGAGGTTCAATAGATTAAGAATGGGTTTTTTTCTTCACAGCCCATTTCCTTCTTCAGAAATATATAGAACTTTACCAGTCAGGGAAGAGATTCTAAAAGCACTTCTAAATTCGGACCTTATTGGTTTCCACACTTTTGATTATGCTCGACATTTCTTGTCTTGTTGTAGTCGGATGTTGGGTTTGGAGTATCAGTCAAAAAGGGGCTATATTGGGTTGGATTATTTTGGAAGGACAGTTGGGATAAAGATCATGCCTGTTGGGATTCACATGGGGCAGATTGAGTCAGTTTTGAGACTTGCAGATAAGGAGTGGAGGGTAGAAGAGCTTAAACAACAGTTTGAAGGAAAGACTGTGCTGCTTGGTGTTGATGATATGGATATCTTTAAAGGTGTCAACTTGAAGCTCTTGGCAATGGAACAGATGCTGAAGCAGCACCCAAAGTGGCAGGGAAGAGCAGTTCTGATACAGATAGCAAATCCTGCTAGGGGAAGAGGGAAAGATCTTGAGGAAACACAGGCTGAAATACAGGCAAGCATCAAAAGAATTAATGAAAAATTTGGTCAGCCTGGTTATGAACCTATTGTATTCATCGATAGACCAGTCTCTCTTAGTGAACGAGTTGCATATTACACCATTGCTGAGTGTGTAGTGGTCACGGCTGTGAGAGATGGGATGAATCTTATTCCATATGAGTACATTGTGTGCAGGCAAGGAAATTCTGTATCAGAATCTAATTCAGAATTCAGTGGACCCAAGAAGAGCATGCTCATAGTATCTGAGTTTATTGGATGTTCCCCTTCACTGAGTGGTGCAATTCGGGTTAACCCATGGAATATTGAATCAACGGCTGAGGCTATGAACGAGGCAATTTCAATGGTTGAACCTGAAAAGCAGTTGCGCCATGAAAAGCATTATAGGTATGTTAGTACACATGATGTGGCATACTGGTCACGAAGCGTTTTCCAAGATATGGAGAGAACATGCAAAGACCATTTCAGAAGACGTTGCTGGGGTATTGGTTTGGGCTTTGGTTTCAGGGTTATAGCACTTGATCCTAACTTCAGAAAGCTGTCTATTGATGCCATTCAGTCTGCTTATTTGAGATCCAAACGTAGGGCTATACTGTTAGATTATGATGGTACTGTGATGCCTCAAACATCTATAAATAAGAGCCCAAGCCAAGAGGTCATCTCTCTCATAAATACACTTTGTGGTGATGTTAAAAACACTGTTTTTGTGGTCAGCGGAAGAGGGAGGGATAGTTTAAGCAAGTGGTTTTCTCCTTGCAAGAAACTTGGAATTGCTGCTGAACATGGTTATTTTGTGAGGTATATCCATTATCTATTTGTCCTTTACGATTATCCTTGCTTTTGTTTGCTCAAGTATGAATTGTGTTTTATTATGTGGTATGCAGACACTCCTTTCTTTTGTTTGCTTAAATATGAAGTTTGTTTTTCAGGTGGTCTGCGGACAAGGATTGGGAAATTTGTGGGCAGAGCAATGATTTTGGATGGATACAGATAGCAGAACCAGTTATGAAACTCTACACCGAAGCCACTGATGGTTCTTCCATTGAAACCAAGGAGAGTGCCTTGGTTTGGCACCATCGAGATGCAGATCCTGGTTTTGGATCCAGCCAGGCTAAAGAGTTGTTGGACCATCTAGAAAGTGTGCTAGCAAATGAACCAGTTGCTGCCAAGAGTGGTCAGTATATCGTAGAAGTAAAGCCACAGGTGAATATCTTAACTCACTTCCCATTTTTAACTCTCTAGGTGAATGCAAATTTTTGTCCACTTGGTGGATACTATTATATACTAGGATCTTCATCATTAGCATTACCTATTTGTATATCGTCACAGTAAAAACTCCAATTCTTGATATACTAAGATGTTCACCATTAGCACTACCTATTCCTAATTCATCACAGAAAAAGCTCCAATTTCGATTCTTTCTTTCTTTTTTGGGGTGAGGGGTGAGGGGTGAGGGGTGGAAGGGTACTTTACCAAATCATAAAATTATTCTTAGGACTCGTAGCTTTGTGCGATTAAGCTACCTTGGCATTTGGCAAGTCTACGGTACAAATATACTCAGTTCAAAAACTCTGAGAATTTGTATGTAATCACTTGCCAATGATGGTATGAAGGTCGGCCGTCTATGAGATAGGAATTCTTGGCCACGCCTTTTTCAATCATAATCAAGTAACTTTGAGGAATTTCAAGACAATAGCATGCCTGTATTTTCTTTTTCTTTTTCTTTTGGCTTTGGTAATGTGGGTTTTGACTACAAATAGCCTCATCAGAAAGATTTTAAAAGGTTAAGTTGTAAGGGTATGGCAATGCTTGACATTAGCTCATGAGAGAAATCTCGTGGAGAAACCATGGTAGTAAGCTTGACTTACAATTTTGCAGACAAATAGTTTGCTTGCTGATGATAAAAGACTACGGAATTCTTGCAAACAAATAGATTTTGTAAAGTGCATATGATGATTGAATCCTACTTTTACTTGTGACTTTTAGGGAGTCAGTAAAGGCGTGGTCGCTGAAAAGATCTTCACGTCAATGCACGAGACTGGAAAGCAGGCTGATTTTGTACTGTGCGTTGGTGACGATAGATCTGATGAGGATATGTTTGAGATTATTGGCAATGCAATGACAAATGGTGTCCTCTCCTCTATTACCAGTGTTTTTGCATGCACTGTTGGACAGAAACCCAGTAAAGCAAAGTACTACTTGGATGACCCTAGTGATGTCATAACAATGCTTGACGCTCTTGCAGAAGCTTCAGACTCTCCGCCCTCCTCAGATGGCGAACCAGCTTCCCCGTGAAATCTTCCTCCATGACTTTGTTAGACTCCAGTGTCTTCTTCTTTAAGCCGATGATGATGAATCACATGCTGGACCTTGATTGAAAGAAACAAATCATTTTCAGCTCTTTGGATGTGAATTGTTGGAGGACGACTTCATGACCTTTTTGACTGATGATTTGCGGCCAGTTCAAAAACATCGGGAGCTCTGATCTTCTGTGATATAAACCATCAATGCAGAATGTGGATTATAGTGGGGGCTTGGTAAAAAACAGACTCATACTGAGGATTTGATGGAACCAACAATGTGACATGAACAAATTCAATTGTTACATCACATATACGCGCAGGTTGACAAGTCTGACGAAGGTGCAGGCCACTTGTATTCTAGAAACATTAGATTATGTTACTGGTGGGGAGATGGCATTCTGGTAGCAACAGGAGGCGTCTGCTGGTCAATCAAATCTCCATTGAAACAGTATACTGGTTTTTCTTTTTCTGGTGTGAATTTTCTTTGCCATTTGTTTCTTGGATCAAATCCTTTGCTTATTGAATCTGTAAATTATATAGCAATATTTGCAAGAAATGATCACGTTTCCGAAGAAGAGCCAAGTAGTGCACCTTTCAGATCACTGGTAATTGAAAGGAGCATTCTTCAAGTCTAACCAATGAAGAAGCAAATGTTTACATGAAAAAAGTAATGCGTTTGTTGCTCTTGGAGAGAGTTTTAACATGCATGGGTTAAACAAAGATATACAGTCAAGTACATTTTGAGGTTCAAAATTAAAATACAAGGTACAGAGTTGTAACAAGGAGAAAAACAATATTTAATAGGTTGGAGAAGGGACTTGGGACTGGAGCAGAAAAACTTTCCTAGGTCCGTTTCATTGACGCTTTCTTCATGTTTCTCTCATCATGTCGCTTATAAAAGTAGGAGAAAGATAAGTAGAAGGTGACAATACAACCCGGGTAGGAAAGTATTTCTTGACCCGGACAATTACAAACAAACAACCACCAGGACTGCCTTGCAGTTTGCATTGAGAATCACATCGCTAGTTTCCAGAGCCGCTTCACGGTTTTACAACTTCATAGCCCAAGTACCAACCCAACATTATCTCTCCAAGTATGACCCCATATCTTATTTGCCTTCTAACACACAAGTGAATAAATACCACCATGGGAAACAGAAACAGTGTTTGTTAGTTGCCAAAAATTTGAGTATGTGGCAAAGGAATTGCTTGCTGGCAATTGCGACCTCTAGATCTAGGCGCACACAAATGCTGAACTGAGTCAGCTATGCTGTCTTGCAAAGCAAAGGCCCGTGAACCATGCTCAGACTCAAGACCCTATGAAGCCTGATAATATTGGCACAATGGGACAGTAAAACAAAAGGATGATCACCAATTATAGAGGCCTACATTGGTGCTATAAATCAGAAACGCACCAAACAACCGAAGATCCTCGTCCTGCCAACACTACCTTAAGCAGATACATACAAATGTGTACCAAAAGGTTGTTCAAAGCCCTACAGGCAAGGCAATGATGTTGCATACAATTATTTCATCTAAATCACTGAATTTCATGGAAGTTGAATAACCTATTCTGTTGGAGAAGAACATCACGGGTATAACTATGTTTTTCTATCTCCAATTAATTATATTCCGTCACGTGAAAAAGTCATCACACGTGACGGAACATAATTGATTGAGAATAGCAAAACAATGTTATCCTGTGATATAAAGGTTTTTCTCATGCTATAGGATGTAATAATTACATTAAGCATTTATCAATCGAAAACAGTTGCAGAAAAATATGAATTGAAGGTTTTGCCCCCAAACCCGATTACTTGATCTCAAGATTAAGACAGAAAACCCCTCTGGTCCACACAACCCAACTGGCCTCTCTCCTCCATTACTATGATCCAAATCCAGATCATATTTTCTCTGCGCCACTTTCACATGTAGTTCAGGATGCCATTGCTGCCATTGCTCCTATTACCACAGTCTCACTTTTAACATCTACCATGCCCCAAAAGAAACACAACACCACAATCCAGTAACCACATAAAATATGCTTTAGTTCTTCAAGTGAAAACTGAGCAAATATTATTATATTATATATAGCAAGGAAGACATTTAATTTTGTATACATTTCTGCTACAACCTAAACCTACCACTTTGGACCCACATTACATCCAATGGCTCTGCATTATTTACATTTCCTATCACCTACCATATCACCATCCGATCTTAAATTCTTCAATCCAAGACCCAAAACCAGCCATCACCATCCCATTGTAAATACTTGAATCCAAACTGTCTAAGTTCCAAAACGAAGTACCATTCACACCGGAGAGTGCAAATTAATTATCAGCTTGCCGGAGCAGTCACTGGAGACAAGTAAACCTGGCTCTGTATCACCGTCTTCCCAATCTTGAACCCTGGCACAACTGTGAAACTCACTGAAGGCTCTGTATCGACATCGTTCGGAGCCACAGACTCCATGTACACCTCTGAAAATCTGGAGCCTTTCTTGACCTGAAAGATGGAAACTTGTTGACCAAATGAGAATGCCAAGCAATGCAAAAGCCAAACCCGCATCGACATTTCTGCAAACGCCGCAAAAAATGCAGAGTCTGGAACCCCACCGGTGCTTAGGAGCTTTCTCTGGTTTAAATTCCCAAAAAGAGAACACTCCATCTTTGCGTGAACGAGTTGAAGGTACTTGGCCCGAGTGAACTTACAAAACGATGAACTTGGGTTCTGGGCAAGAAAGTTTTTTGAATTTACTGATATGAGTTTCTTGAATTTCTCAAAAAAGAGAAGCTGGGTTTTGTTGTTAAGGGGCAAGGACTCACTGGGTAGCCCAAAGTTTGGGTTGTTGAAGCCTTCAAGCATGGTTTTGCTCACAAATGATTCGAACGCAAAGCAACTATGGCTCTGTTTTGCGAAAATAGAGTCTGGCTCGATGAATTTGATGGCTGTGTCGAGATCCCAGTTTGCAGATTCCATTTCACGGATCATCAGCCTCACGAAGCTCCTTATGGATCTTAAAGTGTGTTGCTGAAACTGAACAAAATGTGTTGGGTTGAGCACCGAAAGCCGAAGATTTTCGAACATGGACAGAGACAGAGAGCCACTTGCGTTTAGCTTGTTTTCCAAGGACTTGTTGAATGAGACACAATCTTCAAGCTTTTTCTGGAGAGAATAAATGTCTGTGCCCTTGTGTTCAGCTTCAGACTCCAATTTCTTGATGGTGATCTCATAGGTCTTCATTAGCCCCTGCTGCTCTTGAATCTCTGCAAGCATTAGAGTGACCTGGGGTGAGAGATCGAGCTCTTTCTTCAAAAAGCTGCGTTTCAATTCTGATATGGCTTTGAGCTCGTCGACGACGGACTGATCAGCCATCTGAATAGCTTCGTCGTTGTATGGGTTTTGGGCCATTTGGAGCTCTGCGTAGGCAGCTTTGATGGAAGTGATGCCAGCAAAGAGCTTGGCCAGCAGAGCTTCCATGACTGCTCTGTTTCTGGCTTTGAATTCTTCTTCCTTCTTGTCCAAATGCCTATGCTTTTCGAAATGTTCACGGTCCTCCTTGACTTTGGCCTGAGATGTGAGAAGGCAAATGCCATTGTTGGATGCAATTTTGCTGGTTGCGCTTCTGAGGTTGATGACCTTGTGGAAAGTCCTAGCCAATTTGCTCTGCTTGTTGTTGTTGTTGTTGAAGGCTGATTTGGGTCTCATGGTATCCATCTGAAAACAGTGAAAACTCAGATGATCAATATGATGAAAAGAGTGAAACTTGTTGGAGGCATAAACTTAACTTGAGGGGGTTTGGGGGTTTGTGGGTTTGTGGGGATAAAAGGAAATAAAAAGTGTTCGAAAGAGAGTGAATTTAATGGGAAAGCAAAGCGCAAACTTTGACTATAAGATTAGGAAGGAGGCTGCAGATAGAGAGGGGTGAGAAAAAGTTGGGATTTTTAAAGCGCGGGAAAAAGAGTGCAGTTACTGAGAAAACAGAACAAGTACTATCAATCAGATCAGAAAATAGAAAACTCATATATACAAAACCTTTTATTTTTTTGGTTTGGGTGGGGATTTACAATTTACAATGGTAGTGGTATACAGAGGGATGATGATGGGAGTGATTGATGGCTACCATCTACTCATGGACCCTACCTTGTTGCATGCAAGCAACATCCATTGGAGCACCAGAAGACCCAGAACTTGTAGTGTTTCACTATTGGTGAACATGATTAACGACCTTAACATACACATAGATGCTGAATGAATCATGATGATGATGATGAACTAGGAATGTATGTAGATGCCAAAATGTGACATGTACGTAAACTGAAAATGATAGCTCCCTTATTATTATCATGAATTCAGAATTCAAAATTCAAAATGTTGTTTGCTAATTTTGGTGAGAAACAACGTTTAGCCAACTGTCAGACCAATTATAATGCATGCGACAAACCTCAGCATACGCATGTTCTTGTATAAACATACAGTTGTTAAAAATAATATGAAATTTAGGGCAGTGAACTTCACTGTTGGTTGGTCAACGTACACTCCACAGTTGGGGATTGTCTTGTAATCAGCTGGAGCTAATCACAGTTTTACGTAGTTTGCAACTTCTGAATTATGGCCACTGTTTTTGACGCAGCAAGATGATAAAGGAGTAAGGAGATCGAACGATAACCTTAAAATAACACGTTGGAATTCACAAGGAAAATTAGTAAAACCTAAAGTTGTATTGATTGATAATAAGAAAGATAGTTTATAGACACACTATTGCGTCTCTTTTATACATATGAAATCCTAGACACACTAGAAAACCCAATTGGAAGCAAAAACTAAAATAACAAAACTTTCCCAAAATATTTCCGAAACTTTAAATGTTGAAAAGTGAAAGTAAACGATAGAATTAAGCTAAAAATGACCATATCACAGCAAAACGGTGAGTTGCACTCGTCTCACTGTTTTCTTCGAAACGGCAAATCAATTATGCAAATTGCGTCGTTTTGTGATTTTGTTGGTGGTTGGATATTTGTTGAAAAAACATTGAAATTGTTTTGAAATTTACTCTAATTTTTCCGCTTTTGGACAGGCATGGTTCCGAATATTAATTAATTAATCTACGTATTTGTAGTGTGGGACCAGAGAGATAATTTCTCCATTTCCAAAAGAGACAGAGCCGAAAGAAGATTGTGACGACATATCAGTCCTGACTGGCAGACTCCCGAGATTGTGGGCACCACACTTCATTCGGTACACCCTTGCTTAAAATTTTTAATAATTGATTTCTTGTCATAAATAAGTTTAGAATCTAACACAGATGTGGTGTGGGTTATGTTATGCCGGTTAGTTAATGTAGTGTGTCCGTTTTTTTCGCATTCGTGTTCATTTTCTTTCTCTGTATATTAGAATAGTTTAGAATATTACTCTGCTAAAAAGAAAGCTTAAAATCTGAATTCGATCATTTGAGATAAAAATTCATAAGGTAGGTAGGAACATTGCATTTGCGAATTTTGCATGTCAATTTAATGGACCAACATGGATTTAATTCAACTCCATTTTAGTTAAGGGTTTCAATCTTGCTTTAATAGCTGGAGGCGTGATCATGTCCCACAAGGCCTACATGTTCAGTGGACCAAATCCAAACTATATATATACATATATATTCAGAGAGAGTAAAAAAAAAAAAAAAAAAAAAAAAAAAAAAAAAAAAAAAAAAAAGATGTAGAGATAGTGGACAAGACAATGGATATGTTTCAAAATTCAAATTAGTGGCCTTCGACATTATTTGGTTTATTTGGTTTGTAGACAAAAATATTCTCCACAAACCAAAAGCTTAAGGTTTGATTATATAAAATTGAGACCCATCCCTACACAAGAAAAAAGGGTAGCGTAGCCATAGAAAACTACTAAAATTTGACCCATAACCCAACACATCCACTTGACTTAGGGACAATGGTGTGTTGGATTTCCATGTTTTATGATAAGAAGAAGGAAAAAAAAACCATAAAAAGAAAAAGGTAGAAAATTAAACAAACCATTATTGAAAGGATTCAATTGATCCAGATGCATTGTATTCATTTACAAATTCGAAGATGATACGTTATAAACGGTCTCAGCTCAAGATATGAAATACGAACTAAAATATTTGAACCTTTTAATGATATAGACGTTAAGCCTACGTCTTCTTCCTTTTCTTGTGTTATGTCTGACTAACAAAATCATGGGTTATGTATTAGATTGTGCACGTCCATGATCATGGCAATGTGTATTTAATTGAGATATATAATGAGTCTTCATTAAAAGATAAACCTTGTAATACACTAAAGTTAACGTTATAATTAATTATGGGACCAAAAACCAGAAGAACCCCTCCTCCAAGTAATTCCAACACACCAAAGTGGCAACAAAATTAATTCCATGCATTATTATTATTGTTTCTTAATCTTTGCATGGCAGACAAAATTGCTTGTTTCTTGAAATACAACATTATTTTGTCATATATTTTATCTACTATATCTATCTAATCTATAGTAGGTAGCCACAAATCTATAAGCCTATGTGACATATAATTCCTTCTTTTTTTCTCTCTTTCTTTTTTGGCATGGGAATTTAGTGTATCATTACGCGGACTCAACAGCATTATATCTTTAGCTTCCCTTCTCTTCTATCTGTTTAGGACACAATAATATTTTGTGTAAACTGATCTTCTAATTCCTCTTTTTGGGCATGGCCATTTTGAAAATGAAACAAATCATCATGAGCAGATCCTTTCTCTGGTAATCATTTAATTGTACTGAATTATTTGCATGCGATTAGCTTCTTGGTGAAGAGAAAGAAAACAGTTTGATTAGAGTAGTGTAAACTACGAAAGCGACGCACGCGATCGTATTAAGTGGCACGCCATGATTACGTTGGTATAATACAGAATTGCATATAGTTAATTAGGTGCACAGAAACTATTCAGTTTGGTAATATGTATTTTACCAGTAAGGCTTGCTTGCATTGCTTATATTATTATCAATTTTCAAAGAAGAGGAGAAGAAAACCATGCACTAAATTGTTAGCACAAAACCTGATTAATATTGTGTATCGTTTGTACAGAAATTATTGTGCAACAACCCAACAACAATAATGTAATTCTGTCAGATATTTTCATGCAAAAACCAAAGTGGGAGTTACTGTAGGACATTCCACATTCACATTGCCTTCAGTTTTCAACTTTCAATTCCCAGTTGAAAAAGGGGTTCAGAATTAACTTCATACTTGTAATTGAGATTGGAGGGGACTAGTTCATTTTGGTCCTTTGTCCTTCTTGCAGTGCTTCAGTAACTCAGTGCAGGATCAGCTTTCCAGGCTATGTATGAATATTTCTAAGTAAAGCAGAAATGTCTAATCAATGTGACGATAGTCTTTTCTTGTTCTGAATCTGTGAGGATATGGAATCCAACGCTTATAATGAAGTGGAGAGGTGGGTGGTTTGAGAAGAACTTGTATATCATGGTTGCGTGGTGTACCGTAATGCTAGACAACTGATAGCTGCTAAGCCTCCCTAGAAATTATTTTGTATCATAGTTATCTCACGTGTAAACTCAGTGTAATTACCTTCATAATGTTGTGCTCTTATCTGGACCCTTATCCTTATTATATGATATGCGCTTGATTCAATATAAATACAAAGCCTCAGCCACAGATTATGTATGGCTTTCGAACATATCTTTTATGTAATTGGTTAGGAATAACAAAACAGTCCGTGATAAACCAAGTTTTCCCCTTGTAGCAGGCTAATCAGATAATCAACTGTCGTAAAAGTTGTATGCCTCTAATCAAATATCTTTAGCTGAGTGTCCAGCAAGCGTCTTTGCCAGGAAAAATTATAGCATGAAGAATCCACTCGGAAGACACATACCTAATCTAGTGCAAAATAGGGGTCAATTTTTCAGGCTAATCTAATACTATGTACAAAAATTAAGGCCAAAAGTTGCTAAAGTTGCAAATAATGGAATCCGTCCAAAGTTTGAAGTTGTCGATTAACCTGAAGCACCATGATTACTAATACATAAAACAAACCAGACAAGAGACAGCATCACTAATCAATAAATAATCATAAAGTAGATCATACGAATACTCTTAATTAGCTTAAAGGTCTCTGAAAACTTAGAAATCCAACCTGATCTGGTTTCTTTTAGCCCAATACAATAGAGACTGGGTTGGGCCCGAACCAAGATTTTTCAGTCCAACTGACCCAATGGCATTTGTTTGTTTATAAGAACTTCTAGAAAATTGGAAAAGAAACAGGCAACTTGAACAATGGGCATATTTTTGGATTTTTAGATTTTCTTCACAGGCAACTAAAACTGTTTCAGAGTGCATTCTGAGTTTCTAACATTTGTAAGGCTAGGCTATTCCATAAAAGAAGAGATAACAAGTCGACAACCATAACCAAACTAAAAATTTGACCTCAATTCTACCCTCACATCTCTCAGTCACTAAAAGTTACAGTGGAAGCATAACCAAAGTTAAAGTTATCAAGGTTACATCTCTCAGTCACCAAAACTATCCTTCCCAGGAACAGATGGCTAGGGGCCTTGTAGGGCTTAAAAGCCGAAAAGGCCAAGTTCACTGACCTTCTCTTTCTCATATGTCTCGAAGTACTGATATATGATTGTAACAGCAAGCAAAATCCCAGTTCCTGAGCCAATTGCTCCCATTAAATCTGCCACAACAGTTAAGGCACCAATGCACAAGCCTCCGAAAGCAGCCGCAGTAGGAATGTACCGATTAAGTTCCTTCTGTAAGTTTGACTCTCTATGTCCAGGCATCACCATTTGTTGTTCCTACAAAATTAAGCAAAATATAAATGCTGATCATTAACTAAACATATTAGTTCACGACTGTGAAGTTGTTTGAGCTGCAAAACTTGATCCTAGAAATCTCATGTCTTCACATTCTTACTCAATGCTATAGAATGAGGCACCAAACGCAACTATCAACACAATGGAAAAAGTTGCTACCAATCACACCCTTGCTCTAGTAGAATTCAGAGTCTGTAGACACCAAATTGGGGACATCCAATGGTATTGATCAAAAAGAAAAATCAAAGAACTATGATGAGGATGACTAAAAATACCTTGAGCTGCTTAGCTACATCTCGGGCAGAAGAACCAGAAACTTCAATCCAGGTTTTTGAGAAGAGTGCACAGGCTGAAAGCATAAACACTAGATAAAACAAAGCATGGAAGGGATTGGCTGCCATATCTGCCAAGCTGCAATCAAAACCACATTGACAGAAAAATGAATCAGTGATTCATGTAAATTCTTTTGCAAACTAAACGAAATAAGAAAAGGCAAAGGAGATTTAAAAGGTAAAGTAATCAATGTGCTGCATCACCTTGATGGAGCAGTGACATAGTAGGCAAGACCACCAACTGGTATAAACTGGCCACCAGAATATTCAGACTCCTGCCACTTCCCCAACAAATTCACGAAGAAATTCCCACCATACCTCCTGTAAAGCAACTATACAGAGAAAACAAGTGCCATGTCAATTGAAAAAGAAATGAATTTATGAGCCTCTAATTTTTATTGCCTAGTAGCTTACCTGGGAGATAAAATAAAGATTGGAGACAAGAGCGGATTGGAGAATAATGGGCATGTTAGAGGTGTAGAAAAGCTTAATAGGATATGATCCCTGCTGTCCACGGGCATTCTTTGATCTCACCGGCAAAACCACACGGAAACCTTGGAAGTAGATGACAATGAGAAAGATCAAGACTGTAGCAAGCAAATTAGTAACATTTGGTAGGTTCTGCCTATAGAAAGCTTCTCGAAGAGCGCGAACTTTGTCTGTCCTGGTTATCAGTAGATGGAACAATGCAATTATGGCACCTTCAAATTCAGCTCCCCGGCCACTATTGACAGTTGTGGGGCTGAAAGCCTTCCAAATGATGCCTTCACTGCATAATCAACCATAAATTAAGTACGGAAAGACCATGGATCACAATATGCTAAAAGGTAAATGAAATATGGATTTCAAGCCTACCAGATGTTGGTAGCTATAAAAAGGGAGATCCCAGATCCCAGACCATATCCCTTCTGAAGAAGTTCATCTAAGCAAATCACAATAATTCCAGCAAAGCAAAGTTGAACTATGATAAGAATGGCATTCCCAACACCAAGTTGACCGACACTGCCATACATCCCCGAAAGGACATAGGCAACAGCTTGACCAACCGCAATGAGGATGCCCAACAACTTTTGTGCCCCATTTCTGAAAATTAGAAGCCAATCAAAAGCAAGAGACATTAGAATACTAGCCAGGCCAGAGTAGCAAACAAGCTATATTGAGAACACATAACAGCACAGAAGTAGAAAACAAGCTCAACAAATAAAAACTACCAGCAATTCACCATTGAAACAAACAAACCAGGGTCCTAAGTGAGCATACTAAGCAGAGATTGAAAAATAACAAAATACGGAACACCTAAAGCAAATTCTTCATAACATGGAATAATTAAAGCAGAGAAAACTATTTAAAGTAAACAATCAGAGTAAAAGAACACTCACAATAGTGCACGGTCCTCACGGACATTGTTGTCTACTTCAATGATCTTTGAGCCAGCCAAGAGTTGCATGACCAGCCCAGATGTCACAATCGGGGTAATCCCAAGCTCCATTACAGTCCCACGGCTTGATGCAAGAATAACACGCATCCAATAAAATGGATCGGCACCAGTCGTAGAGTGTATGCCATAAAGAGGAAGCTGACTGCACACCAGAAAGATGAACAAGGAAATCACGGTATATATGAACTTCTCTCTGAATGGGATCTTTCTGTCAGCACTTTGAACTTCCGGTAGAAATGCAAGAAATGGCCTGACCAAATGCAGCACTCGAAAACCTCCTCCCATTTTAAGTACTAGAAGCTAAACCAGCCCAACCTGCGCCAACCTATTAGCACATCTATTTATTCAGATACCGAAAATGTTCAAAGCCATAGAGTTGATAAATAAAACACTGGTATGAAAAAAAACAAGGATAAATTAGGTGTTCCATTAAGGGGGTCCTCAACCATTTACACAAATTGATTGCTAGCACCTATTTCAGTGACCAACTCCATAAGCTATAGCAAAATACAGGCACATGAGGGCATAAAATAAGAATAAAACCAAATGCAGCGTGCACAACGTACAAGTCAGTAACATGAGAGTTTAAAAAATAAAATTATTTACATGGGCTGCAAGTCGCTTTGCTCAACCTAAGCAGGAAGAAATAAGCTTATACAGCATGAAATACAAGGCTTTGGTGCACTAAAACAGAGTAAATTCATGCTTAAGCCAATAAATAGTTGGTAGAATAATGTTTAGCTTCAGATTTCATGTTCTTCATGCATTCACTTCTTGTTCCTTGCCATAAAATCATATAATCTAGGATCAAATTTAATCAAGCAAATCTGAACAAAAACCCTTTAAAATGGCTCAGAGACCATCGAAATTCCAGAACTATCCGAAACAATTATATAACGATTCATGTAAAACAGGAAAACTGAGTTTTACCTGAGAGAGAGAGAGAGAGAGAGAGAGAGAGAGAGATGAAAACTCAGGCTCTGAGTCTGAGGCAAAGAAACAAGTAGAAGAGGGAAGGGGAAGAAGCCGGGCTCAGAAAAATCTCACACACACACTCGTCCACGTTTTCAAATTTGGCGTGGCGCATGCACAGTCAGCGTACGCCACGACGACTAGTCAATCCTCAACAGCCGCGTGTGTGACGCTCATTTGACCAGCGTGACGTGTCGTGTGGGTTTGTTGAACTTTCTCTTAACTTTTTATCTTTCTGACATTTGATTTTTATTTTTGTCTGATTTTATTTTCTAATTGGGCCTTGTCTGTTTTCCTACAGGTCCAATCATAATGATGGGCAATTGGCATGGCTATTCTTAGGATTGTAATTGAGAGTTGTGACGTTATGGGCTTTGTCTAGTATTCGTGTAGTGTTTGTGAGTTCATCATATTATCACCTCTCAATAAGAAAAGTACTTTTAAAAAAAGGGATCAATTACAAAGTTATTATTAGACGGCCTGATTGTAACCCTCAATATATAGCCCCCTTATTATAGAAGGGGCACAGTGCACAATATTACAAATGTTGCGAGTAAAGACTTGTAATAAACATCATTCCAACATCTTTACAAGGTGATAAAACTGGCATTTCGAGATGAACTCAAAATGGACATAGGTATTAATCTTACCTACGTTTAGGGCACCCAAAATCCACTAACTATTCCCCCTTTTACGGACAGGGTTGCCATCCTAATCTGAAACTACATGATCCGTACGCGCTTCTTCCAGCAGAGTTATCCTGCACTAGATTTATCGTATGGTGTACAAAATTCAGATGCAAAAATAAAGAACACTTCCTTGGCTTAAGCTGGCAGCTGAAGCTTCGCATTGTTCTTCCAGCTGCAAAACAAACACGTTTTTAGTGTTAACAATCTACAAACATGTACAATGATCATTGGGACGAAGGTGTCACGATTTGCTACCTGCGAAAGTAGTAGTAGAAAAAATCTCCATATAAAGCTGTCTGGACCAGACCAGCAATGCAAGCTGCAAAATTGTAAAAGAAAAGAAGTCGGCCAAACACTACAAACAGCAATAACGCCCCGTGAAAATGTCCTCAATGGTTCTCGCATAGCTTACCTATCCATCTACCAAATTTAGGTTCTGTGAAGTAGCGGTAGATCCAGTTGAGTATGTACAATGCACGATAGGCCCTGCAATTTGAAACATATATCCCAAGATGAATTATATTTGCACACAAATACAAATTTATCTACCATCTGCCAATATTTTATCTGGTCCAAACTGCTGAATCTGTTTGGCTTTCGTGATTTCATTAAAATCAGCATCATTCAAGGAAGCAGGAACCAAAACTTTCCATAATTTATTCACACCTCTAAAGTGACAATACACTAACTTGAAGACGAATCTTAACCCTGGTATGTGGAAAGGAAATTTTATGGTCTGAAACACAACAAATTTCCACAAATTCCAAGCATTATCCAAATTTTGCTATAAACTAAAGTTGACTTGTACAAGTTGAAATTTTCAAATTAGGACTACTCAATTATATTATTGATACAAATTGATATTTAAAAAAATTTAGACACTTATAATCCATTACATGCGACAAGTACTTAACGAGTAAACCCAGCATTGAGGAAAGTAAATCTTTTTGACAGGACAAGTAAGAAAACATATTGTCCTGTCAAGCAGGTCACAGACCTTATAATGGAAATAGATATACTTACCCAAGTAAGAAAACATATTGTCCTGTCAAATTGTCTACATTTCCACTTCGCTGTAACAAAACTAACTGCGGAAGAATTGAAACTGCCTCCAAGTATATGGAAAATGCCCACAAAACCTGAAAATAGTTTACAAGTATATAAGAACAAGACGGACAAGTAGGTTTTACATTCAAGTATATGAGTTCCATCCAAAACTTACATCAGTACACAAAATTAGATAATTATCATTATGGAACTTCAATTGTTAAGAATTAAAACTAACACTAGAGGCAACATTGGATAAGTCAAGTTGGGGTTTTCCAGCTCGTGATTTAGTTTCGGACCGATGTAAAGTGAACACCTTGGCTGGTTTGTTTTAAAGTTCACACTAGATCCATGAATAGCAACTAAGGTGTACAATAAGTTTAAGCCATCACAGCTACACAAGCACAACATGACAACACAATCAATAATGTCACCTCTTGAAATGTGAATTCCTCGTGGATAAGGAGGGCCAACACAAAGCATCCCCCAAGAAGAAAATCATGGCGGAAAGTGTCAAGCTCTTTATTGTAAGAACGCTTCACCACGTTGTGCATCCGCATACACCAAACAATGGCCAGCGAGCTTCCAATGAACACCAGCTTCATCACAGTGTTGTATACTGAGACGAAGTTCGTGAACAGGTCCAAGTACCGACTCAGAAACACTAGCACATAGAGCTCCTGAGTCTTAAGCGAAACCCCTATAATAATAAGCAAATATCAGTTTCTCAAAACTTCAGATCACCACTTCCAATTCAAGGAGAATTAACTTAAAATTGTTCTAGTTCCAAATTAACTTAATATTCTTCCTAAATTGGGGAGCTGAAGAAACTAAAAATCTTCACAAAGTTTATTTCTTTATCCTTTTCTCTTCCGTTTCTGAGCAACCAAACAATAAGCACTAATGCACCGATTGGTTGCTGAAAGAAGAAAACACGAAACAGATTCAGATAAAATGTGTTTCGCATTACTGAGTAAAATTTTCCACTTTGAGCAATCTTTAGTGGGGAAAACAATGATATTCATTTTTCCTCAGAATTTTCCTTCGTTTTCCCAGGAAACAAACAGAACTGAGAATGAGAAGGGGAGAAATGCGCATACCAGAGCATGATTTGGTGGCGTAGATTTTGAGAAGGAGGACCAAAATACTGGCCAGGTGGGTCATATCCCCAGCCAACCTGAACGCATTCATGGTTTAAAGCAGGAACTCTTGCCCTAGATTTCAGTAGAGAGAGAGAGAGAGAGAGAGAGGAAAGTGGGGCTTGAATACGGCGTGTAAGAGAAGGGAGACTTTACTAGCCAAAAATAACAAAAAGAGAAGGAGAGTTGACGTGGCAGTCGGAAAGTGCTTCTACCGACCTCCACGACGTTCCCAGATACGAATGAGCAAGAGTTTGTGTGACGTGCGGCTCGGCTTTGGTGTTCCTCCATCCATATCGCAATCTCGACCGTTAGATATATTGAAGGGCTATCTATTTAGAGCTGAAATCAATAGTCTCTGGCGATGTCGTTTTCTCTTGGTTTGATGTCGTTGACTTGTTTTTGGGCCAAGCCCTTGGTAAAAATAACCCACAGAGAAAGCTTACGTATTGGTCCAGGCTGATCGAATTATTTGGATTGGGCTCATGTGGTCATTTAAACTTGCGGCCCTGCCTGATGGCGGGTGGAAAATAATTTCTCATCCTTTTTCTAGAAGAACAAGTCATTGTGCTGGCCAGTTGCCATCACATAAAAGAAATAAGTTTAATCAGTTCAATGGTGGAGGGCTTTTGTATTAAATTCGGCAATCGCACCGTGGCCGCCCCTAGTAACCCTATGAAAATAGGAGTAGCATAGCGAAGGAGTGCGAAGCCGCCACAAAGATTCACATTGGCATGCCATTAGCTAATTCCTAGAAAACAAATTTTGAGGAAGTGCTTTTATATAGTTTACAGATTGCACTCCCTAAACAACCAAAAAAAAAAAAAAAAAAAAAAAGAGGCTTGGAACACATGACCATACTGCTGTCCCTCCGGAACTAGACACAAAAGGAGCTTTCCAATGACTAAAAATGATGCTCTCCACCCTCCATACAAATACAGCCCCCCCCCCCCCAAAGAAAAAAAAAAAAAAAAAAAAAAAAAAAAAAAGAGAGTGAAGGAGCAACAAAGTCAGCTGCATTGGATACAGATTGCATGAACAACCCGTTAAAATTTGGGCCCTGTAACAATTATGCGCACCCTAATCATTTGCGTTGGAAGATCACAAAGTAGATTTATTTAATGATTTCAAATTTCAAGCACTTTGAGTCCTTAAAGCAGCAGTCAAAGATTTGTTGAGAAATAAAGGGCAGCCCGTCTCATCGTCATCATCATCTTCTTCTTGTCCATTGCAGGTGGAAGGAAGGCGCAAAAGACTCTTCTTCCTTTTTCTTTCCTTTGTTTTTTTCCATAAATATCTTCAAGGGGGTGGTAGTTGGAGCATGCAAGAACCGGAGTCATCTCAACCTTCCGTACAAATGGTCTTGAGTTAGGTCACCAAACAAAAAGGGCATATGCACATGGACTTCATGTTGGCTTCAACTGCTTAGATTTATACAATTACTCTGCTAACTATTTTTTTTTTCTTCTACAACAATAGTTCCTTTCTGTACGTAAGAGGCTTGCAGTTCAAGTGGCTAAAAGCATTTACTCATGCACCTGAGATTCTAGATTCAATTCTCCTTTCCCAATATCGCTTGTAGAAAAAAATAATTTATTTCTTATCAATAAAACAACAGATAGAGACTCAAACCCACCTCTTCCTGCCTTGCACATATATGCTATGACTATATGTATGCAAATCTGGATTGAAATTTGTGTCATAATATATACAGAAAATATATTCTTGCATTAGTGCCCCAGCCCAGGCTCTGCCTGCAGGCACCACATTATGTGGTCCCATAGAACCTCTAAATATTTTATTTTCACTTATGAGAATCCTAGAAATTTCACATGGACTGACATTTGCAACCTATTAAATCAAAGATTTATTAAGAATCCCAAGTCTTTGGTATGAGACTCACCAAGTAAAACATGTTGTATTTCCACCAGCCCTTGGTAAACATACTTTGGTCCCCTCCACTATCTCACTGACCAATGGGGCCTCATGTCTCATAGCCTCATAACAACTCCACCAACATCTGGACAGAGCCCCTTTCTTGGTATGAATTTATCTTCTCTTTAGCACAAAAACAAAAATGTATCTTCAAGACTCAGAATTTTACCAATTTACAGTCACATAACAATACCCATCTGGGATAAAGATATCTTTTTTTACTGCAAACTAGTTTCAGGTCATGAAGCTTGAGAATTGGATTTGAAATGTACAGAAAGTTTGTTTTTTGGTCAATCAAGTACAGAAAGTTTTAGCATTAACACCATTGAAACAAGTACATTGGTCCCCAACCATACATAATCTCAGTGCCCAGAATGGAGATTTGGATTCATAAGAACTTCTGCAGCCCTGGGCCCACTTCCTGTATGCTGATTGGGTATGGGTCTATGGGTTTTGTTTGCTGCAAACCAACATGTGGCTTTCTATGTCCTTCTGTGCATTAATTCTTCTGCCCCTCCTCCTCTACATGGAGGAGTTTCTGAGCCAAAGTGCCAAGCACAAAATTAGTTTCTCTCCCTAGGGTTTAGTACAATAATTCCATCCCCATCAAATCAAACAATAAACTTCTTATCAACTACTCTCTCTCTCTCTCTAACTCTCTCTCTCTCTCTCTCTCCAGTAATGTACAAACAAGTTGAGACAAGGCATTGTGGATGGCAATGTCCAGTATTATGCACCAAAAGGAAAATCTGTCTGTAACAGAGAGGATTTGATCACATATTGAGATCTGGTTCCTCCATTCCATGTATTATTATGCATACATAATCTGTGGCAATCATCCACTGCATCATATAATTTATATAATTCTCAATCTCTTTTTTCTTAGTTTTAACCTCTAGTCAATTGTAAGTTTCTGTCAAATTTGAAACTTAACAAATTATAAGAATTTATGTACTCATAAAACAACTGGATACCTTGCAATATTTTATAATGGTCAACCAGGACCACATATGGTATTACTTACAGTCTGTCCAATGGAGGATATTATAGTTTGTCTTACATTAAAGACTCTTCTGCAAAAAACAAAAAAGAAACAGAGCATCCTATCCATTTTCTTCTTCTTCTTTTTTTTCTTTTTCTTTTCCTGTCTTTGTTTTTATCTTTCTTCATCAATCTGAATCAACCTTATTCCTTATCAGCTATAATTGACTTGTAAACAAAAGGGTCCTCATCTTCTTGTTGTTAAGAATTGATGAAATCATAATGCAGGGGACCCATGATTACAATATGTAACAAAAGTTATCATGTCATTATGCTTAATCTCAAGCCTCTAAAACCTTGATTTTTGCAAAGCAATTATCTCTGCACCTGAAATTTCCGTTTCTATGTCGTCGGTAAAAAAAAAGAAAAAAAAAACTGATTTTCAAAAGCAGAGTTATCTTTTTCACTTTTTGTCCAACAGTTTCTGTACATTCGGATATGGCAGATTATCACCATTTTCCTTAACAGAAGCATATCATTCTGCTTGTTAAGAATCAGAAACATCCAGGTTTAAAACATCAGTCATCATCATCATCATCATTCATGAGTTGAACGCTGCACGTGACTTTGACAGTGATGGTTGGTTGGTCACTTGAGCCCTGAGATACCTTGTCATTTTCTATTTTTTTATAATTAACTTTCATTTTAATATGGGGATTATGGATATGTGTCACAGTCTCGCAGGTAAGAGGATTTAATTGGACAATGGACATAATTAATTTTGTAAATTCGTAGTCAATCAGTCACTCTCTGAGTTTCTTTCTACCATTCCATTGGGAAAATTTCGTCCGCAGTAATAAAAAATGGAAAACATGTCACCTAATAAATGGCACAAGAAGAAAGAGTGGTGCTTATTAAGCATTTGAAAATCAGTCATTAATTTAGCAAAATCACTATAAAAAAAAAAGGTTAGCTTTGGTTGTCCTTTTCTTTCCTTTTTGGCTTGGGCCATTTTTCTTGAAGTTTCATTTTCATACCCTATATGGGGTCATAATATCTTTGCTAATTCAATGTCGAATCTTTACTAAAGATGTAAACCTTACTATTCGTTATCAATAAATCTCTCTTATCATTTGGCAAAATAAAATAAAATTGTCGTATCTTAATTTAAACTTAAACCATTGAAAGACTGCATTAAGGTAATGAAATCAAGAATCCTCCTACATCTAAATGCTTGGAAACCAATTTAATTAGCAGCCATATATACAACTTTATTTAATGAGCAAATATGAATATAATCCTCATAAATTTATAAGATCTTTTGGTAAGGGAGGAAGTAATATGCTTAGTAGTACATTCATGATTCATCAAAGGGGTTGGAAGAGGCAAACCAAGAAAGTTAAATGTTCATTTAAGATGAAATTACATGTCAATCAATGTACAAGATAAATGACAAATGGTAGTTTAAACGATAATGACGACAATCATCCAACGCTAATATCGACACGTGGTGAGTTCAACGACCCTCCTAGACAGTTAGTAAACGCCAAGTCGTTAAGTAATTCTAAAAGAAAGTAATGAAAGTAGTTCATTGGGTGACTTGAGGATTAGAAATCCGTTAACTGGCACTACACACTTGTCAATCTAATAATTTTATTTCTTTGAAAAAGTCAAATGTTCATTTAAGATGAAATTACATGGTAATGCAGCAGTAACTAGGTTGTATCAGACAAGTGACAAATGATAAGTTAAACGATAATGCTGACAATTACCCAAGATAATACATACAAATAGTGTGCTCAATTACCTTTATGATTGCTATAGCTCAGCAGTTAGTAAACGCCAAGTAATTCTAAAAGAAAGTAGTTAAAGTAGTTCTTTGGCTGACTTGAGTATTAGAAATCTGTTGACCGGCGCTACACGCTTGTCATTCTCATAATTTTATTTGACATGATTTCTCGGTAAGTTTATATACTTCCTCAATGTTTGTCGTACCGAAATTTGGCATGAAAATCACTAAAGCAAGTTATTCCATAAATAGTCTAATTTATGAAATAAGAAAATTAATACATTTATTAGTGCTACTTAAAATCCCTTTAAGTTAGGTTGAATAGGGTGGCAATTAAATCCAGTCTTTAATTTGAAGGCAAGAACATCGACGCACGCATACAATAATTGATTGATTGGAAGATAAAAAAAGGTAAAAATGAAGTTTCCGCAGTCAAACTCAAAATGCACGATGTCAACTAAATCATTCAAATTTTGCAGAAAATACCAAAACTTGGTTAATAACACGAAGATCGCACAATCTTCTAAAACAGTCTCACCGCTATATTTTTCAACGGAACGGATCTGTTGGCTCCCAATTCGAAAACTTTGAATTTCTTTTGAAATAATGAAAAGGAGAAAAAATTGAAATTTGAGAATAAAATGTAAAAGACAGTTTGCTTTGCATGCTCAAACAAAACGGACACAGCGCTTTATTTGCAACGTGTTCTCTGTTTGCAGAGGTGCCTCTCTGTGTCTGTCTGTAACAGATCTCAACCCATCACTCACTCACACCTCTCTCTCTCTCTGAGTCTCATATTCTCTCTTTTCTCACACACTCTCTCAGTCTCTATTTTTTTTTCTCACCACCCTCTTGCTTCTGAACTCTCGCTCTCAGAGAAAGGTGTTTGCTTTGAAAGGGAAAAGGCCTCGTGAAGTGCATGTGAAGCTCGGTGAGAGATCTGGGGGACTTAATGATGGAAACGGTTCATTGGCTTTTCTGATTTCAGGTGATTGGAGTGTTCCCCTTCAGCTTTACTTGCCTTTTCTCTTTCCCCTTCTCTTTTTGGATGTTACTTCATGTTCTTTCTATCCCAGCCTTATGTTAATTGTCTCCCATTTTTGTCAAAAGCGAGTCTCTCTAGGGTTTTAGAGCAAGCGGCATGGTGTTTCGATTGTTTCTGAGGTTTGTGAAGATGGGTTCTTTTTAGTTTCATCAGTACTGTGCGTTACCCGTTGGACCTCAGTGGGAAGTCGGGTTTTTGCTTATAGTTTCATGCATTGAACCTCAGCTCTGTTTTTGCAGTGGCTGTTGCTGCTTATTAGGGGTTCTATTTGGGTTTATTGCTTTCAAGCTTGTTATTTGATGCTGGGGTGGAATTACTGTTGGGTTCTTTTTTGTCTTTGAGTGAGAAACTATGTACTCTGAAGGGTTTGTTGTGCGTGGAGGTGATTTTGCTAGTTTGTGGCTTAATCATTGGAAATATTGTCATTTAATTTGAAATTGAGTATGTTCTTGTTGGAGAATCTTTGATTGCTTGAATTTTGGCATTGTCTCAAGCTTTGCCCAACAATTGGTGGGAATACCAGTGCTGGATATTGAGGAAATTTTATTGCTTTGATGCTCCCATCATTCTGAAGATTCGGGTGTCATTAAGCAACCATGCGAAACATATTTATTTGTTTCCATAATTTAAAAGAGATTCTGCTGTCGGACACGTTGACGGTTTGATCATGACCAGGGCTGTTCGCGATAGGATCCTCAAGGACGCAAATGGTGATATTAGTGATCATCTGCGCAACCACATTCATTTGACAAATTGCATTCACTTGAAGAACCATATGCACAAGCAAAGCCCCATATTAGCTGACAGGTCACTTATGAGGGACCTTGTTGTCCTTCAGAGGTCTCGATCTCTCAGGGACCCTTCTGCCAGTCCTCCCTCATGGCATTCACCTTCCATTGTTGATATGCTTTCCAAAAAAGGTGAAAATGATGCATTGGTACGTGAGGGGAGAAGGTCGGTAGGAAGTGAGTATCGAAGGGAAGGCAGGAGGTTGTTGGCAAGTTCTCCACCTTTGGCAAGATTAGCAACATCAAAAGTTGCTCCACGTGAGGCTAATGGGGTCAATGATGGGGTAGCCGGAATCAGTGAACATGGAAGCAAGAGTGGAGTTAGGGATGGTAGGAAAATTAGGAGAGAAGAATCTAGTCAGAAGAGTAACAGGAGTGATAATTTGGGTGGCAATGAGGAGCTTCCACTCGACCTGAATGCTAATGATATGACTCATGATGTTCTTTCTGGGAATTCAGAATCCAAAAGTAGAAAAAGTAAAAAAAAGGGAAAGTACATTCAAGGTGCTCGGATGAAGACTCTCTCAGAGCAATTGAATGATGTTAGGATGGATAGTGATGACATAACGTCCTCTAATATCCATCAGCCTGCAAGACGGTCCCGACAGGAAAGAACTGTTGAGGAACCGGAGGTCAGCATTCGGGGATATTGCAGTGGACTAAGTAGAGTAAAAAGGCGCAAATTTCGAGGTGCAAGAAGAAGCCGTGCTTCTGTAGCTTCTAGAGACTTTGGAGGTCAGAATGATTTATCTGTGGCTTCTAATACTTTAGCTCAAGGGTCAGCTCACCCAAAGTATCACATGGAACGGGGAGAGGATGAGTATGGTGAGCAAAATTTCACAAGGGCTCCCAGAAATGGGTGTGGGATTCCATGGAATTGGTCAAGAATCCATCATAGAGGTAAAACATTCCTTGACATTGCTGGAAGGAGCTTTTCTTGTGGTTTATCTGATTCAAGGTTTAAGAAGGATGGTATGGCTGCCCATGCCAGAAATATTTCTGACATGCCCGTGGCATCTGATAACTCAAGCACTTCTACTAAATCTGAGGCACTGCCTTTACTAGTTGAAGCATCTGGGTCACAGGAAAGCTCCGAAAACGCTGGTTGGATACATGACTATTCTGGTGAACTTGGTATTTATGCTGATAATTTATTCAAGCATGATATTGGTTCTGACTTTGCTTCTGAAGCTAGATCTGGTGGTCAACACAAATTGAGGGGCCACCACCGTCGTAGGCACCAAAACCTGACGCAAAAATACATGCCGAGAACCTTTAGAGATCTCGTGGGACAGAATTTAGTGGCGCAAGCTCTTTCAAATGCTGCCATGAAAAAGAAAGTTGGGTTGCTATATGTATTCTATGGTCCTCATGGTACAGGGAAAACCTCCTGTGCTCGAATATTTGCTAGAGCTCTAAATTGCCAGTCTTTGGATCACCTCAAGCCTTGTGGCTTTTGCAATTCTTGCATTGCACACGATGTGGGGAAGAGTAGAAATATAAAGGAAGTTGGGCCTGTTAGTAACTTTGACTTTGAGAGCATTATGGACCTACTTGACAATATGACTATCTCCCAGCTGCCATCACAGTACAGAGTGTTCATCTTTGATGACTGTGATACATTGTCCCATGAGTGCTGGAGTGCCATATCGAAGGTCATTGATCGAGCACCGAGACATGTGGTTTTTGTCCTTGTCTGTTCAAGTCTTGATGTTTTGCCTCACATAATCATATCCAGGTGTCAAAAGTTCTTTTTCCCTAAGCTAAAGGATGCAGATATTATCTACAGTTTGCAATGGATTGCAACCAAAGAAGATCTAGAAATTGACAAGGATGCACTGAAACTTATTTCATCAAGATCGGATGGCTCATTGCGGGATGCTGAGATGACTCTAGAACAATTAAGTTTGCTTGGCCAGAGAATCTCTGTTGCTCTTGTTCAGGAACTGGTAAGCTCTTTTCTGTTCCCCCAGAATTAGAATTTCCATGGTTTTCTTGCCTTTAATATATATTGCCTTGAAAAATGACGCTGATTATAATACAATTGCCATATAAAGATAGAGGAATGCTTGTCAAACTAGCATGGTCTCTTAAGGCAATTATGTTTACTCCTGTTACTTCACTTGAACTGCCTAAAGATTTTGACTTTGTTTCCAGGTTGGGCTTATCTCTGATGAGAAATTGGTAGATCTTCTTGATTTAGCATTATCGGCAGACACAGTTAATACTGTCAAGAATTTGAGAATGATAATGGAAACTGGTGTTGAGCCACTAGCCTTGATGTCACAACTTGCAACAGTGATTACAGACATACTTGCTGGCAGCTATGATTATAAAAAAGTAAGGCGTAGAAGGAAGTTCTTTCGGAACCAACCATGTGAGTCCAAAATTTACTATTAATTGAGTAATCCATTTTTTAACGATAAGTTATGTCGTGGATGTTCATATTTAGCTTCCAAATATCTTCTTATCTTGCATCTTTAGCTGTGCATTTCATATAAATCAATTGTTTTCTCTTCGGTCTTCCCATAGTATATTTAACATGCTTGAACTGCTTGTACTTAATGTGCAATGCCCTTATGGCAACCTCCTTAACTAGACATGGAAAATCCTTGCCTTTTGAAATTATTTGGCTTATATTAACCTGTAAAATTCTTGCCTTTTCTGTGTTGCCATTTTTCAGTCAACTGATTAACAAATTAACTGGTTGCAGTATCCAAAGAAGACATGGAGAAATTGCGTCAAGCTTTGAAAACTTTATCTGAGGCTGAAAAACAATTGAGGATGTCAAATGACAAGTTAACATGGCTAACAGCTGCACTTCTCCAGCTTGCTCCCGATCAACAGTATATGTTGCCTAGTTCGTCGGCTGGCACAAGCTTTAATCACAGTCCCTCGGCCTTAAATAATGTGGGTGGAAGGGTTGTGGGCAGGAAAGAGAGTGAACAAGATGAGATGCCTAATTATGAAAAAGGCTTGTCAACCAATGTTAGAAATGCTGTAAGTTCTGGTTTCCATGGGAATGGTTCTGGGAAAGGCATAAATTCAGATAGAAAACGTCATGCTGGTGCTGGTATGGCTCCTCAACAAGGGGCTTCATGCTCTGCTGACATAATTAGGGCAAATGGGAGGCAAATGCTTGGCAAAAGCCATAAAGGAATTGAAGAAATTTGGTTGGAGGTGCTTGAGAAAATACCATATAATCGCATAAAAGAATTTTTATACCAAGAAGGGAAGCTGACCTCAGTCAGTTTTGGTGCAGGTATGCCATAACTTGCATAATGCTCTTTTGTGAATGCCCTTTATGGTGCAATCGATACTTCAAAGCATGCGCATACACACATCATTTCTCCTTCTCATGATTTATGTCAATTTTCTGTGCAATGACTGGTAGTCTTGTGGGCTTGGAAGTATCTTTTGGGGCAAGAGTAGCTTGTAGAGTTTTTTGGATTAAGGATCTTGAGACTTGGACAAAAAGTGACTTAAATACATAACATTTTATATGTCAGACACATGTTTTTAGAATTCTCAAGTTGCTCCTATGCCATGACTTTTTATAATGAGACAATCCTATACCTCTCTCTTTTGCTGAAATTCCTCATCCATATTTTATTACCTTTGATTTTCCATTAATGTTTTAAGAAATCTGAAGAATGAAACTGCTTTGAAGTAGTTAATGTCTAACATATGCACATTTTTATGCCATTATGCTGTAACTTGCCAAATTTGATCATAACTATTTGAATAAAATATCAATTCATTAATTTTCCTTTAGCATGTTTCCTTTTACATCCTTTACCCATGACTTATCAAAATCTCTCTTCCTCCCACTCCCATCTCTCCTCTTTCCTTTAAGAGCAACACCACCGAGGAGCCCAAGCCCAGGGTTGGGGGGAGTCCAAGCCAAAAAGCCAGTTTCAGCGGGCCACTTTTGCCCGGGCTGGAGGCGGGACCCACGAATACGGGCTGGCCCGAAGGCAGCTCTTGCTCGGGGGGGGGGGATGATGTCAGCGTGCGTTGACGTCAGCCCTGCGCTCCACCAACAGCTAGAAGACATGTGTCGTTGTTTGGGCGCTCCGATCGCCTGCTCTCCTCCAATCCAACAGCTGGGCTTTTTTTTGCTATAAAATTATGAAAAAATTCGATTTTTTTTTTTAAAATACCAAAAAATTCTGGAATTTTTTTCTATAAATACCTACCAATACTCTTCACTCTCAACACTAAATCCTCATGCATTTTCTTCTACTTCTACTATTATTCACTTTTTACTCAACATTTTATTCACTTTTAAATTGTATTTTTATTTATCATCTTATCCGAAAATTGTATCCGATTAAGATATGAATTTTATAATAAATATTGACACGTACGAACCCAAAAATCTTATCTGAAAATATTATGCAAATTAATTGTTTAGGTAAAGAAATTTGTGAAAAAAACAAAAAAATGAATAGTATTTGCCTTTTGCCATGGCAACGGGTGGAAACACACATTGCTTTTTGCAAGGGCAGCCATTATTCATGTGAATAGTAGCTGCCCTAGCCCCCCCCTTGCCATGGCAAAGGGCAAATGGGTGGAGTTGCTCAAAATGGCCTCATTTCTGGCTCAAAAATACTTGATCTTTTTTTTTGGGCATTGTACTTACCAAAATTGGGACCACAAAAGTTTGTTTTGTGAGTGTCTATTGAACAAGCTGATTTGTGTAAAAGTCTGATTCTTTATGTAATTTTAATTGCTCTCTTTTGCAGCGCCCACTGTGCAGTTGATGTTCTCTTCTCATATGACTAAATCTACAGCAGAGAAGTTTAGATCACAGATTTTACAGGCATTTGAGATTGTTCTAGGGTCTCCCTTGACCATTGAAATTAGATGTGAATCAAAAAAAGATACTAAAGAAGGTGCCCAGATGCCTCTTCTCATACCAGTTTCAAAGGATGGTTCATCCCAGATTAGAGATGAAAATGGGGCCAGCACGGATGCCCAGCTCCAGCGCGATACCCATGAAATGGGGAAGAGTGAAATTGTTGAAGTAGCTGCTTCTCCTAGGGAAAGCAAGGGTAGTGGTCACATACATAACCACAAAGAATCTGGTAAAAGAGGTTTGGATGGTGCCCAGATGGGAGAAGTATCACTTTCACATAAGAAATCACCCATAGCTTCAATTCCAGAAAAACAGAAATTTGGGGAACAAAGTCAGAGTCAAAGCCTTGTCAGGAGCAAGGTGTCCCTTGCACATGTGATTCAGCATTCAGAGTCGCAACGTAGTGGATGGTCACAACGGAAAGCAGTTTCTATTGCTGAAAAGCTCGAACAAGATAATTTGTAAGTAATGCAGTTATTTTTTCTTTCCAAGTTTGAACAAGATTATTAGAGGCACCGGTTTCCTGAAGGAGGAGATAAATAAGGCCTTTTTTCTTGTTTTGCTTGAGCTTCACTTAATTTAGAAGATTCTATCATAGAAGTGTCATTCTATCGTAGATGAGGGTTTCATACGCCTTCAATATATTATGCTCTTGATTTGTTCTTTTTATTTGAAATGGCACTGATTCTTTCTAAATCACAGGAGACTGGAATCTCGATCAAGAAGCTTGATTTGCTGGAAAGCATCTAGAGTAACTCGTCGAAAGGTAATTTGTTATGGATCTCACAATATTCTTGCAATGAAATTTCTGAGCAGGCTGACATGCCTTGTGACATAATATGTAAGGCCCGGCAGAAAATGGGTCTCATTTTTAAGCTTAAGTTGGGTCCTAGACTCCTGGGGCCATCAAACTTGGCAGCAGGCATGAAATATTTGTTCAAGCGTGCCCAATTAAGGGCTAGGCCTTCCAGGTCAGGCAGGGCACCAAGCTCATTTTTAGGTCCTACGTCCAACTCAGTTATGAAGTAATTTAAGACTTATTGGTTCGTCGTCTGGGGCCATCTAGTTATGTCAGGTTTTCTTGTAATGAGTGTCAGTCTGTTTATCATAGTACTAAGATAACAGTTAGGAAAATGCAAGATTTTGATTGAGACTACTTATATATTGCTCGTCTCTGTCGTCGTTGCATAATTGTTGCTTGTCAAGATGAAACTTATGAATGTATTTCACATGCAGCTTTCAAGGTTGAAAATAAGGACAAGGAAACCACATGCATTGCTGAAGCTTGTGTCCTGTGGAAAGTGTCTCTCTGCAAAATCTCCAAGATAATTTGATAAAGATAGTTTTGGCTAGCTTTGAAGGTTTTGTACAACCTCATCTGTAATTCTTGTATTTAGCCAATTTCCTTAAGTTTAAATTTACTAGGTCAATTTATCAGTCAAATCCTTTTACATTGAATAAAAGAGTTATATTTGATGAGAAGATGTAGGGCAAACATCATTTAAATCAATTTTACCCCTTTACAGTTCTTGAAATGTGGTTTAACAAAATTGAGGGCTTAATGGGTTAATGATGAAATTGATTAAAAAGTCGAACTTATCCACAAAATAGACACATCAACAAAAAATTAATTTTATTTATTTATAATTAAACACGATTTCGAAAATGACAAGAAATTGAGGGTCCTTCTGAAAATACTTGTTTTTCATTGAACCCGACCTGCTTTACTCCCAAAGCTTATGAAAAGCTGTTGTAATTTGTCAACGGTTCTGGTATGAACCCATAGAAATCTCAAGTCTTAGTCGTTTTGTTTGGCGTCACTTTCATTAATTAATACTTAATTTTTGACTTAATTGTCGACTTAATTGTCATTCCTCAAATTAGGCCCATTACTATCTTTCGTTGCAACTTTAAACTCCGTCAGTTGGTCAATTTGAAATTAGAAAAGAGATGCTAACGGGTCTAACCCAATGTAAAAGGGCCTTAACTTGTAGACTATAAGTTTTAGGTTCGAATTCCTATGACATTATAGTTGTGTTCAAATACACGTAACCACTTACAGACACTCCACTCCATACACCTATTTTTTTCACGGATAAATGTTGAAATCTATTAAGACATAATAACACAGTCGAATGATTCAATTTTATTTGGAAAAAAATTATTGTTATATATCTTCTTCCCACAAAACGACAATAGGTGGGTGGATTATGCAAAGCATGTGATTTGATTTATTATCGCATTGAATTTGAAGGCAGGAAATTAGGTGAACTATACCTCCTCTGCTTTACTTGATGAAATTTTCAAATCAGCCATTGAAGCTTCCTGTGTTAGAATGTGGCAGCCGAAGCTTGCCATTATATATAGGTGTTAGGCTATAGGGTTTTATATTTCAACCATAGTATGAAATATCAATAATATTGACGAAATATAGAGGATATTTCAGTTTTTTTCGAATCACGGATATTTTTGAACATATCCATGTACATATCATAAATAAATAAATAAAAAGGAAAAAAAGGAAAAAAAAAAGGAAAAAAAGGGAAAAAAGGGAGGGAAAAAAACACAATCGAGATTTGAACCCCTCCCATTTTACTCCTCCAACACCTTAACCACCATATATCACTTATGTTTTAGTGATAATATGCTAAAATATTTATATTTATATGCGTGGTATGTTAACAATTACATGCAAAACTATTTTGGAGATTTATTATTTGATGAATACTCTTCATAATATACTTACTCTACACATAGAGATTATGAAGATAGTGAAAAATTTGAACCTCATAGGAACTCTATGTGGTACTAAGTCACTCATATATCTTACCATGCAATATATAAAGTGTAAAATATTGTAGTAAATCATTATATAAAAATTATTATGGTGTGTTTTATCTTTTTTTAATTAATTATTACATATTTTCTACACTCACAGTGTTTGTCAACTCGCTGTATAATCAACTTAAATCAGTTAAATTCACCATGTAATGCATTTCCTTCTAATTTTTTGTTGTTGATAAACTAATAGATAATTGACTAAATAAACATTCTCCAAAGTTTCAATAAAAATTTCCAAGTTTTTCTTACAATTTCTGTGGTTTTTATTCAATTTTTATCGATATCGATAATATTCCGATATTTCCATAGAAATTTTCATGTTTTTGAACTACCGATATTTCCGATATCATCAATATTTTAGACAATGATTTCAACTATATGGCTAGGATTAAAATTCAACTAGAATAATGGGGTGATTCTGTTGAAAATTATAAGTCCTACATCGGAAACTTTACTAAGTAAAATAAAATATATAATGAATGGTTCCACTACTAATATCGCCGAGGCCTTTTGTGATAAAACCTACACCTATTGAGTTTCGTAGATGCATTTGTATTTAGCAGGATTATGAATATAATTTTCACTTGGATAAAGGAAAAACTTAAAAACTTACAAATTGACTCAAAGTACTCCTTGGCTCCTCATTTTGGCTCATAGTCGGAAATAGAATGGTCAAAATTATTAATGTTTTACAAGATTATAACATAATTAGGAAAATCCTAATCCAAGCCCCAACCTTTAGACCAAAAAATAAAACGAAAAGCATGAAACATATGTGATCAATTTTATTAATATTAAAAAAATTCCCAAAAGACTTTGATATATATATATTGCAAATAAATATGAATGGTAATACCAGAAAACCAACCTATCTCTTCTATCTCATTTTTTATTTTTTTTTTTTTTTTTTCTTTTTTTTTTCCTTCTTTTTAGATTCTGGATTTCTGAGGGGGTTTAGAAACAGTATGAACTTTGTACTTTAGTTTTTGTAGGCTGTGTGTGAATGATGTTTCTCTCTCTTTTTGGTCAACTTGTTTTTCGGACGTTTTAGTCAAAGTGTTGCCAGCGTGGACATGAACGCCAAATAACAAGGGCACTTTCGTCCTAACACCAGCTAATAAGAGTGGATTAAATAATAGGTATATCGCCAAGTAGCCAATAATAACCTCGAAATTTCAACGCGCCTAAAAGCTGCGTGGCCCCCATACCTTTATGTAGTCAACCCTTGCACACCTTACTTTGTTTGAGAGGCAGGAGGGCAATGCAATCATGTTGCATTACTATTTGCTCCCTCAAAACCCAAAATTTACTCTCCAACCCACAAAAGGAACTACCATAACATTAGATTCTATTCTCTCTCTCTCCCTCTCTTTGCTCCTCCAAAGTATGTGCCTTTTTGGCCACCAAAGAATCAACTTACATGTACCTAGACTTGTACAGTGTAGACCATTCATCTTAGGACAAAATATCAAAGTTAGAATATACACAAAAGAATATTTCAAATGTGAAATTCAACGACTCCGACTATTTGAACATGACATGAAATTTCATCAAAATAAACTCATTTAGAACTCGCGACTTAGAGTTTGTTGTAATCGTAAAATTTGTTTCAACAAAACACGTAAAGTTAAAGTACAACTTGAATGACGAAAGATTTGTGTACGGCATTTTAACACTTACTTTAGCAATATTTGGTCAAAATATCAGTGTAATATTGCTAAAATATCGAAAATATCAATGTAAATGAAGAAAAAAAAGGAAAAAAAAGGGAAAAAAGGGAGGGAAAAAAACACAAATGGGATTTGAACCCCTCCCATTTTACTCATCCAACACCTTAACCGCCATATATTACTTATGTTTTAGTGATAATATGCTAAAATATTTATATTTATATGAGTGACATGTTAACAATTACATGCAAAACTATTTTGGGGATTTATCATTTGATGAATACTCTTCATAATACACTTATTCTACACATAGAGATTATGAAGATAGTGAAAAATTTGAACCTCATAGGAACTCTATGTGGTACTAAGTCACTCATGTATCTTACCATGCAATGTATAAAGTATAAAATATTGTAGTAAATCATTATATATAAATGATTATGGTGTGTTTAATCTTTTTTTCATTAATTACTACATATTTTCTACACTTACAGTGTTTGCCAGCTCGCTGTAATAAATCAACTTAAATGAGTTAAATCCATTAATGTAATTCTTTTTTTTTTTTTTTTTTTTTTTTTTTTTTATATAACTAATAGATAATTGACTAAATAAACATTATCCAATGTTTCAATAAAAATTTCCAAGTTGTTCTTACAATTTCTGTGGTTTTTATTCAATTTTTATCGATATCGATAATACCCCGATATTTCGATCGAAATTTCCATATTTTTGAACTATCAATATTTCCGATATCATCGATATTTTAGACCATGATGACAATATATTGTGGCCTTAACTTAAGGCAGTTTGAAGGAAAGCCAAAAATGGCATCCAAAATGAGAGAGATTGAAGGCTTAATGAAGTCATCACAGTAAAAGGGCAGGAGGGACATTGGTGACCTCATCAGAATCCAAAGTCCAAAGGCAGTGAGTAAATTGAATGAAAAGGCGTGTCCTTTTTGGTCACGAAAAGCAGCAGAGTATAATAACAACGCAGAGAGAGAGAGAGAGAGAGAGAGAGAGAGAGAGAGAGGAAGGAGAAGAGAGGAGATGAGGACATTGGGCACAAGAATCAGAAAATGTGTGTGGATATAAAATCAAAATATATCAACATTGCTTCTTATCAGTCAAAGCCTTTGCAGTCTCAAAGCCAAAGAGAAGCATCGAGTCATTTTCATGAAATTGGTGGAGAAGAAAGAGAAAACAAAAACAACAAAGTCGTCCTCGGAAATTCAGTGAGTCTCCGAGTCTCCCCTTTCAAAACGCGGAATCGCTCCCACCATTAAAGAAATCACGGGTTGATTCAATTTCCATTTCCTTTGAAGATTCAAAGCTGCAAACCAAGACCACCGTCATCGACAACACCTTTACATTGAGCAACCACAACCACAAAAGCCAGAAGCTTTCGTTTCATTGACGCAAATTGGTTGTGCCCAGTTGTTTTGTTTCTTCGAATTTCATGGCTTCGGCGGCGATATTCTCATCGCTGCGGCGGCGAAGGTCGCCTTCTTTGGAGGCGTTTTTAGCTCCGGTAGACCTCTCCGACGTGGCGCTTGTACAAATCCTAGTCTCAGTCACCGCCGAGATAGCTTCGTCCTTCTCTGACAAGTTCTTCTCATTCCAGAAGAGGAATTCGAGGTCCCTGGTGCGAAAAGTCGAGATCTTTCTCGTGCTTTTGGAGTATTTGAGGGACTCCGGGTCGGCTCTGCCATGGACGGCCGTCATCTGCTTGAAAGAGCTCTACCTGCTCCTGTATAGATCCAAAATTCTTCTCGATTACTGCGCCCAGTCCAGTAAGTTATGGCTTTTGCTTCAGAATCAACCAATTTCAGGTCATTTTCATGATTTGAATAAAGAAATTTCGACCCTTTTGGACGTTTTTCCCATGGAGGACGTTGAATTGGGTGAGGATGTGAGAGAGCAGATTGAGCTGTTGCAGAGACAGGCCAGGAGGGCGAAACTGTTCATCGATGAAGGAGATGAGGAGTTGAGGGTTAAGTTCTTTTCGTTCCTTGACGAGTTTGAGAAGGGTCGGGTTCCCGACTCGGCCGATTTGTGGTTGTTTTTTGCAGAGCGATTGGGGATTCGAGATGCCAAGAGTTGTCGAAATGAAATTGAGTTCTTGGAGGAGCAGATTATAAATCACGAAGGGGATGTTGAACCCACCGTTTCGGTGCTTAATGGGTTTGTGGCATTCACTCGATATTGCAGGTTTTTGCTTTTCGGGTTTGAAGAAGATGAAGTGGAATTGGGGATTGGGAACAATCAGAGGAAGCCTAGAAAAGGTTTGATCACTCAAGAAATTGCTGAGACTTTTATAACGATTCCAAAGGACTTTTGCTGCCCCATATCATTGGATTTGATGAGAGAGCCGGTGATTGTCTCAACAGGACAGACATATGATCGAAGTTCTATTTCGAGGTGGTTGGAAGAAGGGCATTGTACTTGTCCAAAGACAGGACAAATGCTGCCCAACGCACGCCTTGTTCCTAATCGGGCGTTGAGGAATTTGATAATGCAATGGTGCACTGCTTACGGAATTCCTTATGACCCTCCAGAGTGCACAGAAGCTTCTGCAGAAAGCTTTGCAGCTGCTTCTCCCTCTAAGGCTGCACTTGCTGCCAACAAAGCAACCGCAGGGCTTCTAATCCAACGGCTGGAAGATGGATCACCATGTGCACAAACTATAGCTGCTCGTGAGATTCGTTTGTTGGCCAAAACAGGAAGAGAAAATCGTGCTTTCATTGCGGAAGCTGGGGCGATTCCCCATCTATGTAAGTTACTATCATCTCCAAACTCTGTTGCCCAAGAGAATTCTGTAACTGCAATGCTGAACTTATCGATATATGATAAGAACAAAAGCCGGATTATGGATGAAGGGTGTTTGGGATCCATTGTTGATGTTCTGAGGTTTGGGCACACAACTGAGGCAAGGGAGAATGCTGCAGCAACTTTGTTTAGTCTATCTGCAGTTCATGACTATAAGAAGAGAATAGCAGATGCGGAAGGAGCAATTGAAGCCTTGGCAGGGCTGTTGAGAGAGGGTACCCCAAGAGGAAAGAAGGATGCTGTGACAGCTTTGTTTAACCTGTCAACTCACACAGAAAATTGTGCGAGAATGGTTGAGGCAGGGGCTGTGACAGCACTTGTAAGCGCATTGGGAAATGAAGGAGTTGCTGAGGAAGCAGCAGGTGCATTGGCCTTGGTTGTTAGGCAGCCGACTGGGGCTAAAGCAGTGGGGAAAGAAGACACGGCAGTGGCAGGTTTGGTAGGGATGATGCGTTGTGGGACTCCAAGGGGTAAAGAAAATGCAGTTGCAGCTTTGCTTGAGTTGTGCCGGAGTGGTGGAGCTGCTGCCACTGAAAGGGTAGTTAAGGCACCAGCTTTGGCTGGGTTGCTGCAGACATTGCTTTTTACTGGTACAAAGCGGGCAAGAAGAAAGGCAGCATCTCTTGCTAGAGTGTTCCAAAGGTGTGAGAATGCTGCAGCAATGCATTTTGGTGGTCTTGGTGTAGGATATGCATTTGCAGGTAACTCAGCTGCAAATAGAGATTCGAGTTTCGCCAGTGATGTCGCAGTGCCAATGTCCATTTCAGTGCCTGTTTTATAGTGGTAACGTCCACCCTAGATTTATAGTCTTCCTTGCTTATATGTTCCATTTTTGTTGGAAATATTTACACATTCTTTCATTGAAATTGGAGGTCATAAAGAAGTTACAGGAATATCTTATCTAAATGTGCTTTAAGAGAATATTTTGTGTTGTCAAGCTTCTAGTGTAATTTTAGCATACATGTAATGTCTAATGGTTTGAAAAACCACGACAGAAAGTGTTCACAACAATGTCAAGACCATTACAGATGCATTGAGAAACTGCAGTTTCAGGGGATGTTTCTCAATTGGCTTATTGGTTTCATAAAAATATGATTCAAATGCAGAAATTTGTATTGCTGTGACATTTTGTTAACTGATATAATGACTGGCTGCTGAAATCCTTATCGAAGAATCCTCCTAAAGTCGTTTAAGTGAATTCTTGGAGATCCTTGTAACCTAGCATAATCATACAAGGTCTCAGACCTTGAATCTCTTGAAATCGTGTTAATGCTTCTGAATTTGATGCTATAAAGTGACTACTTATATTTGTGCTGCTCAACAGTGCTTTTGCCTGATCTATAAGTGAATGTTTAATAGACACCTATTGAGAGAAAAAAATAAGGTAATATGAACTAGTTGCAATAATTGGCTGAACAGTTGGGCTTTCCATTTTTAGCTTCACTTTGGTAAGAGTGGATCTCAGACTGTTATTAGCACTAGTAACTGACTAACTGAGTTCATCTTCACATTATGATATTGAATCAGAAAACAAAAATTTGATCTTTTAACAAGTCTTATGCGTTTGAATATTCAAAAGTGTTAACTTTCGATTTATATTTGCAACACCTAGGCAACGTAGTTCTTAAAAGTCTCAAGAATTTAGTTAGCGAAAGACTGAGCAAAGGTATGAGGCATTTCCACATCGGGAACTTTCTTTCTGGAGACTAAAACTAGTGGTTTATTTGTGAATGATGTAAGACGGGACACAATTTTCTTCTTTCATTCAATTGTTTGATTGACCAAATGCTAAGTTTGGTAAGGTGACGACCCAACTAGTTTCATCCGCTAGATTCTTATCGGCCAAGCAGGTCAGACAACAGAGTCACATCACAATGCTGCTATTCTCTCTGTATTTTTTCTTTTTTCCTTAAGGTAGAAAGTGGGATAACAGTGGCAAAATGCTATGATCGTTTTCATTGAATTGATTGGAGCACCTTGAGAGAGATAAATCTTGGAAGATTTCATTTCATTGGCCTCTTTTTTAACCTTTCTTTTTAAGAATATGTTTGGCTGGCGTTAGGCAACCACTAATGTCTGTTGGAAAATTCCACTTGAAGCAGAATCTTGTTGCAATCGAGAGCTTTTGTAATGGCGTTGAAGGGAACGTACTCAAAAGTTGATGCACCAAAAGATCCCATTTACTTGAGTAATAATTGGAGACTGATGAGAGATATTGTGTGGTAGCTGAAGCTTATATATCTAGAGGCCAAATCCTCAACCAGTTGCAGCAATGATGGTTGCTAATGATAATACCACAACATCCATAATGCTTACAGCTTATACCCCAATATTCTTGACTTTATATATTAAAGAAAATCACCGTAACCTTTGGTGGGGAGTACTTGATTGAATTATTTCAAATGAATTGAACAAGAGTCTTGGCCGTTGTTTAGTATATTAGACTGAAATTATTAAATTGGAGAACATTTCAACATATTTTGTCTTATAAATTCCATCTAGAGAGATGAAACTCGTAAACACCGACTTATACTCAACTTTAATTCAATCCAAAATAGACCACCAGACAAAAAAATAAATAAATGTATAGATGTTAAAGAGTTGCTCAACTTGAACTTTCTTGGGTCCCTCCAAGGAAAAGATTACAAGCCCCATCTCCTTGGCCGGTAATGTGAGAAAGTATTGGGTGGCAATAATATTACTGATATCATAGTGATTTCTGTCCTTTTTTTTCTTATAATGACACCACTTTGAGTGCTTCTTCTCCATCCATTTGGCAAAGCCTGTGTGGAGGGAGGACAATGTGCAGGGTTCTACGGGTTTGTTCATTTGGACACATTGGACTATTATTACCCGGCCGGCAAGAAAAGTCATGATTTTTATTGTTGCCATTGTCTTTAGACTCTCTCAGTTTATAGTAACTACAATTCAACACGTTGCCTCCAAGGCAGGTAGTCTTGGTTGGATTTCAAACACACAACGTTTTAAACGTTGTATTTGGATCAATGGACTTAAAATTAATGAAGTTTTTATAAGATGTTGAATGTTATTTCTTCATAGAAAGTCTATTTTGCCGGCCTAAGCTGTTCACAATAAAAACAAGGCAGCTAGAACATAACAGAAGATGGTTGGATGTTAAAATGAGGCATTATTATTATAATATGAAACGAGTTGAATGTTTGGTTTATGTATGTTGAAGTTTTTGTCCAATCGAACGCACCCAACGCATGGGATGTGCCCTCACAATAAAAGATAATAAGATGGTTGAATGAGAATTCCTCACAGAAACAAGGTAGGGTTTTTGTTTCCTTCTGTTATTGAGTAATATTTAAATAAATAAAACTGAAACATGCACTGAAGTGGCATTTAATCCAAGTGTAAACAACTGAATTTTTCTCGCTGTTGGTCCCTGAGGCCTGCTGAAAACAGAGAAGACTTTGAACCATCTCAGAATTCAAAGTCTCGGTCTTGGCAATAAAACAGCAAACAAGAAACAAAGAAGTGCAACAGGGGACTTTGAATGTGCTGGAAATTTGATGCTGAAACGCAGAGTATATTTTACTGCAACCATGGGGTGGGGGGAGGTCTTTATCCAAGACATTCTAGACAAGAAAGAATAATAAAAGAGGGTGGTTTATTTCTCTTTGGCTCATGTGGGTTTAGTCCAAAACCAAATCAGACGTTTAGAATTATAGTAGTCTGCCCTAGCTAGCTATCAAGGAGGCATGCTTGTTGAATTTTTTTTTCTGGGGAAGTACAAAAAAAAATTACAAGGAGAACTCCCGAGATATTCCAACAGTCTTTAGATCAAACATCAATCTCATAGTCAATGCATTTGGAAAACTAGTAAACCAAAGATGATGTTTATAATGACGCAAATTAATGAGAGCGTAACGACCATATTTGCTTCATGATATACATGTTGAACATTAGAAATCTAAAGCTGTTATGCTTGTTGAATTTCGCACATTGGTTTTTTTTTCTTTTCATATTAAATTACAGAGGATTCCTTGATTCACAGATTTTAAATAAATAAATAACACAAGCAACAGTAAAAAAAACATAGCACTGGATAGGAAAATATGCATGAAACAGAGTGGATGGGAATTGAACCAAAAGAACTGTTATTGAAAGCCCATATTGTGTTATGGGCTGAAATGTTTGTTCTAGATGGGTATTATGCAAGGATTTGAGGTTGGAAGTTGGTCACGAGAGGGGTTAAAGACCTTAGATAAAACCCTATCACTTGATCGTTAAATCAAATTAGTTAGTTATTGGATTAAATTGGTTAGTTTGATCCAACGGTTAAGAGATAGGACCTCATCTAATGGTTTTAGATAAGGCCCTCATTATAGAATAATTTGGGGAAAGATCCAAAGACATAAAGTGAGAGAGATCGGAAATTCAATCCAAGCAAGTCTCTTGAAGCTCATTAATTTTCAAGCAAAAGTATGTTGTTTCATTTCACATTTTTCTTTACTACACACTGGAAAATAAAAATGAATGTTATAAAACTAAGGGGAATTGTAGACAGCAATAAGAGGAAGAGAAATACAGAGAATTTGTTCTATGAACTTGTATCAACTTATCTTATTCATCTTTGATAAGAGCCTATTTATAGGCTTACAATAGAGGTATTTAACCCACAATTTACAGCTACTAATTACAATAATAAAGGCATAGGTTACAAAGCAATAAGGGGTGGAGGTAATTGATGTTATGATGGTCATCCACATTCCATAGATTTATAACAATGAAGATATTATACTTCAGCCTTCAGGGTTTTTCAAATAAATAAATGAAAAAAATCGAAGTTTTTCATTTCTGAAATTTCCAAAAATTGATTGGAAAATGAATAAAAAAGAAAAGCTGAAAAGGTTGGTCCCTTATAACTTACTTTACCATTTTAGGCGACTCAAAAGTTTAATTGTATTTCAAGCTGAAGCTAGCTGGTGTGTCTTTGTCCGCAGTAAATGAGTTCATTGCTTAGGCACAAGGATGTCAAAATCACTAACAGTCCATTCAGCAACTTGATCAGGGTCTTTGAAAATTTCAGTCCCTAAATCTATAGACATCCATTGCCTTCTAGCTGGTGGCGTTCCTGGATCCTGCAAATAAGACATCAAACCATAGCTCAACTTAGTATATGTCACAAGCAATATTATAGCAAAATTTAATCTGTCACAGGGCAAACAATATCAAACCTGGTAAAAATAAAGTGATTGTGACAACCTCCCAACATCCAGCTCCCATGTTCTTGGATCCCCAATCCAACCCTCCCCTTGCTTTTTAGGGTATCCGTACTCACCCCAAACCGGGTGTGGCAAGATTTGCAAAATCTCCTGAGGCTGAGGGTTGCTATATGGATCACACAAGTTAAAAGGAGCCTCTAGATGCTCCCCGTTCCCTGGCGAGCAGTACAAGTGATAGGCGGCGTAAGGGAAGCGGGCAGTGTCATTTCGATGAACCCGTGTGCCGTTTGGGAATGTGTGGTAAGGTGGGCACACATTGAGGTTGTTTGCATGGCACCATGAGGTTGTGTTTGGATTTATGATCATTTCACTGTATCTGGTAACATCTGAAGTCACATTGCCATCACAAGGCTTCCCATTGTTCTTCCAACAGCTCCCCATGTCCATGAGGTAGAACTGGCTGCTAGGACCCCCACCTTTGATCACATTCAAGGTGAACCTCACTTTAAAATTGGGTGATTCTGGAATCTGCATTGCAATTGGCAATATTTGAGTAAACAAAGTATCTTCATCCTCAAGAAAGTTTTGC